TTTCTTCTCGAAAATCATATAACAAAAATCGGTCTAAATCACCCAACAAAAATCATACAGCTCTTAGCAAACCCACACAGATGAAGCGGTGCACTAATCCTATTCTCTCTGTCTTTGACAAGAGTGTTAAGTTACATCGACGATACTATTGAAATCGTTCTAGGGTTGCCACAAAAAAGTCGAACTTGAAGTCAACTCAACCCAACTTCAGTGTTAATGCCTATTTGAGTTCATAAATACTTGAATCATAGGCACGAATGAGGTTGAAGTGTGATCTTGAACACTAATTATCATCGGACGTAGAAGGAATTTCTTGCAGAATTATTTGTAAAAGTGAATTAAAAACTGTGAGTTAACATGTAGAACACAAATTGCATGAGCACTTTTGTTGTTTTCATTCTGGTATACAAATTTTTTGCTTAAAAAATGTCAGAATGCACGTAAGTAAGACTTATGATGACTAATGATTAACTCTAAATTAGCTCAACTTGAAATGTTACAAAAGAACACAACTCAAAGAGTTTTTTATTTCTATTAAAGTAATAAACCTTAATAATATTGTGGTATGTTTGATAGAGAAAGGTTTTGACAAAGGTCAAAACAACCAATATAGATTACGATAAGATTAAGTCATTGTTTTAGGACTTAGAATATTGGAATGGTATTTTGATACAAACTTTGAAATGATAATTAGATTCTGTTGCCAGAAAATATAAAACATAAACAACGATCCTCATAGCTTAGCTTAGTTCCAACTAAGTATTTTCATTATTTTGATAAATAATAGTGTAATTTAAAGACAACAGAACGAAGAAATCTCAGTAATCTAAAAGAAATGTTATATGTTCCATTCGTCATTTATTTTTAACACGTCTCTTTTTTGCTATTTCAATTTGTCAGTTTTCTCCAACCTGCATTGACTGTAAAATCGTGTAATTCAGTTTCCAGGCTTAATGTTCAGCAACGTAATATAAAGCGTGTGAAGGGAACCATTCGCTTCGTGTGGACAGACGGTGGTAATAAGTCATATATTCCTAATAAATAACACATTAATTCAATTTCATTTCATTTCATAAATAACCCAACCTCGTTAAAGTCTGTCTGAAATTCCCGTATCTTGATACTCCACCTATTTTGGAACATCTCTGCAACTGCTAGTAATCATTCTGGTCTTACATTCATTCAAGACAATAGTCCAGTTAACTTTTTATGGTCAAGGAAATCTTAAGTAATCTAAAAAAAATGTTATATGTTCCTTTCGTCATTTATTTTTAACATGTTTTTTTTGCTATTTCAATTTGTCAGTTTTCTCCAACCTGCATTAACTGTAAATTCAGTTTTCATTAAGCTGTCGTTCGTAATTAATGTTAGTGATTTACTTTTTCCCGTGGGAAAATGTGTACGTAGTACTCTCTCTACCTAGTGCAGATGGGGAAATTTACTCACTGGAAACGTCAGCCCCCTCGACGACGATGGTAATTCGATTTTGATACGACCGGATTTTCCGATGGTGGCAAACGCCTCAAAAGAAAAACTAAAACCTAAAATGATATCGGAAATTGCAACGACGGCTTTTTAAGGTTTCAAAAAATATTTTACTGAAACGAAAACATATTACTTTGTTTTCCCTATTAATTTACGTTAAATGACATCATAACTTTTTATTTGATCGCTCAGATTTAATGCAGATATATTCAGAACACATCAATATCGGAATATTGTGAAATTGGAAGGCAAATTAATTCTGTATGAAGCTAATTAAAAGCTACGTTACGTTACGTTACCTGCATTAACAAGATCCTTGTATAATAGAATTGTAATATAACGGTTATTTTACTACATTTATTGCAAAGAAAACGTTGACGCCGTTAATCAAATTTTTTCTCAATTTTCTTTCAGTTTATCATAAAAACATGCAAACGCTTTCCTTTAAATTAAACCCCCCCATTCTTCTTCATTGTTCTCGCCGTTATTTCACCGTCAACTTTGCACTTAACCCAGGAATTGAATCTCGTGAGAGAAGCAACAGACCAAGCAATAATTCAAATGGTGAGTCCGCAACGATAAAATCCTCGTATGAAGTGCAGGTGTACGACGACACTTTTGTTGAATTATTCATGGCTACAGTGAGAAATTCGGCCGAGGACTTGTTGTTTTAAATCCCTTGGTGGCGTTGTCTCACCCTTTGTTTATTTTAACTACCCGTTTTAATTTTTTTATTTCAAAAATCAACGTTGGTGCTCAGTTTTTTTTAAGTTACCGTAAACTTTCGTCGCATAAATTTCGTTGTTCGTTTCCCAACAATTTTAAGTATTTTTTTAGTTAAACAAATATTATTTCGTTGTTTTATTGTGGAAGAAAAATATATCAACAGATACATCATTTATCAATGTCGGTGTCACTTCTACTCTTTAAACTCTCAATCTCAATCATTGTAGTGTGTAACATTATCAGTTCGAAACAATTTTAAATTTGATTTTATTTTAAAATTTAAATTTCATACGAAGTTTAATCTATCGAATATCTTCTTTCCAGAATACGGCATACATAAATTCAAAACGTGATGGTATACAATTTCATTAAACTATGCTAAACGAAGTCTCGCGTAAAAATTTTCACTTCGATGGTCTTATGGGTCACGGAAACAAATTGGTTATGCAAAATATAGCCAATTTTTGCTGTCTCATTGGATATCGATATAAATTCGATAATATTCTTTTAGAAGAAAAAATTATTTTTTTACAATATCTTTTTGTATTATTTTCTTGAATAACCCTTGGGTGAGCTTTAAATATATTGAAGTTTTAATTCTTGTTAGTGTTTTCTGACGCCATCTGAATGACTAATGAATTTCCAATAAATCTATAATAAATGCAATTTTAAATTTTATTGCAATATTAAATTTAAATATAATTAAAAAATGTATTTATTATTTATGAATAATTCGGCAAATATTAGTTGCAATTGTAATTTACAATTGGCCGTTGACAATTATTTTCGCAATAACAGCCGCGCCAAATTCGAATTGGATATAGCATTATTTCCGATTTAATTGAAATGTAGGAACCGTTATCGTGTTGTGATTTGAAACCCAATTAATTTACGTTCAAATAATATTAGCAATAGTTTGTAACTAACTACATCAAATGGGCGGACAAACTATTTCAAACCGTGTTACATTTACCAATTATATTAACTTACATTACAAATACGTTAATTATATGGATCAAAGAATTTTATTGCGTTAATAAGTCGAATAATTTGATTAATATTTTAAAATGATCTAATTTATTAATCAAAACTTTTCCATTTAAGCATTTTTTTGTTTGATAACAACAGCGTTTACGTATATACATGAAATTGGCACCGATCGAGTTTTAAACCTGCAATGCGGCTGAAACCGGAAAACAATCAAAACAAATTAAACATTTAACAAGTCGGTAATCACGTTTGGTTGGATATCTGAAATCTTTTTCAAAACAAATCAAATAGATTTTAAAAAATCAATCGAAAATTTTAAGAGCACTCAATTTTGTCAAGTTCTATATCAAATTCATCAAAAATGTATTGGTTTTATTAAAATTTCAATAAACAGCGAATGTTATTCAATCCTCATAGAATACTAAATAGTAAATTCTATATAAATTCAATGCGCTTTTTTTATTTTATGTATAGTAATTAAGAGTTTATTTAATTCGTTACAGGATGTAGATAATATTTGTGTTTAAGCTGTCACATTCGTAATTTAGTGTTTTGTTATCTATTAAATATTGCAAACGGTTTATCTTGTGATAAAATATTACGGATAATATTATGTGATGTATTATTATTAGAAAACTAAAATAATAATGAAAAAAAACAAAGTAGAATAAATATTATTTAAGTTGAAATGAAATAATTTTCGTGTACTGACAAAATATACCTGATACACCCGAAAATAGGGTATAATTTTTGTATAACATCTTGTTTCAGCTCTGGAGAGATTATCAAAAAAGTTTCTTTCATAACCAGTATGATCCTATCTTGATTATGCCCAAAGGCTGTTGAAAATGAGGTTGGTGAAAGTGATTTGATTTGATGTAGATTACTCCTTTGGGAAATATCAGATTAAATCTCGGTCTCTAATGACTTGTTAACTATATGATCGTCAAAGAGTGTTTACATTTTTTTTGTTGATTTGATACCCAAGCTAAACAAGCCCAAATATATCAGAACTCAAACGGTTAAAAAATTAAACGGTTACAAAAAATATCTATGGGAAAAAAATGAACAAGCTATTACAAAAAAAAACATCAATCTAGGGCTGTTATTAATCCTTTCTCTACTTTTATTAAAGTTCCAAATTGCGTTGTGTTATCGACATCCCCATAAAATATTCGTGTATCTTTCGTATCTACATGAATCACTATACTAATTAACCGCATGTTGTGTACTCGATCGCCATTAGTTGGTAGCAACATTATTTGACAAAATAGTGCCTGTAACCGACCACACTATTTCGCTGGGTTTGGATTTTGCGACACAACGGTCGTATCCGATGGTTGCTGTGCAAGGTGTCACGATTGTGTGGCTATTCAATCCGTCTCTCCGGTTGTTTCAGCGCCGGATAGAGGTGGAGCACGGCACACATTTATATTGCACTGACAGGTGAAAAGGGACACGCCTCCCTTCCGAACTGACAGTTACCTTGTAAAATATGGTCCTGCAATGGAAATGAAATTTTTGCATAGCTACTACCTTCGTTGCAAAAGCTGCAAGAGAATACTTTGGTAAAAAATAGCCTTCGGATAAAAATGACACTTTATACTATGATCGTTACAAAGGAGAATTTTTTTAACGGACACAATTTTGCTAATGAACAATTTTCCGCTAAATTTTCATTCAACCATTTTTTCATAGAGCATGCTCAGGGTGTCCTTTTATGTTAAATAACATTATTACATTATAATAACCATGTTATTTAGATGTATGTACAATAATTTTATTTTTTTTTCTTTCAGATCGGCATATGACACAGTAACAAAGACGAAGGTAGCAATCAAGAAAATATCGCCTTTCGAACACCAAACGTACTGCCAGAGGACGCTGCGAGAAATCAAAATCCTTACACGGTTTAAACACGAAAATGTAAGTAATATAACAATATGTTTATGTAGTACAAGTTTATGCGGGTTTGTATACGAGTAGACAAAAGAATTTTTAAGGTAATTCCATGTGTTTCGTACATGTGTTATAAAAATCGATATCAACGAAAGAATTATGTCAAAAAGTAGCTCAATATTTACGAAATAATTATTTATACCAAAATCTAACATGTAAAATAACTACAATTTTAATAATCAATTAATATTGAAAGACCGAACATTCTTCGTTTCTGATTTCTGGAAATGTTAGTCTGAATGAAAAAGTTAGGTTATCTTACCGCTGAAAAGTTAAACGAAAAATGACGCAATGATAATAACAAGTTGACACTAATAAGCACTTAGACAATGCCAGTAAAAAGATGCGATTTCTTAATATTCTTTCTGATTGTCTTCTGCCTTCTAGTTATCATAGATATGTTGCAAATCCAGTAAGGAGTCATTAAAAAATCATAAAGGATAAAAAATAAGACAAAGTTGGCTTCCTTTTATATTTTTATTTTTCATTTTTACATATTTATGATTTTCTTCTGCCGTCCATCCGGTTAAAGTGTTGATCTTGGTTCCTGTTAGCGGGTGATTTTTTGAATATGCCAAATGATGAAAAAAAATAGCAAAAATATAAACATTAATAACAATATCAGATATAAAGCAAGAATTTGTCAAAGAGAGGCGACACTTGACTAACATGGCTTATTTTCTGTCGCTCTTGGTGGAGCATAGGGCATCAGTAAAAGTTCTCCATCTGGTCCGGTTGGTAGCACGGCGTTCCACTTCTCTCCACGTTTGCCTCACTTCCATTGCTTCTTTAACAGTTCTCTTCCTCGTCTTTCTTGGGCGCCCTAGTCTTCCTGCTCCTTGGGACTCCAGTCAAAAGTTGACATCTTAACACTCCATGAGCCTACCTTAGCGTATGCATCCTTGGCTTAGTCACAAATGGGTCGTTGGAGTAACTCTTCGTTGCTTTTGAACAAGCGAAGGTTTGTTCTTTTTGAAATGTTTTTACTTCCTCAGATATATTCGTATCTTCACATCTTCCTCTGCTCCTCGACAATATGAATGATCCTACACGAATGTTTCAACTCCTTCCTAGTCTCTTCCTTTCATTGTTAACTTAGCTTCGACTTCAGAATTGATCTTTATCTCTTTCATTTTTTGAACATTGACTTTTAGTCCTGCTGCTTCCACATCATCTTGCAATTTTCTCAGTTTTACCTTCATTTCGCAAAATCTCTGTGAAAATAGGAAAATGTCATTTACAAACTCAAGGCTCTCAAGTCTATATTGCATCCTCCACTGAATACGATTTCTCCTTCGTTCTGTAACCTCTCTCATCACTCTATCGAATACCAGGAGAAACAGTATGGATAACAGAATACACCCTTGTCTCACCCTAAAATTTGCCTGGATAGGATACTACTTGATATTCATACATCTCCCTGATAATACTGATGATCTTTACAGGGACACCATATTCTTTCAAAGTATGCCACCTGATACTGTGGTATACTTCTGTTTAACGAGTCAAAAACTTTCTTAAAATCGATGAAAGTCCAGTAGAGTGTACTCTGCCATTCTGCAATCTGCTCAATAATTATAGGGAGTGTATTGATAATATCAACGAAACTTCGGTGTTTACGAAATCCTGCTTGACCAACGACCAAATTACAAATTGCAAATTGCGTTAGATTGGCCACACGTTAAGGAAGCCCCATGAAGAAGTTGAGATGTCAGCGCTTGACTGGAACCCCCAAGGAGCACCGAGACGAGGGCGCCCAAGAAAGGCGTGGTAAAGAACTGTTGAGGAAGAAGCAGTTAAGAAACCGGACCAGATGGAGAGCCTTTACAGCAGGAGCGGCAATAAATAAGTCAATGTTCAATCTTCAATGTTGGTACAACAAAATATGGACAACCGAATAGATTTATTTCACCTGCCAGATTGTCTAATGTTTTATCCTAACCTGTAGTCTAGTGTAGTCTAGTTCTATTTCTATCACAAAATTTGTCAAAAATCTCATAAAGATGATTTTGTGTTAATTTTGTTTGTATTGTTTTGTATCGATACTTTGTTAAAATGTATCTTCATTTCGTGTGCAACGCAACGCCTTTTAGATCCTACAGTTACCGTTCACCCTGTATTTCAATTTTATTTAGGCTTCGATTTCGGGAATATTACATTAGAGAGGATTCAGGTTGGTCTGTTTATAAAGTAACCTAATTACCCCTATGTACAGAGCACCGTTCCATACTATATCCATTAGCGTCCTTGTGTCGACAATGAGGTTTGATGCATTGCAAACATATCTCATTTTGTAAATCAATTAAGTATAATATCAGTACCTACATAAATTGGTGTGCCATTTAATATAATATTGCTAAAAAAGTTTCTTACTTAAGTTAATGTGTTAAATTTAATACAAATTTTATTTACTTAACTTGGTTATCTTAACCAAGTTCTTGATTAAGTTAAAATTAATTGCAAATTAACCTCGATTAATAACACTTTTATATATTAAATTCATAACATTAACATTTCATGTTTAATTAACTTTATTTTTAGTACAAATTATTCCAATTCAAAATTCCGTTTTAAATTGAAAGGATTAATTAGGTTGCTGCGAAATATTCGAAAAGGAAAATGTTTTACTAGCGGCTAGCGGGAACATTCATTATTGATTCACTTTTAAACTTTTGTAGGAATTGAATCCTACAAAGTTCAAATTGATCCAAATTACACCGACGATAATGAATGAAAAATTCATGCCGGTTTTTATACATTTTTTTACAAGTTTTTGACCTATAAAATTACAAAATTAATTACAAGCGCTTAATAACAAAAAAGCGTCTTTTTTGTGTGAACGTGAGGAAAAACTTTTCTTCATCCTTCCGCTATTCTCACTTATTAATTAAAATAACCCTTTCATATCAGCACCCTTTTATTATTTTTTCTATTAAATAACAGAGGGATATATAATTAACATTGTGTAATTTTTTAATTATAATTTAATTAATACCTAAAATTTTTGTTTTAGATTATCGATATTCGAGATATTCTTAGGGCACTCGCCATCGATCAAATGAAAGATGTTTACATTGTCCAGTGCCTCATGGAAACCGATCTTTACAAATTACTAAAATCACAGGTAAGAAATATATTAAAACTTCGATTTAACGGATTAATACGGGGAAAATTTTTAATTTGCATTTTAAACTGTTTGAATGAGTAATTTTAATGCACACAAATTTGAATAGCTTTGCACACCGTTGCGTTTTTTATTACTTGGTTTTACTTTTAGTTCAATAAAAATAAACAACAATTTAGCGGTAAATAACAATTAAAACTAAAATTACCGTCCTTGAATTATACATAGTATAGGCAACTCGGGGAATACCCCGAGTTTCTCTATGAACATGGAATAGAGCAATTTGGAGAATAACCCGAGTTGGATTCTATTTATTTATGAGCGCTATATTTTGTCCTCCGTTATATCGAAGTTTTACTATAATAATATTTTAGATAACTATTGAAACTAATAAGAATCGTATGAAATAATCTCAAAACTTCAAATGTAACAGATGTACAACATTAAACTTTTCATTAAAGTTTTCGTTCCAGTTTACGATCGGAAAATGCAATTTTTCTTTAACGTGTGGAAACTTAACTTGCGGTTCAAAACTTTTTAGACACAATAATTCAAAGAACTATCCACGATAAACTTATTTCGTATTATTGCCTTATATTTTAAACTTTAAACCACCTTATTTGCTCTTTTATCTCTTACCGTTGTTACGGACTTGTTTTATTTTCTCATTTCATTTATCTCTCGGGAACAAAGCTCCGTGTTATGACGTAGTTAATATACATTTCCACAGTAAAAGACTCCGTCGGGTAAATAACTTCTGCAGGTCGAAGACTTTACGTTTTACATTGCACCCACATCGTTGAAGTTTTATATTCGTTAAATACATACTCGTGTAAGCTTTAAAACTGTTTTGATACTCTTTTTATCCGAATAATGGGTTGAGTTGTATTATGTAGGTATACTTTTCTTTATGACTTTATAAAAAAAGTCTTATCTTATTTTATTATTGCAATGTAAACATTTAATGATTATTACAACAAAAATATAGTTAGTGACTTTCGCGGTATTGGTATGAATCATTCGAAAAAGATAAATAAATTGTGTAATTGTAAAATTGAGAGACGCAAAAGATTCTAATGTAAATTATTTTTTGTTAAATTAAATGAAATATTTAAAATTTAGAAAGTTCCATTAAATTCGTATAATGGAAAATCTTCAATATCCTCACATGGAGTGGGTTGAGATCGTTTCCGGTGGCGAAAATCCCCCTCAATTTTCCGCCCTCGTCCTCAGAGCCCAAGCAAATTACCTAAAGTTATCAGAAAAACGCGGAAGCTTCATCCTCGATCGAACAAATTTTCAATATAGGCCGAAAGTTATTAGATATTTCCTTATAAATGCGTCAAAAAATGCAAAGATTTAAAAGATGTTTTAGAAGGTAAACTTTAAATAAATGCATAATGCATTAAAACATCAACCAAGACTCAATTTCCATTTTAAACTCTTCGACACAGCTTACATTTCCTAGTTCCCACTAAACCTTAGACGTGACAACGTTTAATAACCACATCGTGGTATTTAGTTTACTTTACCTATCGGGACTTTATGATAGGTAACATTTAATCAGAGTAAGTTTTAATGAAATTTGATACGATTAAATGACACATTAAAGCCTTTGATTGATAAGCGAGACTTTAAAAGTTTAAAAAATTACAAAAACCTTTGCACTTGAACCCCTTTTGAAGCTTTACGAGGTTTTAAGTAACGGCAACTAATTGGTTGTCGTTAACGGTAATGCGTTTTTGCGAGCAATTTGATCGAAATCCAAATGTAATTTGCTTTTTATGGCGTTCTTAACGTTATTTGCCTTTTTATGGATTTTTAATTTTAGTTTAATAACAATCGTTTTTAATTATTCCTTCTGTAATGTTTAAATATAAATTATTTATTATTTTATTAAAACAATATTACTATTTGACATTTTAAAAGTAATTCGCCATGAAATTCCAGCTCAACAATACAATGAAACTAGCGCTTCAGGTCGGTTAATTGCCAAATAAATTTTACACCCGCTTACCCAGACCGTTACGACCAGTTACGTCGGATCATTAAGTTACTCGTAATTACTCAATGACCATCAAATAGCGGTATAACGATACCGTTTTCTTCATAAGATCGTAATTTTTCGATCACTTTTCTTCGGCAAACATATTAAAGGAGAAATTATTATTTCATTAAAAAACCGTTTCAAATTAACAAAATTTTCAACTATTCTCTGGGTTTCATTGACGTCAATGGCAGAAAGTAGTTCGTGTAACCTCTTCCGGTTATTTATACCCCCATCGGGTCGTAAATATTCATGAGGGGTCGGTACTAAACAGCTACTGTTACACATCGTAATCGATCTGGTGCAGACAATGAGCCACCATCATCCGCGCCTCATCGACAAAGGAGATCACACAAAGTTAAACGGAGCACCAAACACCTCCCATATCTGGTACTGACATATAAAGCTTGTTTGTATAATTAACGAGAAGGGGGAATACCAACGGAATCAAACTTAATCAATAAAAATAACGTCTATGTTATTTGAAATGATTTGAGAATACTTTCAAAGAAATTTTTTTATATAATTGTTTTAAAACTAATATTATTTATTTATGATAAACCTAAATAAATAATGTAATGTGTTGTAAAGAATGGATTATTGAACCCGAAGCAATTCTGGAATACAATCAAGACATTAAAAGGAAGCTAAAGAAAACAGACACTACATAGCATAATTTCAAGAACAACTACAAACACAACGCTACATGGATATGAAGAAAGAGAGGATGATGAAGAGGAGGAGACACAAGATGTGGAATTAGTAGTGGTCTTGGAAAGAACACTACATAACAAAATTTAAAGAACAAGAAACAACATAACGGTGTATGGAAATGAAGAAAGAGAGTTTGATGAAGAGGAGGAGACACAAGATGTGGAAGTAGTAGTGGTCATGGAAAGAACACTACATAGCATAATTTAAAGAACAACAACGGACACAACGCTACATGGAAATGCTAAAAGAGATGATGATGAAGAGGAGGAGATACAAGATGTGGAAGTAGTAGGGGAAGAGGTAGAAGACACTCATTACCACATACATACAACCAAAACCTTATCAGATAATACAATAGAAATTGATAAGTATTAAGTCTGGCATTTATGGACCTAACAGCACCCTTTGATATGGTATCGAAAGAAGAAATATCAAAGAACAATTAAAAAAGTATACAATAATACAAAAGGCTGTTTCAGGCTAAACGGAGAAATGTCTAAAAACTTTAAAACTGTCCTAAAACTATTTGTAATATTGATGAATTAAATAACTAAGAAATATAAAACAAAAACAAGACCCTCCACAATAGGTTATTTCAGACTCACACCGGTGAAGATCTTAGATCTAGTCTATACAGACGATATAATGCCGATAGCAAGTAAACAGAACTACAAAGACATGCTGAACTAGTGAAGTAATAAGGCAAATAAGACTACAGAGCCACGAAATTGATGAGGATGATTGGAGAGGTGAAATCGCAACACAGAATAAATACGGAACATTGATAGTGATAATTTCAGCTCAAATAAAGATTAATGAATGTTGCTATTTTAATAATTTTCATACATTGCTAGTCTTTCAAAGAGTTTGCATTTCTGTAACTGAGCATAAGATGTTTTTATGTTCTTCATATTTTCTTGTTTCAGAATTTTCAAAGTAATGAAACTGAACTTTCGCTTGAAAATCAAATAAAGAGTAAATCATCAGTTTGAAATGACAAAAGTGGTATGACACAGGATTACTACTTAGTCCTATGCGCGTCTATTCAGAGGTCAAGGGAAATGTTTTGATAGTATCTTTTTATGTTTATTCAGCTTTCTTGCATTTTTACATCGCAGTACTTTATCATTGCGATATGAAATCAAAAATCCATCAAAAAATTATGGCATATTAAAAAAGGCACAGTAATTTCAAAATATAACTGAATAAAGTACTCCTTCCGGTTACTCCATTTGGTTAAATTTTTTATATTTGAAATTTGATTAATTAATCTCAATTGAAAGTGATAATTTAAATTTGACCAGATGTGTGCATATTTATGCAGAGGTATAAGATGGAATAATTAAAATGGAAGTTATTAAACATTAAGATTACAATACTTTGTAATCACGGTACATGTGATCAAATAAAAGTGAGAGAGTAAGTAATCTTAATTTAAATCGTATGGTAAACCGTAGAGTGTATTAAAGCTCCACATTAGTTAATATTAGTCTATTAGTCAATGCTTTGAACAGAAACATAATAACAGAATTTCGATCCGAGGACATTTTTTAATAGTAATCTAATTCGAAAAGATTCATTTGCTGCGTTCATTACTCTTTATTATACACATTACTGTATCTTGAAATTGAAATTAAGCGTTATTGTTAATTACTTAATGATTAATTAAGGTTTAGTTGTAAACTTTGTAGTTATTAAGTAGATCTATTAATTTAATCTAACTTGAGTAACTAATTATATGTTTTGATTACAGAGACTGAGTAACGACCACATATGTTACTTCCTCTACCAGATACTGCGCGGCTTGAAATACATCCACTCAGCTAATGTGCTACACAGAGATTTAAAACCGAGCAATTTACTACTCAACACAACCTGTGACCTTAAGGTAACGCTATCAACTTGAGCTAATATATATAGTAATTGCAATTTTATCCTCCAATATCAATTAGTGGGTTATTAATATATTAAAGAATCGTACTAAAATCCAATTTATCTCAAGATTCACGAACATATTAAGATTTTGCAGTTTAATATAGTTAACAAAAACATTTAAATTAAACTAAAACTAGAACTAACACTTGTCTTTTGAAAAAGTGTTTAACGTTTCGGATACCATGCAACCTTCTTTAGAAACAAGTTCAACTTCTAGAACTTCGTATATCGTATCGTGTGTAGTCAATGTGGCATGCTTGTAGTTTGTCCAAAATCGCTTCAAAGTCTACTGTATCCAATGCTTCAAATTTGATAGCAAAGTATGATTCTGGTATTAAGCACGTCAATCTTATTAATGCTGCTGCTTAGTTTTTTTAGATGGTGCAAAAGTTATTGATTTGTTTTGAAATTACACTTGTATCGTTATGTTTTAGTTTACTTAAAGTTTTTGAATATTTGCTTTTGGTCATGGAGTTGGGTTAAAGTTAGTTATAAGATTTTCTCGACTGACATATTTAGCCAAACCACTTTTCTAGTTAACTCACATCTGATACGATGAGCAGTGCAGGGTTAATTTCAAAATCTACTTTAAATTGATTGGGATTAATTTTATTAAAGACAAACACTGAAATTACCAACTGCGGAAAAAGAAATTTATTAATTTTAATTCGCTTTCGTTTTAGATTTGTGATTTTGGATTAGCTAGAGTAGCAGATCCAGATCACGATCACACAGGGTTTTTAACGGAGTATGTAGCAACAAGATGGTATAGGGCACCAGAAATAATGTTAAATTCGAAGGTAATCAATTTTTAATCAAATTAAAGTGTTTCTGATGATCTCTTATTTATCTAGGGGTACACAAAATCGATCGATATTTGGTCAGTTGGATGCATATTAGCGGAAATGTTGTCAAACAGACCTATATTTCCTGGAAAACATTACCTTGACCAACTTAATCACATTTTAGGTGTGTTAGGATCGCCTTCACAAGAAGATCTCGATTGTATAATAAACGAAAAAGTAATATTGTTATAATACATTTTATTCATGTTTTATTCAATTTGTTTCGTTTTAGGCTAGAGGTTACCTTCAATCTTTACCATTTAAACCAAAAGTACCCTGGGTAAAACTTTTCCCAACAGCAGATCCAAAAGCTTTAGATTTATTGGATAAAATGTTAACATTTAATCCTCATAAAAGAATTGGAGTTGAAGAGGCGTTGGCACACAAGTATTTGGAACAGTATTACGATCCTGCAGATGAGGTATTTACTTATAATCAAAAAGAAATGTTTCTATATTAATTTTTTAATAATAGCCTGTTGCTGAAACACCATTCCGCTTGGATACAGAATTAGATGATCTTCCAAAAGAAGTTTTGAAGCGATTAATATTCGAAGAAACACTCGTTTTTAAGCAACGGGGGAATCAAGATCATGCATAGTCATTCGAGATAAACGTATAAAATACAAATAAAAGGAAACTCAGAAATTTTCTTTGTAAAATAAAAAAAAAGTTAAGACACACATAAGATTTTTTCGACCGTTGTTTAATGTTAACAGTTGTTGTGAATCTTCTGGTTGTCATACATTTAATAATAATCATATTAAAAAAATACAAAAATATCAAAATGAAAAAACGGAACGTTAAGGTTTTATTTTTTTCAGTGATATCTATGTGTATTATAAAATATAAAAAGTGTAAGGAAAAAGATATATATAGGAGTTTGAAACCAATAATAATGAAGCGAGAATTTAAACATTAAAAAAAGCGAAGAGAAAAATTAAATGAAATCAAAGTCTATTTTTGAAAATTAGTTTTTGTAACTTGATGAAGTGAAAAATATAACACTAAAGTAAGTACAACATTGTGAGATGCTAGTACAACTGAGCGAACGCTTTTCCTTTTTATAAATAAAGTAACAAAAACCTTTATTCCTTCCTCCCCCATCGCCGTCGACCTTTTAATTCCACTTAAAAAATCGAGAGAAAGAAGTTAATTAGAAAAAAAAAATAATAATGAAACAAAATGTTGCTAAAATAATAGGTAAAACATTGCCTTTGCAGTCTTTAATAATCGTTGATAAATAATTACACCAAAAATTCTAAACCAATTAATAAATTCTAAAACATAGATATAAAAATAAGAAAACAAGATAAAATGCGTGAAAAAGCAAGAAAGAATAAAGGCGAGTCAAATTGTTATTTATGTATAATATTGTTATTATGCAATTGTTAACATTCCAATAACAGCAACAATTTTTGCCATTTATTTAATTTATACTTCATAAGCTCATTCGTGTTAAAATAAAAACGCCGTGCCATAAAAATCACCTCCAACTTAATTTTTAACATAATCTCTTCAATTTTTCAATTTCCAAAAAAAATTATCAATATTATTATAATCTCGTGGATATTTATCTATGTATCACAAATCACGCACATAAAAAAATATCAAATGATCGTTAATGTGTAAATCTTATAAAATATACAATGTTTTATTAAAAAAAGAACAACTTAAACATAATTTTTTTTAGTTGAAATAGATTTTATTTAATTATTTAAACAATGTTTAAAATCAGAAGATGTTTATGCTTTTATTTTTTTTATACAAAAACCTCCACATGTATTTAAATTAAATATTAATGTTAAAAAGAAACCAACATTATGAAAAACTATGACGTAAGAGTACATAATATTTTTATCTGTGATTTATCACTTCGTTTTATGGTATATTAATGTACATGTACCTATATATATTTATAAATGTAGCTCGTTAAATTTTAATTTTGTAAATTTAAGTCGCGTTAAAAAAAAAGTAAGTGAAATAAAATTCCAAACGATTACAAGCGGAAATTGTTTAAAATATATGAATTAAAATGAATTGATCCACCAATAATTATTATAATAAAGGAAATTCATATTATCTCTAGACGGAAGAGAAATATTGTTGTAAATATATAATAGTTATAATGTGATAGTATAAAAAGGGGAAAAATGAAAGGGTAGATCGTATCAGAGAAGACAAACGTATTTTATTTTATTATCAACGTCATCTTAGAAGTTGATAAATTTTCGCAATATTATCGAAAAAAAATAACGTAAAATACTTTTTAACAATACCTTCTCAAGAAATAATTTTCAAAAAAAGTAATAAATGAGTACAGCTGAAAGGAAAATGAAATTAATATTTAGCACTTTTAATATTATCTCTGATAGTCACCTACGTAACCGATTTGAATAAAAGAAAAATTATTATTAAACTACTATTTCCTAAATATAAATGTCATATTTCTTGAAAACCATGGCCTAAAACAATGTTTTCCTTGTTACTTAAATGTTATTAATTATTAAACGATATCGTCATATTATTGTAGTTCTTATAAATGTATAATTAAAAATCTTAAAGCAATACTTAACTGGATTTTATTTCCTTTTATTATTTTTAATAATAAACACATCTTATGTAAAGCAATAACACTATTATTTTCTGTAATATGGTCAATTTTTGTTTCTTATATTGTAATAAATTTGATCGGAAGTCTTTCATAATGGAGTTACATCCCAGATAAAAGTAATTAATTGATCGAATTTTTTTTTATAAATATTCATAATAAAACAAACAAATATTAATTCTTAAAAAATTATTTATTTTCTTATCTATTAATTAATTCATCACAGATATATTTTTTATCTATAATCAAATCTATACAATTTACAAGAAAAGAAATTAATTTTTTGTTAAAAAAAAAATGAAATCCCCCAGAGAAAAAATTAATTCATTGTTTCGTTAATTTAACAAACAAAGTTTGTATGCTTTGCGAATTATCTTTGGTCTTTTGTCCCAAAATCAAATGCAAACGTCTCAAAGCGCTCAATTTATCTACTATATAGCTTTTAAGTTCGCTTTGGGCTTTTCGCCATTCCTGTAACGTTCGTTCAATTAAACTTAATGTTTCCAAACGAATTGATAAAATACATTTATTTTGATCTGCTTCAAACTGTAATTATTTAAAATATGATATAATTAAATAATACAAAAAAAAAATTAACTACCTTAATTTTCATACAAATCGACCACATTGCGTGAACTTTCAAAGTTGGACTTAAATTTGTCAGGATAAAATTAATTAAAGTTGAGACTGTAATAGGAGTTGATTTCGGAAAAACTCTCGTTTCTGATTTTCTAAAACATTTATGTAAATTTAATAAATCTAATTAATTAATAAATTATTACTTACTTTTCATCGGGGAAAAATAATAAAGTAGGTAACTTTTCCATGGTAAATTCCCAAGGTAAAGTATTCAAATCGCCATCGATTCTCCCAAAAGTAAGATGCTCGACGTTTTCTAACATTTTCGCCACTTTTAACAATTTATATGAAATACCCGAACAAAAAGCGCAATGCTTGGTGTAAAAAAATATAATAACAGCCTAAAATAATAATAAATCACAAAATTACTTAATAAAGAAATTTTTTTAAACAAACCTTTTTTTGTTTCGTAAAATTAAAAAATGATTCCGCATTTAAATCGGTTATAAAAAATTCTTTGCTAGTAGGTGGGATGTTTGTTGTAAACGATTTCGATCGATTTAAACTGTTTTCAAAGAATCTTTTAATAAATTTCCGAAGATTAACATCATTAATAGGAGATTTTAATACAAAAAATGACTCATTTTGATCATCTATAATAATTGCTGATGTTTTTTGATCATTTTTTAAAAGATTCACGTTTAAATTCGTTGTAAAACCATCGTAATTTAAAGAGTCCATCGCAATTAAGTTTAATGTACGATTCGAATTACATAAAAAACCTTTCAAAAATTTTTTAAGACTTTTCAAGCCGCTAGTAAACATTTTTGGTTCATATTTTTCGATTTTAATCGAATAAAAAGACTCCGCAAACGCTTTTAGTTCATTTTTATTATTAAGAAATCGTTTTTGAAGATTAATCGGTGAATTTTTATCGAAATTATCGGGTAAAAGTGACGTTTTGAAATAATTTTTTTGATCTTGTTCGCATTTTAATCGATCATTATAAAAAGTGTTTATATTATTTTCAATTAATACATTATTATCTAAATAAAAACCGAATTGATTCTGATTTTTGATTAGATCGGAATAACAAATAGAATTATTTGTGTAAAATTCGAAAGTCGTTGAAATTGTGTTATTTTGAGGAGTTTTAATTAACACTTTATGAAAATCCTCATCAAAATCCATCAAAGATTTATTAGAATTTCGATTGAGTCGTTTTTTATTTAACGCAAAACGTAATGAGTAGTTATCAAAATCATTTTTGCAGTTGAAAAGTTCTAATGCGATTTCGCGAATCTAAAAATTTTAATGAAATAAAAAAAAATACAAAATGATAATTTAATTTTACCAGTAAATAATAATAATTTGTTTCATAAAGTATCATTCTTGGTGTAAATAGGATTAAAGCCGGCCCTGGTTGAAGATATTTCGATAATAAAGTACTTTTTTGACCGTGAGGTGATGCCCAAGATGTTAATTTATGTATTTTTTCGCTTAACCAAGTTATTAATCCGTTTGTAGTCCAATTAGGTTCGAAATAACTCTTTAATAATAAAATTAATAAAGATAAATCTGTTTCAAAAACGTAATTTATACTTACAAATGTTTCATTTGATGTATAAATGGTTAATTTCTTTTTAAATCCTGGTTTTTCAGTTTTAATACCAAAACCAACCTCCCTAAACGGATCTTTTTCCAAAAATCTCAAAGCTGTTGAATAAAAAATTTCATAATCAACATTTCTTCGATTTAAATCAACCATAACATCCAAATTCGCCAAAATGACAACCTTTAATAAATCAAAATAATAATATAAGGGTTGTTTTTAAGGTCACATAAGATGTATAAGTTAATAAAGGTTATAACCTGTTGAAATAATAATGTATAAAGAAATAAGTTAAAGAAAATTTTAAAAATATGTATTAATGTATTTTGATTTCTTTAACCACTTTTACTACTACATATTTTTTTATTTATTTCATACTTCTTAACACATCATTTGTAATACTTCTCATACCCAATGATGATACCAAAAATGATTATATTACTTTTACTCATACAGACTTACATCATATTTTGTTCTAAATGTCAAAAAGTCAATTCCATTTTTAATTCTTTCAATAGGACTCACAACTGAATTTAAAAACTTGATCATATAATCAGCTTTTAAAGGGCCATTATAAGGTAAACCACGATTATCATTTAAATAAACAACAAAAATGGGCCAACCATAAACTTTACTATATCGTTTTTGGCATTCTCCCTCTGGTTGCCAACAATTTACAGCCTCAAGATCTATCATTTCCTTCATAAATTGAGCTACAATTTCAAATTCTTTTCTTACTTCTTGAGACTTTCTATCCCAAGGGGCATAAAACATTACAAAACTAATGTCTTTTGTAGATGAGATTTTTGTTGTTGAAAAAATCTTAGAGATTTCTCCTTTGAAATGATCTTTTATAGGTGAGTTTGTCAAATTTGAAAAGAATTTATTTGCTTGAGGTGGATTTGATGTTTTAGGTACACTAAAATTTAAAGGTAAATAATTGTTTTGAATCGATTTAGATTCAATTTGAACTTACTCATTATTAAAAGCTGCATAAACCATAACCACTAAACCCATTATAAAAGCACTACGCAAATTAGACATTATATTATTTATTAAAATCTTTAAAAACCAACTTTTTTCGGTTTCTTTTTCGTTTTTTTTAACCTTTTTGGGAGGCTTTTCGTCCAAAACATTTTTATCTGGACTGAAATCAATCTCCTCGGCTAGACTTTCCGACATTTGAAATCCTTACGGCAGTCATTTAATGGTTTTTATTTGAAGTGTTATTCTAGTTTTTCGGAAGTTTATATTACATTGAAAAATTGCAGTTATATTCCAGATTGATAAGTTAAATTTTTAGTACTGACGTGTAACATAACCTAAAAAACTGACAATTCCTAATTTGACAGTTATTGAATGACAATTGCGAAGTTAGTTACCAATTAGTCATTAAATATTTAAATTTAAAATTAAAGCTGGAGTTACGAGAGGAGTAATAAATTTCGATATTATTGCTGTATATTACCATTGGTAAAGGCTTAAATGATAACCAATCGAAGTGTGTTTTAAAAGTAATAATACTAAGTGGACTTTTTGGTATTTAAATGTTGGTAGCGAAAATTATCGTCAACTTCGTTGTAAACAAAGTCAATCCGTTTCAGGTAATAATCTACCTACCAAGTTTAGCTTTACAGTTTTTCGCTCGTTTTTTTGACGGGATTTCGGTGAAAAAACCCACTAAAGACCATTTAGAAAAGTTTCAAACGTTTCGATGAGGATCTCGGGCAGGTGAAAATTGCGTTATCTTGGGTATTTTTAACGCGTCAAACGTCAAAATGTCAGATGAGGAAGAGGATTTTTTCTTAAAAGATCCCCAAAAAGCGGGCCAACCGATGGAAATTTCGATAGAAACGCTTTCGGGAACTGTGTTTGACGTTCCTGTTCGCCCTACGGACACCGTGCTCGATATCAAAACGAAAATCCAGCGTGTTGAAGGTAAATTTACTGAATTAATTTCAAACATAACCTCACTTTTTTTGACAACTGTCAATTATTTTCGGGGGCCCTTTTGAGGGGTTTTAAATTGTTGTTAATCTTTTTCTTTTGTCCATTTGATAAGGTATTCCTACCCATCACCAAAATTTACTTTTTCACTTAAAAGAATTAGAAGATTTTAAGCGTTTAAGCGATGTTGGAATCAAAAATGGATCAAAATTAAAATTAGTGCTTTCAATGAGGGGCGGACCGATTTCTACACGACGTTTAACTACTTGTATTGATCGGAGACATATTGTTTGGAAGGATCTAAAGGAACTTATTGAACACACCAGGTAAGAAATGTTTTGATAATTGGTTTGGCATAATTATTTTTATTTTATAAAAAATACATTTATATTTTTTTTGTTGTAAAAAATAGGGAAGAAATTGCTGAAAAGCCAGAGTCCACATCAAAAGTATCAGTTTTAGTGTTTAAAGAGGGCGCTGCAATTAATTTGATACGTGTGATAGAGAATGAGGATGGTTCCTACTCGCCTTATTTAAAAGAGAATAGAGAAAAGCGTGTTGAAATGGTTAAGAGTATTAAGAAAATGTCCGAAGACAGTGGGATTGAATCAAAGATGGAAATTTTAAGATCAAAAATGGAGAATTTGGAGGTTTTAGAAGATGAATCAAATGAATTAAGTGATTTAAACGATTTAAAATCGTTAAAAAGTCGGTTTTTAAATAGGTTTCTGTCAAAAAAAGATGAAGAAAGTGAAGACTTAGATAAGAAAATAGAAAAAAATGATGATGTGAGCGAAAATTTGGCGGCTAGTTCTTCAGTTTTTGATGAAATCGAGTCAAATTCAATACGAAAACCGTTCTATTTACATAAATCCGATAATAATCTTCATAAATTAGATAAAAGTCCATGTAAAACGGATAAGGTGGAAGGTGTAAAGGAGTTAAAAGGGGTTTCGAGTGGTAAAAATCGTCGGATGCGTTGCGAAAAGTGCAAAAAACGGTTGAATTTAACGAACTGGTATTTGTGTAGGTGTGAAAAAGCGTTTTGCACGCAACACAGATTACCGGAAGTGCATGATTGCGGGTATGATTTTAAAGGTGAGGGTAGGAGGGTTTTGGAAAGGGAAAATCCAGTTGTGAAAGGGGTTAAAGTGGTCAAGTTTTGAAGGGCTCTTCTGAAATGGAAGGGGTTGAGGGTTTTGTAGGAGTTAATTCAAAAAGAACAGGAAATGAAGGAAAAATGAGAAGGTGTGGAAGTGTAAATTTGGTGTGATTAAAATAAAAATAAACATACTATAGAAATACAAAAAAATATTAAAATAATTTAAAACATGAGTGGTTTTTCTTGGTTTTTAAAATTAATGTTGAAAAAAAGGATAAAAAAGATTAGAAATTATAAAAATATTAATTAATGTATATAAGTATGTACAAAACGGTTTGTTATAATATAATAATAGTGATAGTAATCATTATGATAATAATGTGAGTGAAAAATATGTTGAAAAGCAAAAAAAAAAACAAGGACCAGCGTAAAGTGATATTTTTTTAATCCTTACCTATTTATTTTTAATCATCACAATTACATATTTAAAAAGCGATATATCGATTTTAAATTTAATAATATTATGTGGTTAACTCTGTAGTAACAGTGGTCAAATGTTTACAATTTTTACCTGTTTTTTCTTCATATTTATAACTTAATGAAACAATTATTTATGTATGAAACAAATAAGATAACCATTACAACAAATCTGAAAATTAATTCTGTAAATATGACTAAAAATGTATATTTCCCCTTTTATGTTTAACAGTATAGATGATCACTTTCTACTAGTACCTCAAAATTTTTTAAATACTGCTTGATTTGGAGAATCTCAGGAAGGAAGCAGATAAATTTAATGAGATGGTGCATTTATCAAAGTACAGAAACTGGTTAGTTTTTCAATGTAATAAATACATTCTCCACAGTCCCTTTCCTCATACCTACATTTCAATCATGGTAGATGTTTTATATTCTATGCATAGCTTGTAATATATTTGATGGGCCAATGATTCAAAAATGACTTGCTTGATGAAGTTCGACTGAGCAAATATTTATAAAGATGTATTGATGATGAAGAAAAAGATTAAGGGTAAGTCCATTTATTTGATAAGTTTTTTAGGTTTTTTAACAGTTTCATCTGATTTCTATGTACATTACTTACTATTAAGAATTTTAACAATTCTTATTAGTTAAATACAAGTTCAAATTATTTTCCTAACCCGACTGTATTTAATAAATCTTCTTATAAAGTTCATTTCCTGAATTCACCGTCCTTCGCTGAAACAATAATTGTAGCATAGATAACTATCATCCTCAGGAATATGAATTCGATGAAATTTTGGAACGCATTTCTTAAGGAAACTGTGTCTACATTCATCACACTTCAAGTTAATCTTATTTTGACAAGTTTTTCCGAAAAACGAAATATTTCAGTTTCTTCTATTTGTCGTTCTGTTTCTATCTGTACTCGCTTGTGCATTTCCTGAAATGTTTGCAATGATATTGCAAATGGTAGTCTTTCGATATTTCGTTTGCTTTACGTTTCGGCGTGTTTAGCTAAATTTGATTAAACTCGTTGTGATGTCATCATCGTTGGACGAAACTTGATCATCATTCAATTGTTTCAATTTCAATTGGGTTTATGACAACATTTGCAATTATATGCACTTTTGGACTTTGATAGTGATCAGAATTTGATTCAATTGGAATATTATTTGCTTGTTTAGGGATCATATTCTCTTTATTCCCAAGAAGTCCTCTATTAGCTATCTCCTTTATCAAATATACTAAAGAAGTTTCCTTGTTTTCAGTTAAAACGGTACAAGGTCCAAAAGTCTCTTTATGCCCTGGATGTTTAACTTTAAAATCCAGTGTTGATTTAGGTACATGATATTTGTTGGCAATATCTCTTAGAGAAAATTTACCTTTCTGCATTCCTTGAATGACCAACAACACGTGTCTGGGGTCATATGATGGGGTGAAAAAATACAAAAAGTGTTAGTGAGAAAGGTATAGGAAACTCACTTCAAGATTGATCAATAGTATTATTTATTATCCGAAGAAACACCGGATCTGTGGCAGAAATGAACAATGAAATATAGGCTATATTTTACTATAATAGTTCATCAGATAGCAATATTGCTCAATAGCATTATTGCTTCCCTAAAAAAATATTTTTGATATTATTCCGTCGTCTTTATCGTATGGTAGTAAACACCCCATTTTCATTATTTTAAAATTATAATATAAAAACCTCATTTTAATGCACAATAAGTAATAATAATTTATGTTTTTTCTAACGCCAAATTGCAACTAATACAGTGGCTTCAATCTGAAGATGTATTTATTGGTTTCCAGAACTTGATAAATAATGTAAATACAGAATGTCGTTATACTTTCAATAATTGATATTTAATTCTGATTGAAACCGAGATCTAAAATAAATAATTCTTTAAGAGAACCCCTTTTCTTTAATACTACATTGGTTCAGTGCTTTTTTTCTTTATTTGTGAATCTCCTAAATATATAATAAAATGCTTCCTTTAGTGTTTTAAATTGGCTCTCTTAATACAGCTAAATAGCTAAAAGACGATTTCATCATCTAAAATATCCAGCGTTGGAACACTTTTCTTACTATTATTATTAAGGTATTTCTTACCCACGTATAAGACGCCAATCCAACAGGGGTAAACCCACCGATTGTAATGAAAGTGTCTCTTGAACATCGCATTAAGACGATACTAAATAATTTCTTGAATCGATTACCGCATAAATACCAAGGAGCTGTGTATAAAGATGTTCCTAATTTCATGCTCTATAATATAAAACAACTTTAAGTGGATGGATTATTTTTTTATCCTAGGTATTCACATATCCCTGATTACAAAATTGTTTACTTATAAGTTAATTTTTCTACATTTAAATAGTATATTTAGTTACTACTCTGCTCTAAAACTATAAGTTTAAAGTAGAAAGTTAAGAAGTTATGGAAATAGGAGATAATAGAGCAATGGAATCTTCTTCTAGAATAGATAACGACAGAGATCTGACACTTTTTTTTGTTACTTTTCAATTGATATTGAAATTATTTTAAGTAAGTTATAAATAAACATCTTAATCCGGATTATGTACTCTAGGATCAATGTAATCAATATACCTGTTGTAAAAGACTTTCACCTGCAAAACTAATCAATGTCACTTCTAAAAGTATTGGTAACATATATTCAATGGCTTGTAAAATCACTGTTTCATCTTTACTCTAAAAATATTTTTAGGAAATCATTTTTTTTTTAATATCTTATTAACTAAATACGTTTATAACGAGATGCATTTCAAATGTTAAATATCCTTGTGCAATGAGAATCATTGGAATAAGAAGTATAGACCAAAATTTTTCCATTTCTTTTGAAAAATGAATTAATTTACTGTGTTGTTTAATAAGCCTGGCAAAATTTATACAAATTCGATGATTGTATGATTCCGTTTGCATCACTGTAACAATTCTATTATAAAGCCCATAATCCTCAACTGACCTATTACAATTAAAAAAGAATTTCATTAAAAAATTCATATTACTAATGTTATTCTACATTTCTTTCCGGCTACAATTGTTTGGTAACATTCTCTTAAACGTTAAAATATCGTCTTTTGTAAATCCATATTCAAGTAAAGGTGTGTAACAAACATGTTCGAATTCCCAAGCTAAAAACGTTAATATTTAAATTTATTAAAAATCGTTTTTATAAACTAACCTAATAATTCATATTGACCTGCAGTAACATGGGTCATCGTTGTAAACAAAATATCTGTTGTTGTAACATGAAAAACCAAAACGATATTACAAAACATTTCTAAAAGAAATGTTATTTCATAAAAGGGTGATTTTGTTGAATCGTATGGTCTCCATAAAGGCATGGGTAATGATCTAACAATAAAATTTTTTTAATCTCATTAATTCTTACAAATATCGTACCTTTCTTCATCCATTATTAAAGGTGTTACCATATACATTTGAGCACCTAAATGAGCAATTGTGAACCAAATTAAAAACCCAACGTTGGTGTTTTTAATATAACTATGCATTGTTTTCTCGATTATTCCAGTTTGAGTGCTATAAGTAAACGTTTCAAACATTAATTGAACTAATTTGGTTGTTTTTTCACAAAATGTATAAAAAAATATTAATCTTGTTGCAACTGTAGTGTTGACGCCTAAAAATGAATTCATCATTATTTTATAGGTTGAAATTTTCCCCATATTCACTCATATTTAAAATTGTTGGTGATTTACTAATCAGCGAAGATTCGGTGATTATTAAGTCGATCATTGAAAAAATAATTGCATAAGATACAGCTAAAGTACAGAAACTTCTCCATAAATAGCACCAAATTTTGAATGAAAGCGAAGAATTTTTATCTAAATCCAACATTGAAGTAAAACGCATAATTTTTAAATTATAATATAAATATTTTTGATTCATGGTTATCTTTATAAGAAATATATAAAGATCTTTTTGATACAATAAGTTTTCGGATTTAAAGAAAGTTTTTTTAAGGCAGTTTGTTTTATAGGGTGTTGTATTTTATAGGGTTGTAATTAAGAGTAATTATGAAGTAATTTATGTAATTACGAAAAATACGCTGCGATGTGTCTGTATAATTTGGGTATGAGTGGGAATAAGAACTTGTGGTGAAGTAATTATTGCAAACATTTAAGTTATTTGACTCATATGTGTGTAATTAGTTAATGATATGGTGGATAAATACCTATTTAAACAAAGGTGTTAGGTATTTGATTAGAGCTTATCGTTCTAAGAAATATATTGTTAGGGTAAAAATTAGTCTAATTATAATCTATTTAGTGTTGTCTGCTTTTTATGACTTTGCACTTTTACGAAATCCGCACATATATTCAGTGTGGATATAGCACACCTATCATTACGTTCTTGCATAAAATAACCTTGTAACTCAACTATACATTTTTTGCTTGCATGTTCGTTACAGAAATAACACCATGTGCAGAAGAACATGGAAATAGAGCAGCTGACCGACATTTCCGCCTTCCACCAACAGAAAAAACCATTCACGATTGGCGATCTAGTAAAGAAGAACTCGAACAAATGAGGAGATCTAAATGTGCAAGTAGAGGACCAAATATGGCCAAAACTAAAAGATGATGTATTGAAATGGATTGAATGAACTTAATAGACTTTAAGGGTGAAGTGTAATCTAGGAGCACTAGAACTCCACTCTGACCATCATCGCGAGCCTTCAAGAGATTAGTGACGTTGAATAAGGCGGTGGCATAACTATATCTGATTGGAGAAGAATCAACAAAAACTAAAGAAAATAAATCAGCGAACAATGAGCATACTCCAACACCGTCACCGACAACACTTCTATTTCATGACATCGTGGAAGGAATGACATCCGCACGCTTCTTAGACTTAGTAAAAGCCCAAAAGATCTTTGAGTCAGATTGGAAACTGCATTCAGCTCTTCGAACATACTTCATGTAATTAAGATGGATTAGATACTTTGCACGACTCCTTAAAATTTAAAAAGTTGCCAAAACGTTTCCATTATAACAAACTATACCGCTATTTTTTCATCAAACGGTTGGGTTTGAGGGACCTTGACTGTTGGCACGGATAGTAGATACTTAATCAGGTAACATTTGGACGTTTTCTCCAAAACATCTGTATTCTGGCCCAAAGGTAGTTCAATTTGAGACGCATCTAGCAGTTAACATTTAACTTTGTAAATCAATAATTTTTGCTACAGAAATGCAGAAAGGCTGAACGAGCATTAGACACGATTTTGGTTTGTTGTAAGTTTTTCATACCACCATTTTTGGTTCTTTCATTTTTACCAATGATTTTAGTTCCGGTTAGAATCACATCAGTAATTAAAGTAATATTTCTTTCTTTTATAGCACTGGAAGACTGCCCATAAAGTGTTCTAATGACTGAAAATCTAGTGCAGTAAGTGCACAATGCCTATAGACGATTTAACCAATAAAAAAGAAAAGCTAGGTTGGGTTTCATTTCAACAGGCAAAAAACTAAAAGAAAGGTTGCCTTGAGTTTGCTTCTGGTAGGTTGAGTTGGATGTTCCATTTTGGTGGATATAATACAAAAACATGGTTGGGTTAGAATTGTCTTTTGTGGGCTTCTGGTAGGTTGAGTTGGAAGTGTTCCATTTTGGTGTACATATTGCAAAAAAAATGATTGGTTTAGGATTTTTGTAGGAACAACTGCTGCTCTCCAACAAAAACACGGTTAGGTTGGGTTCAGTTTGCTAATAGTGAACAAACAACTATTGGTTCCAGTTTGCAGTGCCAATAAAAATGAAAACTTAGGTTGGAATGGTAAACATCTATTGCGCACTTTAGTAGTAGCCCCAAATCCTGTTATTTCGTGCCTCAGGATAATTCTAAATATTCTAAAGAAGAAATTACCACGTACTTTACTTTAATTTCTTTAATTATTCTTCAACTATGGTAAAACTATACGATGGAGACATACAAATACAGAGGTATAACATTAACTATGTCATTAATAACTATCTCTTTTCACTTTGACAGAAGTGATTTTTAACAATTAAGTTTTTAAAGTGATTACAAAAACTTTATTAATCCAAAAAGAATTAATCATTCATATTTCGTTGCCTAAGAACTGTGAAGTAACTAAAAGATGTTTTCATAACCTACAAAAAAAACAACTTGAACTCACAAATAATGTTGTATACTTTAATATTTTTACCCATGCGTAAGCTGTTAAATCAAAAATTTTAAATTTTCCAAGGGATAACCCAAAACTTTTTTCTAAACAAAAGTGCCAAAATTTAAAGGTAGATGCTAATTTCTTAGAGCATAAGTACCAGGGTGTCGAATACAAACCAAATTGTAGTTTTTGAGTCTATACACATTAATATAAGTACAAAAAAAAATTATTAAGAAAAAATTACCTGTTCGAATAAAAAATCGGATGGATATGCCACTAAAAATGATTCAACAACAGCTGAAAAAAAGTATACTGCCATTTGCAAACGATGAATCATTGAAGTACTCTACAACAAAAATACCGAAACCTTTGATCTCAAAGAAATGATTTTAGTTACCAAGCTGGTTCCATATAAAATAAGAACGCAATGACTTAAAATACTAAGAAACATCATTAGCAATGACGTAGCCAAAAAATTTTCCAATTTATCACAAAAATCGAGAATATCTCTATGAAAATTTACGACTTTAATAATTTTAATGCGGAATTGTTTTACATATTCATCCGTTAACATAAACTGGTAAATATCCAAGCATTTATCGTGTTCTGTTATCCCATTCGAATTTGCCAAAGTTTCTTGAAAATGTAATATTCTTTGTTTATCATATCCAGATGCGAGTAAACTGCTAAAGCAAATATTTTCTAATTCCCATGCTGAAATGAATTCATGAATAAATTTTTTAAAAAATGTTATTAAATATACTTAATATTTTAAATTGTCCTGCAGTGATAACCACAATCGTTATATAAAAAATATCTAATATGTTATAGTTATACCACATAGAATTTTGAGCGAGAAATTGAAAAATATGGGATAATTCAAAGTATGGGGATGCACTAGAGTTGTATGGATACCATAAAGGTATTGGTTCTTTCCTAAAAAATATGTATCAATTATTTTTAAATACAAAAAAATTAAAGATAAATCCAAATACCCTATAAAGATTGGGAAAGCTGTAAATAAATTGGCAGCAAAAAACGACGAAACACCCCAAATTAAAGATGCTAAATTAACCATGTTAATATATCCATGAATATCAATTTCTTTCAATCCAGTTTCAGAGGTGAATTTAAATTTTTCATTTATAGTGTGAATAATTTCTAAAGTTGTCTCATCTTTAGTGTAATATAGTGCTAATCTTATAGTAACTCCAATAAAAACCACTTAAAAATAAAACGACATTATTATAATTTCTTTAATGTTTTTCACTTACTATCGTTTATCAATAAAAGAAATTGATCGAAAGATCTATCTACATATAAATAATAAAATATCGTGGTGATAATAGTCCATTCTATTAAAAAAAGATTGATCGCTCGAAATATATAAAAAAATATTTTTGATATTATTCCGTCGTCTTTATCGTATGGTAGTAAACACCCCATTTTCATTATTTTAAAATTATAATATAAAAACCTCATTTTGAAGCACAATAAATAATAATAATTTATGTTTTTTCTAACACCAAATTAGAACTAATAAAAAGACTTCAATCTGAAGATGTATTTATTGGTTTTCAGAATATAATAAATAATGTAAATACAGCATGTCGTTATACTTTCAAGAATTGATATTTAATTCTGATTGAAACTGAGATCTAAAATAAATAATTCTTTAAGAGAACCCCTTTTCTTTAATACTACATTGCTTCAGTGCTTTTTTTCTTTATTTGTGAATCTGCTAAATATATAATAAAATGCTTCCTTTAGTGTTTTAAATTGGCTCTCTTAATACAGCTAAATAGCCTATAGACGATCTCATCATCTAAAATATCCAGCGTTAATTGGAACACTTTTATTATTATTATTAAGATATTTTTTACCCATGTATAAGACTCCAAACCATTAGGGGTAAACCCACCGATTGTAATGAAAGCGTCTCTTGAACATCGCATTAAGACGATACTAAATAATTTCTTGAATCGACTACCGCATAAATACCAAGGAGCTGTGTATAAAGATGTTCGTAAGTTCATGCTCTATAATTTAAAACAACTTTAAATGAATGGATTATTTTTTATCCTAGGTATTCACATATCCCTGATTAAAATATTGTTTAATTATGTTACAATATTGGAATCTCAAAAAGTGCTTTTCTTTGAGAAATAATTTTTCTACATTTAGGTAGTTTATTAGTTCCTACGCTTCTCTAAAACTATAAGTTTAAAGTAGAAAATGAAGCTATGGGAATAGGAGATAATAGAGTCAAAATCAGAATTTGTAAAGTCAAGGTTGAAGCAATGGAATCTTCTTCAATTAGGGCCTTTTAGTATAGATAACGACAGAGATCTGACACTTTTTTTGTTACTTTTCAATTGATATTGAAATTATTTTAAGTAAGTTATAATTAAACATCTTAATCTGGATTGTGTACTCTAGGATCAATGTAACCAATATACCCGTTGTAAAAGACTTTCACCTGCAAAACTAATCAATGTTATTTCTAAAAATATTGGTAATATATATTCAAGAGCTTGTAAAGTTACTGTTGAATCTTTACTCTAAAAATATTTTTATTAAATAATTTTTTAATATCTTATTAACTAAATATACGTTTAAAATGAGATGCACTTCAAAAGTTAAATATACTTGTGCAATGAGAAGCATAGGAATAAGAAGTATAGACCAAAATTTTTCCATTTCTTCTGAAAAATGAATTAATTTATTGTGTTGTTGAATAAGCCTGACAAAATTTAAACAAAGGCTATGATTGTATGATTCCGTTTGTGTCACTTTGACAATTCTATTATAAAGCCCATAATCCTCATCAGACCTATTACAATTAAAAAAGAATTTCATTAAAAAATTCATATTACTAATGTTATTCTACATTTCTTTCCGGTTACAATTGTTTGGTAACAATCTCTTAAACGTTAAGATGTCGTCTCTTGTAAATCCAAATTCAAGTAAAGGTGTGTAACACACATGTTCGAATTCCCAAGCTAAAAACGTTAATATTTAAATTAAATTATAGTTAATATTAAAATTTTATAAACAAACCTAATAATTCATATTGACCTGCAGTAATATGGGTCATCGTTGAAAACAAAATATCTGTTGTTGTAACATGAAAAATCAAAATGAAATTAGAAATCACTTCAAAAAGAAATGTTAGTTCATAAAACGGTGATTTTGTTGCTTCGTATGGTCTCCATAAAGGCATTGGTAACGATCTAACAATAACATTTTTAATCTAGATTAATACGTAAAAATATCGTACCTTTCTTCCTCCATTATTAAAGGTGTTACCATATACATTTGAGCACCTATATTCCCAATTGTGAACCAAATTAAAAACCCAACGTTGGTCTTCTTAACATAACTATGCATTGTTTTCTCGATTAATCCAGTTTGAGTGCTATAGGTAAACGTTTCAAACATTAATTGAACTAATTTGGTTGTTTTTTTACAAAACGTATAAAAAAAAATTAATCTTGTTGCAAGTGTAGCGTTAACGCCTAAAAATGAATTCATCATTATTTTATAGGTTGAAATTTTCCCAATTCTCACTCATGTTTAAAAATACTGGTGATTTACTCATCAGCGGAGATTCGGTGGTTATTAAGTCCATCATTGAAAAAAGAATTGCATAAGATACAGTTAAAGTAGAGAAACTTCTCCAGAAATAGCACCAAATTTTAAATGAAAGCGAAGAATTTTTATCTAAATCCAACATTGAAGTAAAACGCATAATTTTTAAATTATAATATAAATATCTTTGAGACATGGTTATGTTTACAATGAAAGATCTTTTTGAATAAGTTTTCGGTTTTAAAGAAAGTTTTTTTAAGGCAGTTTGTTTTATAGGGTGTTGTATTTTATAGGGTTGTGTTTAGGAGTAATTATGAAGTAATTTATGTAATTACGAAAGAGAAACGAGAAATACACTACGATGTGTCTATAATTTGGGTATGTGTGGGAATAAGAACTTGTGGTGAAACAATTATTGCAAATATTTAAGTTATTTGACTCATATGTGTGTAATTAGATAATGATATGGTGGATAAATACCTATTTAAACAAAGCTTATCGTTCTGAGAAATATCTTGTTAGGGTAAAAATTATAATCTAGTTGTTGCCGCTTAATTGGGACACATTGAGACCGAATTCAATTAAGCGGTTGTCCTAATACTTTAAATTTAAAAAACAATTAAGTTATTATTTTTTGAAAAAGTTATTTAGTGACGTCTTTTTACGACTTTGCACTTCTACGAAATCCTCACATATATTCAGTGTGGATAATAGGACACCTCATTACGTTTTAAAAAACCCAATGTACAAAAAAGTGATTCTTTATTAATAAAATCACAATTCTCTTAAAGTAGGAAATAGTACCAAAAAAATTCATGTTTTCAACTTATTAATTAACTTATACATAAAATCATACACAAAAAATATTTTCACAATCCTTCCTAAACGTTTCAATTCATAATACATCTGGAAGAAGAAAAAAATATTGTAAACGCATCACATTCAATAGTCATCAAACGATACACTAAAGTATAAAAAAGCTTCGGTATTCTTAAAAACTAGTAATTATGTGCAATTGTCGATAGTCGTTTCTAAATTAACGCCTCTAAGTTCGTGGTTCATCATTTTCAAAAGTGGATGTTTTCCACATCCACATCTATTTCTAAAATCGTCGAGATCCAAAGCCCAAACCATTCCACCTCCCAAGTTCATTTGTTTTACAAATTGAGACTATAACAAAAAGAAAGAAATAAATTTGAATTTGTGGGTTAATCAAAGTATTACCTTTCGTTTGATTTCTGAAATATCGTCATAAGAAACCCATTGATTTCCACTATAAGCATATGGTCCAATTCTTCCTAAAGGATCTCGAACAACATTCCAAGATTGTCGTTTTACTCGTTCGCAAATCTCATAGAATGCTAGGAATCCTCCAGCACGGGTAAATTCACCCGCTTCTCCAGGTCCGTAAGAGAGAGCATTTAAACCATGTTTTTTTGTGTCTGCCAAAGAGAAACTTTGTCCATAAAGCGGCATACCCATGATGATTTTCTTCGGATCAGCTCCTTGTTCAATCCAGTAATTTAATGTAAAGTTCTAAACAAAAAAAACAATCATTCAAATTTCTTTTATAATATGTATGCATTCTTACAGCATTGAAATAATCATAAGTATCTCCTGGATAATAATATAGCGGAGCTACATGTCCAGTTTTCTTATCCCATTGGCCGTGATAATCATAGGTCATTACAGCGATCCAATCCAAATATTGGTTTAATGCGGGTACATCGTAACCAGCATCGATTACCATTTTACTTGGAGAAACAGCAGCAGTTAATAGCCATCCCCTTGGTTTGAAAGCTTCGCTTAATTCTCTTAAGAAAATAGCAAAATTTTCTTTATCAGCATCGGGACCTTGGTTACAATCAACTTGCCAACATTTGGGATACTCCCAATCTAAATCTAATCCATCAAAGTTCCATTTGGTGATGAATTGAATTGCGTGTTCGATGAAACGACGTCTTGCTTCCGGACTAGCTACTAATTTTGAATATTTGTTTCCTAAGGAATCATTCCACCCACCCAATGCTATCAAAACTTTGATTCCTTTGATTTTATAGGCGGTAACTCTATTGTAGAATTCTAAAGATTTAAATAAAACGATAAAATTGTTTTTGTTAAAGTAATTAAAATATTACCGTTGTCAATATCAGCCCAAGTATCGTGAGGTTTTATAACTAAATCATTTGGATCTAAAACTGCAAATCCATAATTGATATGAGTACATAAAGTATCATCTATGTCTGATGGCATGTATTTTCCATCTCCTTGTCTAAATTGATTAAAATATTGTATATCTTAATTTTCAAATTTAAAGATGTTTTAATTATCTTACCTATACCATGCCCAATTGGTGAAGTAACAAACGACTTTATACCCATCTTCACTTGGAATTGATGGGGTCGTGCCTGGTTGAGATGGTTTATGGCTAGTTGTTATCACAGGTAAATCTGGTGAGGTAGTAGTCGGCTCTTCAGTTACTGGAGGATTAATGGTAGTTCCATCAGGGTGACAAGCTGTATTTTCAGGCCAATCACAATGATCTTTATTCCAGTATAAACCCTCAGCGCATTTTTGTAAAACTAATTCGCCCTGATTACACAAATAATAGTGTTGGCAACTACTTTCGTGAGATTGAAACAGTCCAGTGCACTTCATTCCCGTGTTCATTGAACTTTGCCAACTTGTGGTTGTTGTATCTATAGGTTTTTCAGAACTGGGTTGATAATCAATTGGTTTTTGGGTGGTTGATTTTTCTTTTTCAGGAATAATAACCCCTGGTCCACCAAGCAAACAACTCGGAGCGGGTACAGTGTAATTTCTAAGAACTCTGTTGATGGTTCTTAAAAGGGGATAGTTTTCGCAACCGCAAATATTTTTGAAATCATCTAAATCTAAAGCCCATATCATTCCACCACCTAATCCCAAATCTTTGATAAATTGCGATTTATGTCTGATCATATCTATATCATCAAAAGACACCCATTGGTCCCTTTGGTAAGCGTACGGCCCAATTCGCATTTTCTTATCACGAATTACAGTCCAACCTTTATTTTGAATGTTGGAACAAATCTAAAAGAAAATGGATTAAAATAAAATTTTTTTAAATTAAATGCTAATGGTGGTACTTCGTAGTAAGATAAGAATCCTCTAGCTCTAGTTTCTTCGCCGGCTTCTCCTCCACCATATGTGGGTGCATTTAATCCGTTATCAGAATTATCTGCCAGTGAAAATGATTGACCGTACATTGGCATTCCTAACACTAATTTTTTGGGGTCGGCTCCTTGTTCAATCCAATAATGAATTGTGAAGTTCTACAAATTAAGTTTTTTATAGCAACACATGTATCAAAATCACCTAGTGGTGAAGTACCGTATTAAATGTTGCGTCTATATCGTCAGGATGAGCATACATTGGTGCAACATGCCCGGTTACTTTATCCCATTGTCCGTGGTAATCGTAACACATAACCGCAATCCAATCTAAATACTGAGAAAGAACAGGTACTTCATATCCCGCATCAATAACTCTTCGACTAGGAGATACAGCCGCTGATAGTAACCATCCATGCGGGGTAAAAGCTTCCCTTAATTCTTTCACAAATTCAGCGAAAGCTGGTTTATCCGAATGAGGGCCTTTATTGCAGTCAACTTGCCAACATTTCGGGTATTCCCAGTCCAAATCGAGACCGTCGAAATTGTTGGCTTTGATGAATTCAACGACGTCTGTAATGAATCTTTTCCTTGATGATGGATTGTTTACTAATTTCGAATATTTATCGCCGGCTGAATCGTTCCATCCTCCAATAGCGATTAAAACTTTTATTCCTTTAGCTTTAAGAGCAGTTACTTTTTCGTAGAATTCTAGAATAATAATTTAAATAAAAAATGGAAAATAAGATGCATTTTTCACTTACTGTTATCGAAATCTGCCCAAGTATCATGTGGCTTTATAACTTTTTGATCTCCATTTAAAACAGCGAATCCATAAACAATGTGGGTACACAAATCTGGATCTATATCACTTGGTAAGTATTTACCAACACCTTGCCTGTACCAAGCCCAATTGGTAAAATAGCAAACCACTTTGTATTCGGAATTGTGATCAACAATACTTGGTGATGTCGTGGAATGTGGAATATCTGGCACTGGGCCTTCGTCGATTTGATCTGGGAGGTCATCCGCTACAGGTACACTTGGTGGCTGTGGTACTTCAACATATCCTGAACCAGGTTCGGCTAATACCCTTCTAATCGTTTTTAGAAGAGGATGTTTTCCTTCTCCACACCTAACGAATATTATTATCGTTAAAATAAATACTGTTTTCATTTTCGCTTTTGTACAATACATGAATTGGTCCTCAAACGTTGTCTTTTATATACACGATGTCAATAGGATGCGCATATTTGTTTGAGATAATGCAAAATTCTAAGTATTGTTACACATTTAATAACGGGGAAGTGAAATTGAAAGGGAAATTCAAAAATGATTACAACAATATTTTGTCAATTGAAATAGATAAGTAATACAAAATATTTTAGTTACATAGTAAACATTACTCACCTATTGTTAAAATCGTCCAAATCGAGTGCCCAAATCATACCACCACCTAAATCATTATTTCGAATGAATTCCGATTTCAATTGAATCATTTCTTTATCATCGTATGAGACCCATTGGTTGCCTTTGTAAGCGTACGGCCCAATACGTCGTTTAGGATCTTGGACCACAGTCCAACCTTCGTTCTTTACTTTATGACAAATTTCATAATAAGCTAAGAAACCAGCGGCTCTAGTGAATTCTCCAGCTTGACCAGGTCCTGGTGCTGGAGCATTCAAGCCGTTGTTATCGGCTTTTTCCAATTGAAAAGCTTGACCGTACATTGGCATGCCCATTACAATCTTTCTTCTTGGAACTCCTTGGTCAATCCAATAATTAATTGTAAAATTCTAAATAAGAACGGATAAAAAAATAGATAAAATCATTCGGTTTATTGAACCGTATTTTATATTTATTATTTATTTTTGGATCGAGTGATTAACTTGATCAATAGGTGATTAATAATACGACGAAAAAATGAAGCAAATAAGTAGATAAAATTATTTCGTAATAAATCTGTTACTAATATAAAATTATAAGTGTTTCTAGATAAATTTGATAATCCCAGCAATTCAATTAAATTGTTACGATTAAAATGAAAATAACCATTTTATTGACTTACGCTATTAAAGTAAACTACGTCATCTTCAGGATGTAAATACATTGGAGCAACATGTCCAGTTCGCTTATCCCATTGTCCGTGGTAATCGTAAGTCATCACAGCAACCCAATCTAAATTCTTTCCAATGGTAGGGACATCATAACCGGCATCTATAACTGTTTTGCTTGGTGAGACAGCAGCTGATAAAAGAAGACCTCTAGGCTCGAACGCTTGTCTTAATTCGGTGGTCCAAGCAGCAAACGCAGCCTTATCAGAATCTGGACCTTTATTACAATCTACTTGCCAGCATTTTGGATATTCCCAATCTAAATCTAAGCCGTCGAATTCGTATTTTTCTAAAAATTCTATTGCGTGTTTGATAAACCGCGCCCTTGCGGATGGATTGTTGACCAAACGCGAATATTTATCACCCTGTGAATCATTCCATCCGCCTATCGCTAAAGAAACTTTTTTCCCTTTCTTCTTGTATTCAACCACTTTTTCATAAAATTCTGCAACAATAACAACATAGATCATTTATGAAAAATTTCACAATAAAAAATTTTTACTATTATCAAAATCTGCCCATGAATCGTGAGGTTTAATAATCAAATTTTCATAATCCAATACTGCGAATCCGTAAACAATATGTGTACAGAGATCTGGATTAATATCAGCTGGAGTGTATTTGCCAACTCCTCTTCTGTACCAAGCCCAATTGGTGAAATAACAAACAATTTTGAAATATCCAGATAGTTTTGGTAAAGGTTCTTGAGGAATTTCCACAGTTGTTGTTGTTGGAACAGGCGTTGTTGGGCGAGTTATTGGTTGGGAAATAGGCGGTTTGGCAGAACTTTCTGGTAAATCGGGATTTCCATCTAAACCTGGTTCAATTACTTCTGATGTATCAGGGTTGCATCTCGCTTTATCTGGCCAATCGCAAACTTTTTTATCCTAAGGATAAAAAAATTGCAAAAAAAATTCTATAAAAGATTTTAAAATATTTACATCATTCCAATACAATCCTTCGGCACATTGAAACTCCTCAAATTTCCCCCATAAACATATTAAATATTTCGTACAATCGCCAGCATATGCTGCAAATGCTCCTCCACTGCAACTAGTGTAAGGTTTTTGTTCATCTCCTAAAAATTACTAAAAGTTTATCAAATTACAAATTAAGTAAATCAATTTACTGTGAATAAGTTGTTGATTGGAGCTCCAATAAGCTTCCCTTTCACCACAACTAGTTGAATGTTTCCAATCACATCTATTATGTTCTACATTCCAAACCAAACCAGGCCCACATAATTGTGTAACTGGACGATTATTTACACAAACAAAGAATTTGTGACATTCTTTATGTGGGTAATATTGTCCATCAACGCATTGATCTAACTCATTATTAGCTTGTTTTTCGGTTGTGGTAGTGATTGGGGTTGGAGTAGTTGTAATTCTTGGGGTGGTTTTAATTGTTGTTGATTGTCTTGTTGGTTTCTTTTTGGTGGTAGTCCATTCATCCCATGGACGTTTTGAGGTAGTAGGAGTTGTTACCACTTCAATTGGATCATCCTCAACGGCTATTAAAAATTTATGGCATTTTCTTTTATTTAAGAATATTATACGTTACCTTCTAAAACACATTGTGCAGAAGCTGGCCAATCGCAAATACCCCTATTACTGTTCCAGTGTAAATTACCAGCGCAACTCATTTTCTCTAACTCTCCCTGAACACATCTATAATAAGAATTGCAGTCTTTAGGATCTCGGAAATACTCTCCGATGTTGCATTTAGGTTTTTCGACAGGTGTAGTTGTAGGTGGTCGAACTACTCCGTGGGGAGTGGTTGTTTTTTGAGTTGTAGTTGTTGTGCTCGATGATACCCACCAAGGAGATGTAGTTGGTGTTTTAGTCGTAGTACTTGTAATAACGGTGCTGGATGGCGTCCACCAAGGAGATGTGGTTGTAACTTTAGTTGTTATTTCGGACCACGTTGGAGATGTAGTTACGGCACCAGAATCAATTCCTGTGGTTGTAATCGGAGCTGTTGGAGTAACTGGTACGGGTGGTTTAGTGCAATCATTTTCTAAGGGAACCGAAATTCTTCCAAGTCCTCTATTAATAGCTTTGAGAAGTGGGAATGTTCCTTCGCAGCAATCATTGTTGAAGTCATCTAAATCAATGGTCCACGCAATCGCGCCTCCCAAATTGTTTGATCTGGCATATTTAGCTTTTTCTTCGACGGCAGCAACATCATCATAACCAACCCACTGATCGACTTTGTAAGCGTATGTACCAGACATGCGGTCGCTAATCGTAATCCATCGATCATTTCGAATTTTTGAACAAATCTCGTAGAAAGCTAACATTCCCGGTTGATTAGTGCAATCTCCTGGTTCGCCCGGTCCAATTGATGGAGAATGAAGTTGATTTCTGTGTTGTTGAGATAACGTGAATGATTGTCCGTAAAAAGGAATACCAAGTAGCAATTTTTCACGAGGTGCTCCTAATTGTACCAAATAATTGATGGTGTAATTCTGTAATGAACTAAAATAGAACGATTTATTATAATAATTATATTTTTTACTGTGTTGTATTGTGGATAGCGATCTCCGGAAACTTCATAAAGTGGACTAACATGACCAGTTTCTTTTTCCCAACTTCCGTGGTAATCATAAGTCATTACAGACATGAAATCCAAATGTCTAGAAAGTGCAGGGATGTTATAAGCTGCATCTATAACTTCTCGGTAACCCGAAATCGCAACGGCAAGTATCATCCTTGGAGTTTGTTGGTCAAATTCTCGGCGTAACTCCTTAAATGAGTATATCAAAAAACAAGTTTAATTTTTGGTACGTTTTTACCTCTACAAGCTTGTTAAAGTTATTCCTGTCGGAAGCTGGTCCTTTTTGGCAATTACTCTGCCAACAAACGGGATAATTCCAGTCTAAATGAAGACCATTAAATCCATATTTTTTTAAGAAATCTACAACTCCTAATACGAATTTTCTTCTTGCAGTCATATCTTGTACGAGTCTGGAATATTTATTTCCGGTTGAATCGGTCCATCCACCCAGCGACAACATTGATGTGACGTCAGGTATTGAAGTAATTCTTTCGTAAAGATCTAAAAATTACTTTTGTTAATAAATATTACAAGAAAATTTTTGTTTGTATAACTGTTATCGATATCAGCCCATGGATCAAAAGCCTTCAACATTAACGATTCCGCATCTAAACTTGCAAAAGCATAAATAATATGGGAACACAAACTCCTGTCGATGTTTTCTGGGACAAACTTTCCATCTTTACGATAAAACGCCCAGTTAGTGAAATAACATACAACTTTTTGTTTATCTTCAACGAGTTTTTGTTTTACATGATCGCTTAATAGATCATCTGTGCGTTTCTCAACAAAGTTTTCTTCGTAAGGTAAGCATAAATTTGGGCTCATATACAAACAACGACCATCTTTGGGGTTGAATAATTTACCGTCTTTACATTCTCCTTCATATTTTAGACCTTGATTACAAAAATAAAATTTTTTGCAGTTTTCGCGATTATTAAATGTTCCATCTTTAATAGTACAAGAATAAGCTCCTAATCTTTTATATTCTGAAAGACCTGAAAAACAAATTTTTAAATAAATTTTTAAATATATTTGGTGGTGTTGAGTACCTTTCAAATTTTTTGCTATGGTGTTGAGTAAAGGCCATTTTTCCCCACAGAGTCCTTTAAAATCGTCTAAATCTGCTGACCAAGTATAGACCCCACCCAATTTTTTTTCATTCACATAAGATATCTAAGAATTGATTAAATCAGAGAATTAAACTAAAATTAAATCATTTACGCAACCTTTTTTCGAATATTTTCAGGATCTTCAAACCCAATCCATTGATTTCCAACCACAATATAAGGCGCGCCTGTTGAATCCCTTTGTACATTTATTCCTTCATTTACAATTTTATCACATATTTCATAGTAAGCCAAAAATCCAGCTTCTCTCGTGTAATAACCTTCTCTACCCAAGCCTAAAATAGGTGCCCGAATTCGTGTATTATTCTTATATTGCAAAGTAAATGATCGTCCAAAGAACGGAATTCCCAAAACGATTTTTTCAGGCGACATTCCCTTCTTTATCCAATATGTTACAGAATAATCCTAAAATAAAATAATTTCAAACAAATTTAATTAAGTATTAATTAAGTACTAACGACATTTGTAAAAATATCAAGTCCTTTATCATACGGACGAATATACAAATTAGCAGCATGATCAGCAATGGGATCTCTTTCTTTATGGAAATCATAAGCAAGAAGATTAACGAAAGATACAGTTTTATCTAAAGTTTTGACATCGAATCCATCTTCAACCTTAAACCTAGAGGCGGGAACTGCAACACTTAAAATGTACCCCATCGGTTCAAAAGTTTCATTTAACTCTTCCAGCAAATATTTAAAAGTGGTGCGATCGCAATTTTCAGTTTTAATTGATTCACCACCGGGATACGTCCATTGAAGATCCATACCATCAAAGCCATAATGTTCCAAAAATGATAGAACCGATTTAATGAAAGCTTTACGTCCAGCTGAAGATTTAGCCATATTATTGAATTCGTTAACACCATTAGTACTTCCACGAATAGAAATAAGTGTTTTTAAGTTTGAATTTTTGTATTTAAGTTGACGAACGGATTTGTAACCACCTTGAATAATATCATACTCGTCATCTTTAGGTTTAACTTCAAAAGTTTTTGAGTCGATTGTTGCATAGGCGTAGATAACGTGAGTACAAATATCTCCGGATGAATCCAAATCCGTTGGAACGAATGTCATTGGTGATCGTCGATTTACAGCTTCACTGTTTATGTAGCATATAATTTTCTTTTCACTCGGTTTAGATGAGTGAAGATCTAGAATTATATGTTTTGTGCCGATTTAAAGATGTGTGATTAAAATTGTTATAAATACCTGATTTTACTTGAATTCTGTATTGTTCATTACGAAAAAAATCACTTTTCCCTGATATTCCTCTCGTCGGTCTATAGTAAGGGTTAAAAATTCCTCTCCTAAAATTTTGTTGAATGGGAACTTCAAAATTTGCTATATTTTGAAACTGTTTTAAAGGTATGTATGTTGTTCTAGTTAAAAATGGATTATTGTTATAAGGCTGCCAAAGTTGTTCAGTTGGAACAGCATTTTCATCAAGATCGGCTTCGTCTGGAGGTGGTCGCTTTTCAACGGCATCTCTTAAAGGTAGCCGTTTAGAAGTTTGTGCTCTACAAGATTTCTGTTATTGCATCTATAAATTCTAATTAGTAATTAAACTTACTCATCGGGAATACTTTCAACGGCTGTACGTAAAGGCAAAGATTTTGATCCGTATTCTTCTTCATACTTTTCCAAGTTTTTATCACTTTGGGATACTAACGGAGGGCTTTCGACAGCATTTCGAAGAAAAATTTGTGTTCCTCTTGGAGGTTCATGAAGATTTCTTTTCCTTCTAAACGATCTTTGATTTGATGGCGTTAGGCAGCATAATGCCACAAGAATACAAAACTGAAAAAAAAATTATAATATAACACTTATTGTTGCATATCATATGTTGGCTGTTGAACATATATTATAAGTATTACTTCATGTTATTTTTCATCGCATGTGTTATAATTTTAATAGCACGGAATTATTTTGGGCGCCTCATATCAAACATCAATCAAAAAACGATTTTGTTAAAATTAAAGCGGAATGAGTCAGAGTTAATAGAAAATCCCAGATTAAGTAAAATACTTATTAATAGTAAAATATCAAATTCAGTTATGAATGAAAAATATAGAATGAATTGTACTTTTTTTTTATGAGAAATCAATAATCTATAAACAAGTGATTTATAACATTTTTATACAAATATTGAGTTTTTATCTGTTTTTATCAAGGTTGTCACATAAATGTAAGGTGAAACCCATTCATTATTTTAGGTGTTTAAATTGATCGTGGCAGGTTCCACGCTTTACCTAGCTAACTCATTTAATGAGTGATTTCGAATATCCCGAATTTGATAAAATGTAACATGAAGGGAGTATTGATGAAAGTGAGGGTGGTTTATTAGTTTGTGAGAAGAAGAATGAGGATATTGAATGATGAATATGGTTCTCAAAATTTTGATCAAAGGAATGAATCTATGTATGTGGCAAAAAATGTTTGGTAAGTTCTATTCAATCACCATGTTTGAAGCCCTTAATAGAATAATCAATTATGTATTGCCCATGGTTTGGCTTACTATAATTCAAAAAGAACTGTAATATACACAGGAAAAAATACAACTTGAAACAGATTGGTAACAAGTGTGGTGGATATAACGGACTAAACATACTGAAAAGACACGGAGGCTGGTATATGGTAGAAAACCTGAAAATTCATAAAAAGATTAAAAAAGAATAGGAATACTGTGAAAGGATTATTAATAGGATGAAAACTTGTAATAGACTGTTAATTAAAGGAGGACACTGGAAAACGATGAAAAAGGTTGACTAGAAAAAGAAAATTTGATGACGAGTAATAATAGGAGAAAACGACCTAAAGAAATAATTTGTTGGCAATAAGAATCTTGGCAAAGATAAGGGAGTTTGGAAAAAGGTTGGTAGTAAGAGAAAGAGATTAGAAAGAGAATAAAAAGCCTGGACAGAAAGGAAGGAAACTTGCAGAAAACATTTAATAAAAAGACACTTGAAAAACAGAAAGTCAGAAAACGGTATGAAAAGAAGGAGATTATTTGAAACGAGGGAGTCTGGAATGAGCCTATAAAGGCAAGAAACCAACTATATAGAGAAGGGAAAGACTGAAAAAAAACTATTAATATCGGAAGGAGACTAGACAGAATGGAGGAAAATAAGAAAAACATTATTAGTAAAAGAAAGAGACTAGAAAGAGACGAGGAGGACCAAAAAAGGATTAGTAATAGATAAAAGAGATTTGAGAAAAGATTTTTAATAGAAGAAATAGATTGGGTAGGAAAGAGCGACACTGAAAATAAAATAATGAGATTGAATACAGAAGAAAAAGATCTAAAGAGATTGGACAGAGATGATGGAACCCGTAAAACGACTATAAAGACAGACTGGAAAAAAACTATTAATAGAAGAAAGAGATTAGAGTGAGCAGGAAGATTAAATAGAAAGGATGGAGATGAAAGGTTGTTGATAGAAGAAAGAAACTTGCAAAATTAAAAATAAATTGGGCAGAAAGAATTGAGATTGGAAAGAAATTAGTAATAAAAGATATACAGTGTGTCCCCGGATTGTGTCCCCGGATTGTGTCCCCGTAAGGTATAATTGACGATAAATTTTGGAATTCAAATTCCATCTTTTGCAATTAAAGTCTGGATATCATTAAACGAAATAGAACCAAGTTTTACGTCAAATATCCTCAAAGTACCAAAGTTAACGCAAGAAGTTTGTTAACCGTTGCAGGTAAAGTGGTCTTTCTGAGCAATGTACAACAAAAGTTGATTAAAATAAAATGTTTGTTATGTTAAATTATAGCGATATGCCGAATTCTATTAATTTAGCATATAAAAGAAAAAATGAGTTTTTTCTTGAAAATTTTTTTCTAATATTCCGTTTTACAATAAAAACAAATGACCTGAGTGAACTAACAATTATCATTTGATAGCTTAGCTTTAGCCTATTGTCAAATATTAATTGATCATGTTTACATTACAACATAAAATATTTATTATGCAGTGCTATGGATTGGGGAACATTAGTTACAATGCAGTTTTAAGGCAATTTGAGGAAAAATTTGGATTTTTAGTAGATAAAAAACAATTAAGAGAGTTGTTAAAAAATTTTCGGAAACAGGTAATGTGGAAAATAAAAGGAAGGAAAAAAAGCTTTTAGATGAACATGATGTGGGGTCGATTGTTGCAGTAACGAACGCAATGGATTATGGTAAGGTGTCGTATTATAAACCAAAATTTAATCACACTATCGAAAACATTGCTGCCCACATTCGACCATTTTAATTAGAAATTATTTAAATACGTTATTTCGAAAAAATGGATTATTAGATATGATCCGCAAGTCACATAGTCGCCAAGAAGTCCGGATTTATTTATTATGGATTTTTATTTTTGAGTTTATGTAAAACAAAAAGTGTACACTGAAAATTTTAATAACAATTTAGACCGTTTAAAACAAAAAAATTGAAACTGTTATTAGAGAAATTCCGTTGGACCATATTAGAAAGAGTTATAAACAATGTCGGAAAAGGGTTGAATTATGTGTTAGTGTTGGTGGTGGTATCATTGAATAAGCTTTTATGTTAATTTAGTTTAGATCGAAAATGTTTTGCTAATCTTATGATTTAAAAATCTGCATTTTGCTCTTATATCCTACATTAATAAAATTCGGCATATCGCTATAATTTAACATAACAAACATTTTATCTTAATTAACTTTTGTTGTACATTGCTCAGAAAGGCCACTTTACCTGCAACGGTTAACAAACTTCTTGCGTTAACTTTGGTACTTTGAGGACATTTGACGTAAAACTTGGTTATATTTCGTTTTATGTCATCCAGACTTTAATTGCAAAAGATGGAATTTGAATTCCAAAATTTATCGTCAATTATACCTTACGGGGACACAATCCGGGGACACACTGTAGACGAAATGGAGATTAAGAATGCTGTTAATAGAAAAAAGAGGCAAGAAAGGAACTAAACAGAGAAGAGAAAACTGGAAAAAGGCTATTAATAAGAGAAAGTGACACAAAAGAGAAAAAAAGAGACTAAAGAAAGGATGGAAACTGAAAATCATTGTTAATAAAAGAAAGGGACTGAAAGAAGAAATTCTTATAAAGGCAAGGAAGGAACTAAGGAGAGAAGAGAAAGACTGAAAAAAGAAGGTTGGTAGGAAAAAGAGATAGAAAAGAGCAGAATGGGAATGGGCAGAAAAGAGGGTAATACAAAAAGAGACTGATCAAAAACCTAAATGATTAGAAAAGTTCTGATAGTAGAAAAAAAGTATAAAAAGCAGATTGGGCAGAGATTGGTCAGAGATTTTTTTTCGATAAAATCAGCAGAATAACAATCAAATTTTTTTCACCGTTTTTTTTTCACGAGTATTCCGTTAACTAAACACTCTAGCAGAAAATAATGAACAAATTTTTCTCTCAAAACCGTAGAAAACTTTGTATTTCTCCATATTTGCTTTTAATGAAGGATATTGCACCTTGGTATTTTATGTGTCAAAGAAAAACAATCAAGACAAAGTTTGCAAGGAAACTGCATACAAATCAGATATTATGCATTAACTTAACTTAACCTACGTGTTTCTCTTTGATTCTCGTACTTCTACATGAAAAAAAAAAAGACAAAAAAAGAAACATGTTTGTTGAGTGTATGATTATTAAAGGCTCCAAGAAACAGAATATTGTTGCATTACACGGTAAATGATACAAAACAGAGCAGCACAAATTGAAGAGTTGAAAATTGCTTTATTCATCTAACCATAAATATTTTTTTTTATTGAAGAAATCGTAAACAAGAAGAAGAATATTAAGAATCGCTTTGTACTATGATAAACTATAAGTAATAGACGAGTGAAAGTTGTTTCTTTTTCAGCTGTATTATATGTTGCATTTTCCATGCAGTTCAATTCAAGTCTTTATCGAGGAACGTTCAGTCAAGTTTAATGTACTAGAAAAATTAACAATTTCCAATTATTAAGAGTTGTTTTAAATACATGATGTGTGGTGTTGTTCTTGAGTTTAAAACCAGTTTTATTAATGTCATTGACACTACAGTTCTTTTTCGGTGGTATACATATTTTTAAAATTTTAATTAAAAAATAAAAAAATATAAAGAAATCTGATTTACTTACCGTTATATGTGGCTTCATATTCATGAAAACTTCTTATTCACTATATGTTTACTAAACCCCCATTTAACAGCAAATCTATAAGAAAAAAAGATACACAAAGATTAAATTTGAACGTTCGATCGAATCGGAAGTCGAATGGTAAATGTTTCTTCTAATAACATTGGATACCGCCTAAAAATCCATCACATTGGTACGTGAGTGCCACTGACCAATATTCAAATCGAAGACGAATTGTTAAAATTCATGGAACGTTTCAAGGTAGGTCTAGACACAAACAATGAATAAGCAACCCCGGAATACGATAAGAAGGTTAAAATGACACAAAACCGCAACAAATTTTTGGATATTTAAATATCACAATGAATCAGTTTTGTTTATTCACTAATATTTGATTTATTTATTAAACGATAATGGACACTAAACTACACGAAATATGAATTATGGGCTGTCGTAAAGAAAGTAACTAAACTTAAATGGTAATCCTATATTTGGATTAGGAATATGAAAGTTTTTTAAACCATTTCAAGCAGATCATTTGCATAAATATGGTATTTACACTTTGTTAAAATCTTATACAATAGAGATGTAAAGATACGGTGTAAAAGCTAAAAAGATTTATCGGTAAAAGTGGAGAAGCAAATCCATTAGTGCTACTAAGTGTTCTTTGATGTATCCATAAAATGCTAATAATTTCTTAAGAAATATTCTAATAAGAAAAAGGTCACCATTAATCACAATTTTCGGTGGCTAAAAGTTTCTATCTGAATTCTAATGTCATGTTAAACACTAAACTTAGAAAAAAACAATTTGTTCTTTCTTAAACGGCGCCATTAATTTACACATTTATCTAAATGGTGGTTATTAATTACATTCATGAGACCGAGAGTTATAAATTGCTGCTTTTAACTTTTTAAGGAGATATATTTTTCAATTTCAAGCTTTATATTATTTATAAGATTTTTTGGATTCTCGTTTAATAAAAGTAAATGTTAAGTACCGTTCAAAAGAATTGTATGTAAATTATATACGAACCGTTTATGAAACAATGCTGAAATCCAGATGAAACGTTAAACACAAAACACAGTGAATAAATTGACCAGCACGGCCTACACACCGTTAAGGATAAAGAAGAAGAAGTCTTTGCGACAACAAAAATCGCCGACAAATTTTCATCGGCAAATGCGAGCGCCCGGACCAGTTCCGTTCTTATAACTCGCTCCGGGAACCTCTTAAGAATTAGTCCGGAGATCATCTTTACTCAGCAGGTAATACCTGCTGCGAACCTGGTCCATCGTTGGCACGATATCAATCACGATTTAAACTGCTACTCCTCCCGATTATCTCGTAAAAATAAACGTTTTGTAAAAAGATGAAAATAAGTAACAAAATCGACGATAATTAATTGTCTGGCCTTGTTTATAACTGGAATATTAATCAGAATAACTATAAAATTCCACATTTAAGGTAAAAGCTTATTTATCAATTAAAGGTATCCTTATCGGTGTAGATTAGTTTCTTTAAACTTTAATTTGTCAGGTTTTAAATTGTTAATATAAATGTAGATAGATAATGTTTACTTAAAGATGTTGAATTTATCATTTTCTTAGATTTATTTTATATTGAAAGTAGTCAGGCTTCTGTTTTTCTAACATTGAGAAAACTGTGTCATAAAAAGTTGTATTTTGGGGTGAGCGGAATATGGTTGTAGCTCTTCCTCACATCTTGGGGATTGATTACTGTAATTCTAAACTTTTTCTTAAAATGTGGAATCACACCCGTATAATTTCACACAGAGGAGCAGAGGTAACAAAGGGGCTTAGTGCCAAAATTGTTCCAAAATGTAGAAATTAAAAAAAAACCTTCACATACCAAAACGACAGACTTTATTTCTAAATAATTATCTAACACATATTATTGGCCTTACGCCTAAATATGCTACGACGAAAACAACAGAAAAAAATGAAAATTGGAATGTAATTAAAAAAATTAAAAAAAATCTAAACGGGACAAGACTATGAGGTTGGTGTTCATAGTCTTGTAGATAAGAAATAATTGATTATAAGTGTTTTTTTTTGTTGTCACTGACCTTATTTATGTCTGGTACCTGGTTAATTGGGTTATTTTTTAGATCTTGCATGGTTTTCCCTCTTTTAACACGTTGACTGCCAACTACGAGATAACTCGTAGTGTACGTTCTGGCCTAGGACGCCAAGTACGAGTTATCTCGTAGTTTGTTTATTTTCCATAACCGTACAGTTAGCATTATATTTTAAAAAAACAAATGTTTCCATGAACAGAAAATTTATTAATAAATGAACAGAAAATATAGTACTATCTGATTTATACAAAATCATTATTGTCTTTATACAAAATAATACGTTTATTGTTTATGATACTTTTTGAAACAATCTTCCACACAAAGGGCTAGTTTCTCTGCACAAACTGGGCAGAAATAACGCGTTTCTCGGCGTTGTTTAGCCTGAGTACAAATTCGACATGGCTTTGTGGGCCGCTGTTTTTTCTCGCTGGGTGGAATACACTCCAAATAATGAAGATTTTGCAATCTTATTTTCTCCGCAACTGGTTGAAACTGTTCTCCCATCAACGCAATGACAAATTCTTCCCAAAATTTTATTAGTTTTATTTTAGATGCAGTTATCTTTTGAAATATTTTATGCGCATTGTGTATATATATTTCTATAATGTGTAAAGCAACCTTTTTAGGCCACCTAATAGTTTTTCTTAGGCATGTGTAGTAAGCCAGCATTTGATCTGATCGATCCTTTATTATAATCTCGAATTATATTTGGTTTCGTCGAAAGTTTACCATTACGATTGGATACCTCCACCATTTCAACAACATGCATGTTTGAAATAGTCAAGACTTCTCGTTTGTCTTTCCATTTACATACAGTAACGGAATCGTTTCGCTGCCATGTAACTTCCCCTTTTTTCAGCTTTCGATTTATCACATCTTGGGGATTCTCCTTTCGGTTCTTTCGTAAAGTTCCACATACATAAGTTTTTCGGGTTGTCAGTAATTTTGTAAGTGTAACAGAATTATAAAAATTGTCCATGTGTAGTGTATATCCCTTATCGAGATAATCTTCAGCTAAATGTAAGACTATATCAGTTGTGTGACCTAAATTATTGTCAGTTTTCTCAGATTTTCCGCTATAAATTCTTATTTTCATAACAATACCATCGGACTCGCATAATTCATACAGTTTGATACCATATTTATGTTTTTTATTTTTTATGTATTGGCGAAAATATAATCTTCCACGCCATAGCAGCATTGATTCATCAATACAAATATTTTTATTTGGCACGTAGTTTTGGCTCATAATATCATTGAAATGATTTAGTATAGGTCTTACCTTATATAATCTATCAGAAGATGGTACTGAGTTATCAACTAAGTGAAAATAACGCAGTAGCAATTGAAATCTATTTCGACTCATATGCGATCGCCAAAACATTACATTATATAGTTTATTTCTACTCCAATAATGCTCTATTGAAGGAAATGTACAAGGGCCCATTTGTAACAAAAGTGCAATAAAAACTTTCATTTCTGACACTGTCACATCTATCCACTGTGACGCCCTGTTAGATTTTTTTATCTTTTTAAGATTTGCAATTTCTTGCTTAGCGTATAAATTAGTTTGCTCAACCAATAATGCAAGAAACTCCTCCGAAAAAAATAAGTCTACCAGCGTTTGCACTGTAAGATTTGTCGTATCCAATTTAAAACCAACGTTTTCTTGGAAAACAAATAATTCAGGGTTTTGTGGAATTTCTGTCCACAAATTGTCACCCGTACTTGATGTGCTTGCTTCGGACACATCATTATTATCTTCAGTTTCGGAGACTACTTCATAATCACTGTCCATTGAATTTTCAGAAAATTCGGAATCGCTACTGTCGTTACTACCCTCGTCCAATTGTGAATCGCTGGGATTGTCGTAAAAATCAACTTGTTTTTCAGTCCGCCGTCGTTTCTTATCCATATTGAGATATTTATAATTAATTAATAATATTAATTATAAATAAAAATTATAAAGATACACACTCAAGAAAGACGTAAAAACGTAATGCACTCCACTATATCTGATTTTCTACTGACGAAGTTAGACGCATCAAGCGACAAGTCGAAACGTGTTTGGTATGTACGAATTAACTCGTAGTTGGCTTCTGCGAAGAGTTTTTTGTAACAGAAGCCAACTACGAGATAATTCGTATGATCGTTATTTTCTAAAAAACACATTCCCTACGCTTTTTGATTATTTATATTACGCTTACGCTTATTACACTTACGCTTTCTTATCTCAATCAAGGCAAATCTCTGTCGCACTGAAGGAAGCTATGTTCACTGACAAGATACCTATGTTCGATGGTGTCAAAGAGTCCACAACTCACTAGAAACACGTAAATCAAACACGTAACCATTCTGTTTTTATTTTGGGCGGTACAGTTATCGCTCCAAATAATAACATTCCTTTTTTCTGTAATGCCCATATTTAGGATGCGTAATATGCAAGACACATGAATGAATGCTTCCTATCCCCAAAGCCGATTTCTAAGTTATAGCATGAAAGTTGGCTTAAGTAGAACATGTCAGAGTGGGTCAATGTAGGTACGAATTTGACTTGTTCCAAATCCATTGAGAACACACTCATTATGCTTCCTGGTACTTGCGATGACGCGATGTCCCTTTTCATGAGCATCGTAGCTGTTTCTGCATTTCGATGGAACATTTGGAAAGACTGTTTTTAATATGTTTCTGTAAAACTTATAAGTGACCAAGCTGTGGGGATATTTCTGCTTGAACGTTTTATAAAGGCGGTTAATATTTAATTCTGAACTGATATATTCCTTATCACTTTTTGCGCGTGAATAATGAGACTTTTCTCGGGGTATGCGATTTATGTGCTCTGTAACAAGTTTTTTATCATCCTGTGTAAATTTTCCAGGAGCTGTATCGACCATTTCAGCATTTGAATAGACCATCGCAATCAACTAAGTGTTTTGCAAAATCGAACCAAAAATCAAGAATCAATACACAAAATTGCAACTGGACGTAAATTAAGAAATTATAATCGAATAAACTTTTATTTGATTATAATTTTATAACTACACTATAACTAGTTCTTTAGTTATTCAAATTAGAACATATCCTGAACCATATCGATAACAGGATAACATATAAGTTTTTTTTTCCTATTTTTTTGTTATAGAATAAAATATCAATGATCCGCCTTGAACTTAAACGTGTAATAAAACAGAGCGCAGACGTGTGTACGTTTTTGAAATTCTCCGCAAGATTTTTCTTAACTTACCGTTTCGTAGGATATTACCATTTAACGATGTCGTTGATGAAGTGGTTTCCTTGTCTAATTAGCGGTTGGCATCGATTCGTTTTCGGTTACAAATAAAAATAAAGTTTTAATAATGTTTTAGTAATCACATTTATTGTCTTTTTAAGAGAAGCTTTTAGCGAAATCATCATCATTAAAAATAACTCCAAATTATTTTGATATTTCAAAATTGTTTGTTCTTGAGATCACAACAATATTGTAATACTTATTAGGTAGTTGTTTTCAGATAAATCGATGAGATAAACAATGGAATTAAAAAAGAATGGATCATTTTGGAAGGAATTGTTTGTTTACAGGACATGTCAGATTCGTTATAGGTTAAGGTCAATTTTTGTTCGTTTTAGGTTTCTTCACGGTTAATTAGTAACTAAAATAAGGATTGCTTACAAGACGTTTTTGATATTTTTATTTTCATGTTTGTTATTATCAAAACAAGAATTTTAAACATTTCAAATTTTTTATTTTTGATTAAAAGTTTGTCTTAACTTTAGCATTAGTAACATTATTTTTATTTTAACACCCGATTATAGTAACCATTTGAATTTATGAAGATCTGGACTTTTGTAAGTCGTAAAATGTTTCAGATCGAGAGGGTTTAGCAATAAATATTTCTTTTACGAGTGGTATCCCGAATATTTAACAACTTGATAACACTTTACCATACAAGTTTCCATAATTTATTACTACCGTTGTTATTTATCAATTTTTTATGGGTGAACCCCAATTTTTTGTGCAAAGTATTAAATTATTTCGAGTATTGTTCATTTTTCTTCTAAATAATAGATCTTTTTTGTCACATACTTGGTAACCTCTCGAATGTGACAAACATTGCGTATTTGCATAAATAACGGCTCGAATGAGTTGCTAATGTAAAACGTACACGACGGCAATGACCACAAAAACGTTCGTTTTTAATGTTTATCCAATAATATGTCAACTATACGATAAAGTTTTATTTAATCATGTGCAGTCGTTGTTTCAAAATGTATTTTAAAAAAATGTACCTTTCAAAAAATTAAAAAAATTTGGTTATTACATCCTCATTTCTGATATTGTTTATATTAAAGAAGATAAATTTAAAACAGAAGTAACATTTTAGCACCTTTAATGTTACATTCCATACATTAAAATCAACTTTTTGCTTTTTTCTATTCTAATATTTCGAATTAATGTGTTACGGCCATCAATTTTCTTAATTTCTTAACAAAAAACAATACAAAATAACTTAACGCTATCTTAATAGCACTTCGTTGTCGCTTTAATGGCTCGCTTTGAAAACTGTATATTTATTGCCGTGGAGAAATTGGCGTGTGGTCGAAAAAGTTTCTTTTTCGATTTTTTGAAGAATACTAAATCATGTAAGAAATCTTTTCTGTCGCTGTAAAATACGATTTGGTGTAATGAGATCTTTTTTTTTGTTTTTAAAACAAGAAAAGTAACAAATCATTGTTGTGGGTTTGACAACTCGGTAATAAGTGGACGTTGAGATCCTCTTCAGTTCGATGCATGAAGTGGTTTTCAAACACTTCTTCTATTTGAACGGGGGATTTAATTTTTTTTTTGATTCTTTAGAAGTTTAGATTAAAAATATATCTTTTTTATCATTTATTTCTTTATTGACATACCGATAACGTATTCTAATTAATACAAGGTAACAAATTGAAGCGTCACTTAAAAAATTGTTTAAATTTCCTCATAACTAATTTAGATTAGATTAAAGAGTACTGTTGTTGTAATGTTAGTAATATGGTCTAGACGCTTTATTATTATTTTTCTTTTTTTCGGTTCCAACCACCACTTCTTAACAGTGGTTAAGACATTATTAAGACGACTTTTAACGCAAGGTTACTTCTTAAAATCGAACAACACGTCTCTTTTACCTGTTGACATTTAATATCTACAACCGACCGAAAGAAAATTCGTTCTGAGGAGACGACATTGTAATCGGTAGCCTTGGAAAGTTTTTGTTTGATCTTAATTAGAATGGGGTCGATGTAACTATATCGATCAAATAAATAATAGTCACATCACTAATTATCGCTAAAGAAGTTACGCGGTCAGTTTAGACGTCTTTTTCGATAATTGGGTTACAAATATGACAACATTTTTTTTTAAATAAAATTAGAGGAATTAGATAATTCCAAAAACTCAAACGTTGTATCAGTAAGATAAAAAGATTGTTATTATGATTATCAATCAATGCATATTGATTTGTAATTAATAGGAAAATAATTGATATCTTTTTTACAAATACCTATGAGTAGAAAGTATTAATTTTAGTTCTTGTGTATATTTTAATAAAAACATTGTGTCATGATTATGTTTTTTTCTAGTGACACCTACGACGTGGAATTTTTTGATAATTACCATGAAGGACATATCGACAGAAATGGTGGTTTATTTATACTGAAATCATGCAAAAGAGTCGATTTTTAAAGTTTTATTTATTTGAGCATTGACCTCAACTATACAAGATACTTGCTTATCTTTTTGCATTTCTTGCATTTGGAAAATTGTAATGGTATATCATGTCTTATCTTTAGGCCTATTATCTTTTCAAAATTCATACAACCTGCTTGCAAAATATAAACAAAATAAATGAATTAACATAATCTTTATTTCCACTGTAGATTAAGACTAGCCTCATTCAATATAATAGCTTCATAAAGCCATCAATCGTCCTCGTCCACAAAATTTAGTAACTCTCTTAATTCAGAGATTTTTTCATTTTTTCATTATCAACTTCCTTTGTAGCTTTTCTATGCGGATCTACCTGTCTTCTTCTTCTTCTTCTTCCTCAGCCTGTATTTATCCACTGCTAAGAGACTGTTAGGCCTCTTCCAAATGTCTCCATTTATTTCTGTCTTTTGCTGTTTTTATTCATTCTTTCCTCGCCACATCTTTCACATCATCGTTTCTTCTTCGGTCTTCCTGCACCTCTTCTCGTTTCTCGTGATCTCCAAAAGGTTATTCTTTTTTTGCTATTTCGAATCTTATCTCTCAGAATGATCCCCGGCATTGCTCGTTTCATCGGTTATCAAGTCCGTATGTAGCCAATGGCAGTATACAGCTATCATGCACTTTTTGTTTTGGGCTTCTCGAAATTCTTTGTTTTTTAGTATAAAATAGTTTTCCAAATGCTTCCCATGATGGTTGATTCCATTGCTTTATTTCGGCTGTTTGATTTTCTTTGCTACTTTTAATAGTGTAACCAAGATATATGTACTTGCTTACATTCTCCAAGGAAACGTTGTCATTGGCAACATCATTTTGTATACAAAACATACATGTATACAAATTTTGAATTTATGCAGGTTCATTTCTAGACTTATTTTCTTTGTGTGTTCCTTTAGATCTTGTAACATGTTTTCCAGTTCCTCAATGTCTGAACTGACAAGTGGAACTGTCTGCTTTGTTAATGTCTAGAAATAAAGTAATTGTTTTCTTATTTAATTTGTGCAGATATTTTGATATTTATAAGAGATTTTTTTTTGTTAACGAATTAGTTAATCTAATATTTTCAGTTTAGTGAAAAGCTTTTACCCAAAGCCAATTCAAATACCACTGAAAGACCTTGAAGACGACAAGGTTATTTGGGGACTTTGGTTTATGGTTTCCATACCCAAACTCCTGCACAACCTAATGACCCAAGCAAGTAAATTTCTTCTTATTGGGTCCTTTTCAATTTATAACTAAAAAAGTAATAATTATTCAAAAGATAAGTTTCAATTTATTTCGATATCTCAACACGATCCACTAACAGTTGATGTTAAAAGCGGTGGAATATAAGAAAACAAGACATTGTATTTGCTATACTATAATTATATAAATCTTACATAAATTTAAATCTAAAATAAACAATTTAAAACAATTTATTTGTCACTAGTATATTCAAATGTTTATATTCTTTTAATTTCAACCTACGTTTTTCTAACTGTGTCTCATTTCAGACTTAATGAAGTTGAAATCTACGCTGAATTACGAGACAACTGGTCCTTCTCGTCCTAATACAGCAGAAATCGACTCGTTCGTCCGGATTACCACGGCCCGACGACGAGGTTTTTGACTCTTTCGCTACTGACCTTGCCGTTTTATCTTCTCTCAACCGACGGTAGAGAGATAATGTTTTGAATTAAGGTGTTTTTGAGGTTCGGCCTTTGTCCACAGAACGGATGGGCCAAACCAATTTTTTTTTAACAAAACCCGTCGACACGCTCGAAAATAGTTCACGACGAGTTTGACTGCTTGTGTTGACGTTGATGCATTTCGAGGCAACAGTAATGCATTTCGGTTGGAAGATTTACATAAATTATCACGTTGACTCTAAGTAATTATGTTGTTGCATTCTGTCGTGACTTTGCATAAAAAAACAGAAATAATTAAGTAAAAACATGCCTTAAGATTTGTTAAATTTTCAAGATTATTTTTAATTTATTACACCAAGCGATTTCTAAGAATTCTTGCTTTATTTGTTATTTTTGGCATCCTCGATTCCAAACAATCTTAAAATTGCGTTATAGTTCCTTGTCGACTTTCAATTAGAATAGACGAAATCAAATTTATAATTGTAAGTAAAAATGTAAATAAATTTTAATTTTATCTGGTAGTGTAAACAAACAGTTCCTGATTTAGAGATATCTTGTTATGTAAATCTAAAGAAACGACTGAAAAAAAAATGTAACCGGTGGAATTTGGAGTGTGTGTGAATTTTTTTCTAATTTTTAAAGGTCAAAAAAACCTGTAAGTCGCAAATCACGAATTGAACCACATTGAAAACGTCAGTGTTTGACAGAAAATTGCTTCTGGGCGGTATCGATGGTGCCGCCTACGTTTAACTCCCATAAACAAGGTGTGAAGACTGATAGCTGTACCACAATATCTCCGTGTAGGTAGTTAAAATTATCTAAAAGCGACATGAAATCTTGACGATAAATCATTTTGACTACAACACGAACTCAGTAGGAGGGAAAATTTCCAATGAAGAACGATGATTGATTATATCTACTTAGAAGTCTGTTATAATCATTATTTTATTTATGTTTATTATATTATTAATAAAATGTTTTGAAATGACATGCGCAATGAGTTCGCTCGAGCTATTAATCAGTTAATATTGGCATTCTGTGTGAACATCTGATAACTGATTAGATATCTCAACTCCATGAATCATGAGTACACCAAACTAATTGATAAGAGAAACTGAGGCGCTCACATTTTCACTTTAAATATGTTTGCGTAGCCACAAGGTTCCGCAACCACATCAAAATGATAACGGCGTGTATGTATTTATACCTTTATTTTGTTTTAAAACAACTTTAATTCATTGATTTTATAGGTGATTATGTAATATTGACATGGATTTACCTAATGTTTGTTCCAACAAGTTCTTTAGGCATGCATTCAGTGATTTATAGTCCAGTTGAATATAATACGGATATTAGGGTTTCTGTTAATGATACTTATGAACATATTTTATCTTTTCCAAATACATCGGTGAGTAAATAAATAAATTATTACTTGGTGCATGTATTTTTAATTATAAAAAATTTTGAAACTTTTAGACTTCGAATCCTTATAGAATACACGCCAATGGTATTTGGTCTCCACATCCGGCTTTTGTAGTTGTTAGACAAGAAAAATTGGTAATGTCTTGGGAAGTTCCTCTTCTTGTAAGCACAAGTACCTATAGAATTCCTTTTTTAAATACAGCACGAACGTTATGCTTCAGTAAATTTACTTCTACTTATGATAGAAGTTCTTCTAAGAGAGGTAATTATATTTAATTATTTTTAGTTTGTACATTAATTTGTATTGTTTTTAAGGTCGGTTAGAACAAGTATCAGATGGAAATCGGAATTTTAGCGTATCAATTTCAACGTCGTCTAAAGATCCAATCGAGGTTGAGATCAGGGCCGAAGAAGTTGTTGATTATTTTTTGGAGAAGGATCGATATTACAACGTTACCGTGTCAGCAAGTGAACCGGTTTTTTATTTTTATGATTTCCCAGAATCAGAAGAACATCGATCCACAGTATTTATTGAGATGAACTCGGATGATGATGTTTGTCTCCTTGCTTCTGTTCAGGATAATATGGTATTATTTTTTGTTCTACTTAACTTTCACGTTTCATAAAATTCTACTATAATTTCGTTGTTTATTATGTAATTTTTTTTAAAGGTAAAAAATGCTTGATTATAGTTATCGTCATTCATCATGAATGACTTTTAATTCTGTTGCTTCTGCTTCATGCTGAAGTCTTCTCAACTTTACCTCCATATCATAAAAGCTTTGTGAGTGTAGGCAAATGTCATATACAAACAAAAGTAAAACTTAAGCTAATTTGATCTTTATTAAATGTTTCTTTTGAGTCTTTTCTCTGGGTTGTGAATAATACATAACAACAATCTGTTAACAATGTTTGTTTATATCAAGGTTCGGAGGGAAGAGCATGATTATTTTTACCACCTGATCCCACCTTAATTATACTTGAGTTATGTCATCACAACCAAAACCCACAACTTCTCTACATTATACAACACCTCATTCATGCCAGCATTGGATTTAGAACTGTTATGATTTGCTTGACCTGGGTTTAGTCTTCAGAGATTTCACAAAAAAAATCCATAGATGTTAAGTGGCGTTCATTTTTCTCACTCAACCATACTCTTCCTAAATACCGAAATGTTTTTTCATTATTCAGATTATTATTTAAATTAAATTAATATCTAAATTATTTAAATTTTATTTTTTAGTGTCCCATAAGAGATTTAAACAAAGATATCAGATTTGAAGGTGATTATTTAACATTCAGTAATAAAGGAGGATTATACGTTAGCGTAAGTTTAAAAGAATTTATATAAATTGTTATAATCTTAAGTTTTATTTTAGCCTAGAAACTATCCTAACGGGTTCTTTTTGGTGTTCGTCGCAATGGGGGATAACTTTGAATGTAACCAAGAAAGTTCCCTTCTTCCAACGCCTAGAAAAAGTAGGATTTATCCTCAAACAAGAACCTCAATAGTTAGTTTTAGTATACGAGATGGGATTACTGCCGATGATTATATGGCTGCTACAATGTTTGTGTTTGGATTAAATTTGGGATTTTTTATAATCTTTATAGTTTGCGTAGTTGCGGTTCATTACATCATGAAGTGTAGAAGGAGAAATGATGGAGAAATAGACGATGATGATGATGGTGCGATTATATTCGACGAGTTTTGTGATGACTTTTTGTTTTTTCTTTTATACTTTTTAGTGGTTTCTGATACGGAAGAAAGGTCCAGAAAATTAGGCCATGATCAAGTTGATAGCTATTTAAAACGGAAGCAACTTACCGTGGATGATTTTTGTATAAATTCGTCAAGAATCCAAAAGAGAGCTAATAATTATTTTTGGCACATTACTAATATTGGAATATTTTATGGAATTCCAGTTGTACAATTAATGGTTACTTATCAAAGGGTAAAAGAATTTAATTAAATACGTAATATTGTTCAATAATGTTGTAATGTTTAGACGGTAAATAATACTGGAGATTTGGATCTTTGCTACCACAATTTCTTGTGTGCTCATCCTTTGGGAAACGTTAAGGATTTCAATCACATTTATTCAAATATTGGTTATATGGTTTTTGGCATTTTATGTTTGGTGGTTACATTATTTCTTCAAAGAAATCAAAAGTATTATCCGGTAAAATAAAGTTGCAGTTTAAAAAATGAAAATAACGCCAAATACTTATTTATTCAGGGTTGTGGAATTCCAAGACATTATGGCTTATTCTATGCAATGGGAATTGCTTTGATATTAGAAGGATTATTATCAGCGTGTTATCACATTTGTCCGAACCAATCTAATTATCAATTTGGTAAAATTAATTACAGTTAAACCTCTATATAACGGATCTCCTTAAACGAACTTCGAATATAACGGACAAAATATATTTATGTCATATTATTTATTATTCCTCAATTTGCTCTATTCCATGTTTTATCGAGGTTTTACTATATTAATGGGATTCCAAGAGAAACCCGAATTTTTTTTTGGTTACTTTTGGAGTCCACGATCATCAAAATTATTTATTATTAGATTAAAACATTTTCTAATAACATTTTGTTTTTAGATACGAGTTTTATGTATGTTATGGCAGTTTTAGTAATGATTAAACTGTATCAAAATCGCCATCCACGAATAAACGCCAGCGCTTATGCGACATTTACAATTTTAGGTGCTGCTGTTTTTTTGGGTAAGTTTTATCACCTAACCAATCTGTCTTTGTAATTAAAAAAAAATAATTTACACTTCCAAGAAGGAATTGGCATTTTAAATTATTAGAACCAGTTCACCTGATGATATTTTAGTTATTTATAAGGACACGTTATTGTTTCATTAATATTTTTTTGTTCCTATGTAACCTTGTCCTTAGATTTAAGATTTTTTTATATTGATTTATTTTTTTCAGCAATGTTGGGAATTTTAACCAATTCAACAGCAATTATGATTATTTTCGTTATATCGTATTTGTTTCTATGCATTTTCTTGTCATTTAAAATTTACTTTATGGGATATGTAATCAAAGGAATTATGCAAGAAATAGAGTTATTGAAAAACAAAAATGCTGTAGTCGAAGCTTTAACTCCCATTAGAAAAGGGAGATTTATTTTATTGTTAGTTGCTAATATATGTAATATAGCAATGGCAGTTGTTGGTATCATCTTTTATCCATCCTACACAGACTTTGGAACTTACTTGCTTGCTATATTAATGATTAACAGCTTACTTCACGCGGTCTTCTATATATCAATGAAAGTAATTATTAAAGATTCCACACATCTTATAGAAATGAATTAAATTTTATTTTGTTTCAGCTTTTCAATAAAGAACGATTATGTATTATGGCAATTCTTTATATTTTACTCAGCGTTGTAACTTGGGGTGCCTCAGCTTATTTCTTTGTTAACAGCTCCACAATGTGGACGGTAAAGCACGCAAATAAAAATATTTCTAATAAATAAAGTACAAAAACCTCCATTGTTATAGGTAACCCCGGCGGAGTCTCGAAAAATGAACAGAAACTGCATCTTCATGGATTTCTATGACACCCATGATATTTGGCATCTTCTTAGCGCTCCAGCTCTCTTTTTTACATTCATGATGCTGATGCATCTCGATGATGATCTGGCCCAAGTTCCCAGATCTGATATCATCGCGTTTTAAAAATTTAAATAAATTCTATTCATATAAAAAATTGTTTTATTTTCTTTTGTTAAATTGATTAAAACAGTATTTGATCGAAAATGAGAAAATTTATTACGACATTGGATTTAAGATCACATTATGTTTAGGTAAGTATTTAGTATGACGTAGCTACAAGATAAATGAGAAGACTTATCTGTTGATGTTCAACAAGACCCACCCACGGTTAAACACATTACAATTTTAAATAAAAACGAAACAATGGATCCATTAAAAATCGAAACCGAGCTCGGTAACCGCAACCGAATGGATTTTTAATCGGATAGGGCGCGAGACAAACGGTGATTCATGTCACGAAACTTTAATGAATCATTCTGCCTAAAAGATCTTTTGGCAAATAAGAGAAAATATATGACTTAAAGAATGAGAAACGATTCATAGTAAGATTTTAAACCTTAAAAAACTCTAAGATACTTTATCATAATATTTATTTATTTTAGTTTTACAGATTATTAATTTAAAATCACATCAAGAATGTTTATAATTTATTTTATGCAAGCGGTTTATTGTATACATTTGTTACTTATTTTATCATCATTGCAAAAAATTTCAATTGAGTTTAAAAATATGAAGAAGAGTTAAATAGATTTTTCAAATTTTTAAACTAAAACCAAGAAAACTTAAATTTTAACAGAATGTATGATTAACGTCAGAAATTTATATCTCAAAAACTAAAAGTGATTCTTTACTACGGACTTCAATATTGAAAAGTACATGCTTTAATTTATAATTGTTTAATATTTTATAACGATTTTCCGGGAAATCGAATTTTCATAGACGTTTAAAGTTAATCGAAGAACATTAAAAATTCACCAGAAATTTCGATATAGTTCAAAAGTGTACATCTCAAAAACTAAAAGTGATTTTTCCAAACAGACTGCAATTATGAAAAGTACATACTTTAATTGATAATTGCTAGACATAACATTAACATTTTCCGGGAAATAATTTTTTTGTCAATCTTTCAAACTTAATCAGTGATAATTTAAAATTTAACAGAAATTTCGATTAAGTTTACAAATTTATATCGCAAAAACTCAAAGTGATTCTTCATAACGGACTTCATTATTGAAAAGTACATGCTTTAATTGATGATTGTCTAATATTTTATAAAGATTTTCCGGGAAATCGAATTTTCATAGACGTTTAAAGTTAATTGAAGAAATTTTAATATTCACCAGAAATTTCGATGTAATTCAAAAAAGTACATCTCAAATACCAAATATGACTTCAATAATGAAAAGTACGTATTTTAATTGATCATTGGTAGACATAACATTAACATTTTCTGGAATCAATTTTTTTATAAATCTTTTAAACTTAATCATAGAAAATTTAATATTTAACTGAAATTTCAACTAACTTCAAACATTTATATAATAATAATAATAATAATAATAAATGACTTTATTGTCTCCATTACAAAAAAGAAACTACAATACAAATATATACATAATGTATGGAGATCAAACGGCGGGATCCAGAATAGTCTGTTCTATCCAACCGTAAAATAAAAAAAAAAATTCTATGAATTATAACAAATAAAAAGAAAAAAAAACAAAGGCAAAATCTTGAAATCATTAATACAGTATCACCCGCATCATATCAAATCTAAATTTAAACATAATTAAATTAAATGAAAGGGCCCAAAAGACCCAAACGTAAATTAAATGAAAGAGAAAAAAAAAAGAAATGAGGAGCAAAAAAAGAAAAAAAAAATAATAATGAAAATTAAAAAAGGACTCAGTGTAATAACTGATGGCTTAACTGTTAACATCGTAACAATGACTTTATATCAATAAGAATAAGGTCACAAAAAAATCACAGAGAAACAAAGAATAACAAACATCAGACAAGACCCGTTGACTGCTGAAAAATCATATTCCTCAATTTTATTCGAAATTGGTCATATTTCAGTTGACGTAGTGCATGTGGCAAGCTTCCATACGATTTATAAACATGATATGTAAATGACCTTTGAAAAAGTGATGTTCTATGTTTTGGAGGATAGAAACTAATACCTGACCTTGTCTGACTTCCCTCGCACTGTGGTTTATATTTAATTTTATTATGCAGGTACTCCGGGACTCCAGAGGTAACGATTCTATGATAGAGAGACAAACTATGAAACTCCCGTCGAGAGCTCATGTTCAGCCACCCAGCATCCTTAAGTTTATGAGAAACTCTATCAAATTTGCGAATCCCATAAATGAATCTGAGGCAACTATTCTGAACCTTTTGTATACTTCGTGACGTGACTGCATCTATAGCCCTATGATATACAGCAGACATATAATTAAATTGTGAAAGAACAAACATATCACAGAGGAGCACTTTTAATTTCAAAGGTAAACATGAACGATGCGGGTACAGCCGACGCAAAAAAAAATATGATCTCTGAATATATGTTTGAATTTGTTTTCTAAATCTTAAGCTAGTATCTAAAATCATACCAAGACACTTAGCTTCAGAGACCTTTTTAATTAAGGTGTTATTCATCTTAATGGCTAAGTGCGAAGTAGGGTTGCGCTGTTGCCCATTAAAACTCATCCACATAGATTTGTCAGGATTTATTTTAAGCTGGTGGTATGTTGCTAATTCAAAAATCGTATCAAGGTCACCGCTAATACCAGCCTCGGCAATACCACTGCCCGCTGTCGCGTATGAAGCGTAAAGCTGGGTATCATCCGCATATGTACTCATTTTACAGAATTTAATAAATTTATTAAATTGTGACGTATAGATAGAAAATAAAATAGGTCCCAGCACAGATCCTTGGGGAACACCATTACAAAGTGCGAGTTCACCAGAGATGGCATCATCAATTTTCACCCTCTGTGTGCGATCACTAAGATAGCTACTCAATAGTGTTACTGCGCCTTCACCAAAACCCAGATAACGAAGTAGTTTGCTCAAAATGGTGTGGTTAACAGTGTCAAATGCTTTTGAATAGTCTAAAAAAACCACAGCAGTACTCTCTCCCACGTCAACAGCGGACAATATATCATCAGTTAGATTTAACATTGATGTTGTGCAACTATACCCACATCGAAAACCCGATTGTTCTGAAGGGAGCAAACTATTGGTCTCCATATACTCCACCAATTGAGCTTTCATAACCTTTTCTAAAACTTTAGAAAGAACAGGGAGAATACTTATTGGTCGCAAGTCACTATACTCACGTGGGTTATCCTTTTTGAGCAGAGGAATAACCTCTGCGCGTTTCCATTCCAAGGGAAAGACATGGTCAACTAAACAACAATTGAGTAGGTGGGTTAAATATGGCAAAATGGTGGGGCAACACAGTTTGATCATCTCAATGGAAATTCCATCAGTACCAATAGCAGAAGATGTAATAGATGCAATCACGTCAAAAACCAGAGAGATCTCCACAGTCTTAAATGAAAACTGACTACCATAAATAGGAGAACTGTACAGATCAAGGTCAGAAGCCTGTAAATCTTTAATAATGTCATTTACACTGCCTACAAAATAATTATTAATCAGATCAGGATGTTTTAAATTTAAAGGTAGACAAGATTTTTTAATTGGTTTTAAGTTCAAAGTTTTCAAGTTATTCCACATCTGTTTGGTATTGCCCGTAGCAGCAATAGAACCAAAATAAGCTCGCTTTTCATTCCTTATAGCTGCAGTAGTGAGATTACGAAGGGTCTTATAATATTCCCAATGAGCCGGCCTGCCCGTATGTCTAAACTTGGTTTTAGCTTCATTTCTCAACTTAATCATTAATCTAATATTATCAGTCATCCAGGGTGCGGGAGGCTTGGTAAATCGACATTGCTTTATTGGAGCGTGAATATCAAATAAATCAATTAAGGCTTGTGTAAAGAATGAGACCTTGTCGTTAATATCAGTTAGATAAAATATAAAATTGAATGGAACTGATTGTAAATCATGCAGAAAAGATACACTATCAATACGCCTTAATAGTCGTAGAGACTTAAACACTGGAGATTGTCTACCTACATTCACACCAACATCGCAAAATACCATATCATGATCAGACAAATTGCACGGGAGCACTCCACTGCGTAGAACCAGAGTCTTTTCGAACGTTATCAACAAGTCTATCAGAGAAGCCGTTCCAAAAGTAATTCTTGTAGGTACATCAATCAATTGTTGATCTCCAAGGGAATTTAGCAAATTCAACAGATACTCACTATCGCAATTATCCATATTGATTAAATTAACATTAAAATCACCGCAACATATAATTCGATTAGTACAGCTCAGACAACTTACAACCGAATTCTCAAATTCATCCAGAAATCCTCTGTAATAAACAGCGCAATAACAAATATATCGCAATAACTAAAAGTGATTCTTCATAATGATCTTCACTGTTGAAAGCTCATACTTCAGTTGATGATTGATGAATATTGCATAAACATTTTTCGGGAAATCGAATTTAAAAAAAATTTTTTACAAGAAAGCCTAAAACGACCAGTTTTTCTTAGTTTCTGCTATCTAAATTGATTTCAAATCTGTAATAAGTAACTCTTGGCTAAAGTATGTACTTTTTCCATTTAGTGTTACTACAGTTATTGTATTTACAGTTTATGTTAGAAACATTAAACAATCAAACGCCATGAAATTTATTACAATACGAAATTTCTTCATCATGGGAATTGTGAGAAGATTTTAATTCCAATAACGAACGCGGGATAGTTTTTTGGCTTCAACAGTTGATGCTAATCTAAGAAAGTAGTTTGTAGAAAGACTTGAATCATATATGCTTTTTTCTTAGCGTATGGTCGCAACTCAATCAAATACTTCCTTTTAACGCAATCTTAGTTTTAGCTAACCTTATGTTTAGTTGTTGATCATATTGGTCTAAAGATATAAAAAAATTTATAACTTACACTGATAACTCACCAACCACCACATTGTCAATCTTCAATGGGAGTTAATGTCCAGAATCCAAATTTTGAGTCATAATTAATTTTCTAAAAACATCTTTATTATAATATATTAAACGATGATTACTTACGATTAGCGTAAAATTAAATGATTTAATTATTTCACATTTATGAATTCCTTGTCTTGAATTTATGACGCAAATATTCCTACCGATTCCAATTATTTCCTTTACTTCAAAAACAGATATAAAACATTTCAAGTCCTTATTCTGGTTTCGACAGATATTCCGTCAATCAAAACGCGTATATATAAGGAATAAAAATCTTACGGTACTCAAACAGAATTTTCTCATCTCACAATGAAGTAAGTAATATACGTTTAGTTTGATTGTAATAAATTATTATCATTTTATTAAATTAATTTCAGAGAAATTACGATTAATCGAAAGTGTAAAAATTTGAAACTAATCCAGTTTACATTATTTTTGGTATTAATAACCATTTCTAATGGATTTCCTGCAAATCACGATGAAGATATGAATAATGAGGTAATGTAGAATTTGATTTGTTGTGATAGTTTAATTCTTTTACATATATTGCAGATTATATCACCAAATTCGCATCAATTTCTAAATTGGATTGTATCCGTTTTAAGAAAAAACGATTTTTTAAGCCAACCAAGCGATATTCCTTTAATTCCATATCAATTTCCTCCGAATGGAAAAAGGAATTCTGCGGAACTAACTAGTTCAATTATGGCCATACCTCGAACTATAATCGATAATGGAAAGTAACATCATCTAAAGTTTATCTCAATTTATAATATTTTCTCTAAATAGTCGGGCCATAGAATTCTTGCTTATTAGTAGTAGAAAATTGTTTAATATTTATTGGAAAATAAAATTGTATGTGTAATTGTTTTGTATTTATTTAAATAGTTTATGATTTTTTTATTTCAACTTTCTCGTGCTCCGTAGAAGCAGTTTGTTATCTTTAACCTTGTAAATTTTTTTTCGGGTTATGACTTTTTTATCTACTTTTTTTTAAGTTAAACATTATCAATATAAAACGGGTAACAAAGAATTTTAGCGATTTATTTGATCCAGTCTAAAATGTTAATTCTCTTAGTTGAAATATTATTTCTTATTTTTCTATTTTACTGCGTTTTTATCAAACCATACAAAGAACTTGATAAATTACCTGGTCCATCAACACTAGAATTGATTAAAAATTATTCTTATTACAGCTCACGTAAAGGTAAGAAAAATGATTTTAACGCAGATATTTAGACTGTAGTTAATACATTTTATTAATTTTTTAAGGAATTGTTTCATATTTACGCACATTAAATGACAAATATGGTCGTATTGTTAAAGTATGGATTAAACCTTTCAAGCCGATGATTGTAACCTCCGATATTGATTATGTGGATAAAATATACAAGTCAAACGATCTTCATATCACACCGATTTTTTTTGAAATGATTTTTCTGAGAGAAGGAATTATGTCGAATTCTAATTGTAAATCAAATCTTATTAAAAAAAATTGTATCAAGCCGAAATTTTTTAGACGATTCATGGAAAAAGGATAAACAAACAATTCAAAAAGCTGTTACTCGGGAATACATATCTGGTAAAATAAGTGTTTATGACAAAAAATACGACGAATTTTTAGATATAATTCGTAAAAATCTTGGTAAACCATTTGATGTTGAATCTCCGTTGTACCATATAGTTTTAGATATAATGATGCGTGAGTAAATGATTAAAATTAAATATTTAATTTTATAACTTATTATTTAGATACAATGCAAGATTCAAACATCGATTTAACCGCTAAAGAAGTTCAAGATTACACTAAATTTCGTGTGGATTTCTTTAATTTACTTTTTGAAAAAATGAATTCTTTCGCAATGATGGGCCCTTTACATAAATTCACCAAAAATTACAAATTAATGATAGAATCTAAAAATAATATAGTCAACTTTTCAAGAAATCTTGTCGAAAGACTTAAATCTGTTAAAACTGAATTACGCGATAAGCACAATTTAATATATGCCATGATAAACAGTGGAATGCCAGAAGAACGTATTATAGATAACATAAACACAATGATCCACGGAGTATGTTTTATTACCTCATAGAAAACAAAAATCAATAAAAAAATCATCTTTTAGGGACACGAAACTTCAATAATTCCATTAGCTTTGGGTTTCTACCAACTTTCTCAAAGACCCGAATTACAACAAAAAATCTTAGACGAAATCCACACAATAATTGGAAAAGATGTAAAAACTCCAATTACTTTAAAAGATTTAAATCTAATGATATATTTACGGGCGTTTATTAAAGAGTGTGTAAGATGTTATTTTACTGGACCATTTTTAGATCGAAAAACCGAAGAAGAAATTGAAATACGTATTTTGTACAATTAATAATAATTTGGATATTTTTAATTAAAATTTGAATTTTTGTAGACGGTGTTAAAATTCCGAAGGGTACTCACGTTATGTTTGATTTAGTGAATATCGCGACGTCAGATCAAAGTTTTGATGATCCACATGTGTTTAATCCCGACAGATTTTTGAAGGAAAATATGACTTCAAGAACGGCTCGAGGTGATATTACGTTCGGTTACGGTATAAGAACTTGTCCAGGTAAAAAAATAAACGAATAATTTTTGTTTATAAAAATAACATTAAATGTTTTAGGAAAACATATTGCTTACGCGGCCATGAAAATATTAATCGTCAAGGTTATCAGAGAATTTGAAATTTGTCCGCTTCAACAAGAACATAAAATCGAATTGGTCTCGGAAATTTTTTTCAGAAGCGTACATGGTATACCAATTAGATTTCAAAAACGAAATTTATAATACGATTGTGTTCAAAAATTATAAATAATTATTAAAAAATAAACAGGCTACGTTTGTTTAGTAAAATGAATTTGACAGGGAGAAAACTCTACAACTATATTCAGCTTATGTGAAATTTCCTGCTCTGCTCTTTCCGCGAAACGACACACTACATTTAAATCACCTCGAAATTGCCCCAATATAAGGCCTTGTGCAACCGTTATCAGAAGGAAATTCAACAAATGGTTTACATATTCGAAAAGAGCTAACCTTGGCCTATCTTATTCCGAGTTTTCGTTCAATATCTGCCATCGTTTGTAAAAGAAACGCACCTGAAAGCCTACAGGTGGCAACTCGCAAATACTTCGTGCCATATTAACTTTATTATTTAACGGGGAGAAAACTCTAGAACTATATTCATCTTATAGGAAATTTTCTGCTCTTTCTAACGGTGTATGACACACTTCAATCACGCGTTTGCACAAACGGTTTCTTTGCTATAAGTTCTACCCCGCAAGACGGGGGTTCCGTCCAATCGGAACAAATGGTGCGTCCCAGACAGGACGTCGCGCCTGATTTCTTTATGTAGGTAAGATAAAGGCGCGACGTACTGTCTGGGACATACTATCTGTTCCGATTGGACGGAACCCTCCTCTCTCCGCATAGCTTATTTCTGTTTCCCTTTAATTTGTAATTCTATTAAATCGCTCTTAAAAAATTAGGGAGCCCTAATTTTAAAAAACTGATAACGGAATCCGACAACCGACATTATTTGACATATTTTGGTAAAAACTGCGTTGAAATCCGCCAGGTCGTTTTCGAAATAACTGCATCCTACTAAACCTGAAACTGAAATTTTTTCGTTAATTAATATGTGATATGCAGAATTGTTAACTGATTACAATAAACTTTACCGCAATTTTTTTCATCGAGCAGTTACGAAGATATCGATCTCTAAAGACTTTGACTTTTTGCACGGATAGTACTCTCCAACAAATCATCGTCAGTCCCTTTAATTTATCACACAAAAAGAATTTAATATATAAGATTATAAAAACGACGAAAATCATTTATAAAGTCACAAACAATAAATTATTTTTAGACAGTTCCTGTCATTTCAAAAGCTAAAACTACATACCTCATCGAATTAAAATTAATCATAAATCAATACAAAATTAGTATGCAACTAGAATTGAAATTGAAATATCCACAAAACCGCTTCAAACAAATTTATCTTACAAATTCCTCGCATTTATTTAAAATGTACAGCTTATGGATGTACATAACATTAATTTGTTTAATACAATCTATAATGAAAACCGTTTTCGAAGCGAAATCTAACACAGTTTTTCAACCAATTAATTATAATGATATTTCAAACTTTATTAATGATTACTTCAATACAACAAATACATTAACGATTTTCTGGAATGATGACGTTTGTGATAAAAAGATGTTTGATAATTTAAACAATTTTGGGTTTAAAATCCAAACAAACAACGTTAATAATTCAAATGCTGAAGAAGGTTTTTTAATTTGTTACAGTTCTAAAAATGAATTAAATGAAATTATAAACAATATAAAAGAGAATATTAAAAGCGTTATTCGCATGACTTTAATTATTACCACATCAATTATTGATTATAAAACCATAATTTCGATATTTAAAGAAATGTCGTTTAAAAACGTTGTTATTTTAAACGTATTCACATTAAAAGTAAGTGCCTATAATTCATTTTTAAATAACATTGAAGATTTTAATATATCCCAAATAAATGATATTGAAAAAGCATTNCAAACGTTTACACTAAACCGTTGCTGAAATCTTCCTGGTCTAATTGCATGTGGATTTTGCAAGGACCACACATGTTCGTTATGATAATTATTTATGCCGTCCCTAGTGAAACACGCTTCATCAGATCACAGAACTTGGGAAATGAAGTTATTATTTTGAGCATGTTGCATGAATAATCCAGTGGCAAAATGCTAAGCGTTGCTCAGTATCTCCAGAAACGGATGTAACATTTCTCGATTCAATACACGCCATACAAAACTTTGAGATATTTGTAACATGCTCGCTATACGCCGAGTACTAATTGAAGGGTCGTCAAGTACTAAATCAATAACACGTTCTTCATTTTGTACATTCACATCATGGGGACGAACGGAATGTAGTGGGGCGGGGTTACCTGTTTCTCTCAGTCTGCGAAATGATGCACTAAACACTGTATGGGCAGGTTGATGTCTATTTGGAAACCTATGAAGGTATTCTCTTGCTGCTTGCCGAGCGTTTCCTTCAGTCGTAAATACATGCATTTTCGTTTTCGATCAAAACTCTGACAATTATAAACTTTGAAACACACAGAATAGAGTAAATTGAAATGTTTGACATAAAGAACTCAGTTTTGTTATCACAGCCAACTCTGTATTTGTGTTTCATAATTATTGTTGCGATTGTTGCAAATCTTTACTTCGTCGATGTGAAGCGTGCATTCAAGCTGAAGGCGGACATTTCGAACATTTTTTGTAATTTTTAAACTTATTTTTTATGTTACATTTTCATTTGCCTATTAAACTGTGTAAAATTTTCAAAGGCTTGTAACTCTTTAACCAAAATGAATCGGACCCATATTCATATAACATTTTTTCCTTAGAATCGCATCACCTTTCATCTGCCAAAGTTTGTCATAGAGCTAATGAATCACCCTGTATTTTGGTAGAAACCGCGTTGAAATCCGCCAGGTCGTTTTCGAAATAACTGCATCCTACTAAACCGCGATTTTCCGCGAAACTATATGGAATATCGAAAAAATAAAACATGCCCCACATTAAAAACACATCGGTTTACCACCAGTTCAAATTTGAAATTTTTTCGTCAATTAGTTTTGGAGAAAAAAAATCGCAAAGTAGACAAAGTTGCTGACAGTCTCAAAAATCGGGTACCTTTTCCACTTAACACGCGATAAAAGAAAAACCGCGAACCCGAAAATTTCCAAATTAACATGTGATATGCAGAAATGTTCACTGATTACAATAAATTTTACCGCAATTTTTTTCATCGAGCGGTTACGAAGATATCGACCTCTAAAGTGAGGGGCCTTGACTTTTTGCACGGATAGTACTCTCCTACAAATCATCGTCAGTCCCTTTAATTTATCACACAAAAAGAATTTAATATATAAGATTATAAAAACGACGAAAATCATTTATAAAGTCACAAACAATAAATTATTTTTAGACAGTTCCTGTCATTTCAAAAGCTAAAACTACATACCTCATCGAATTAAAATTAATCATAAATCAATACAAAATTAGTATGCAACTAGAATTGAAATTGAAATATCCACAAAACCGCTTCAAACAAATTTATCTTACAAATTCCTCGCATTTATTTAAAATGTACAGCTTATGGATGTACATAACATTAATTTGTTTAATACAATCTATAATGAAAACCGTTTTCGAAGCGAAATCTAACACAGTTTTTCAACCAATTAATTATAATGATATTTCAAACTTTATTAATGATTACTTCAATACAACAAATACATTAACGATTTTCTGGAATGATGACGTTTGTGATAAAAAGATGTTTGATAATTTAAACAATTTTGGGTTTAAAATCCAAACAAACAACGTTAATAATTCAAATGCTGAAGAAGGTTTTTTAATTTGTTACAGTTCTAAAAATGAATTAAATGAAATTATAAACAATATAAAAGAGAATATTAAAAGCGTTATTCGCATGACTTTAATTATTACCACATCAATTATTGATTATAAAACCATAATTTCGATATTTAAAGAAATGTCGTTTAAAAACGTTGTTATTTTAAACGTATTCACATTAAAAGTAAGTGCCTATAATTCATTTTTAAATAACATTGAAGATTTTAATATATCCCAAATAAATGATATTGAAAAAGCATTCAAAATTAGAAATTTTCAATCTAAAATTATAACAGTGGCTGCAATAGAAAGTGTCCCGGTTGCTATGAGAGATAATAATGGTAAATTGAATGGGACAGATCCACAATTTATTAAATTGGCGGCGGAAAAATTGAATTTCACTCCTGTTATAAGATACACGTGGGATTTTGGAAATAAAGAACCTAATGGAACAATAACTGGAGCGTTTGGAATGTTGTATAATAAAGAAATTGATGCAATTTTCGGCCAAATATTTACTAAAGATTATCATATAAACGAGATTACATTTACTAACACAATAAGCGGAGATAAACTTTGCGTTATCGTTCCGAAAATGGAACAAAAACCGAAATGGTTAGCGATTTTTGCAACATTTCAAATTGAAGTTTGGATTTTAATAGTAACTTTTGTGACAACTATAGGAATTTGTTTGTATTTTTTAAGAAAATTCAACTCATTCACAAAAAACTTCTCAAATCTAAACCATTTTCATTTTAATGAGTTTGATACTAGATTCATAACGCTTACATCTGACACATTTAGATTGGTTTATAATGTTGCACCAAATTATCTTTCACGAAGACCAATTGAAAAAATATTTTTAATAAACTTCCTTTTCTTCGCACTAATAAACACAGCAGCTTTTCAAAGCTCTTTATCTACAGTACTCACCGCACCCCAATATTATAAAAATCTTCAAAGTTTAGAAGATTTAGCCAAGTCACAGATGCGCATATCATCATATTCGGAAGGTTTAAGGGATACATTTGCAACATCGGAACAACCACATATTCAAGTTTTAAATTCGAGATTTAGTATTTTACCTTATACTCAAAACAGATACGACGCTTATCTCTCAAGGCTCACAAAAACTAAATACATTCAATCTTTGGAAGTTAAAACATATGGAAAATTGATATCCCACACAATTCCGGATTGTCCAAATAGTTATTTATTATCATATTTAACCAGAAGGGATTCATTAATTCTTGATGAAATCAATAGAATTATTGAGGGTTGCGTTGAGAGTGGATTATATAATAAATGGTATAATGATGTGGTTGGTGGTGCTTGGAACGAACGTTTATTAGAGAATGTAGAAACAAGAGCTTTTACAATTAATGATATTCAGACTGCTTTTTATTGCTTATTATTGGGTTATTTACTGAGTATTATAACATTTGGTTTAGAGTATTTGAATTACATTTGATTGGGTTGGCTTTAGTTTTGGTTTTCATTTTATTTTTTGCTCTAAATTTAACTTGAATTCCATTTAACACTTCTAAAAAATATATCACTGGCAGTTTGGGTTTATGTAACGCTAAATATAATTCAAATTCTGTCAACATCTTAATAATAAACAATTTTATTGCAGTTTGTTTTCCTACATTATAGAAAGTGTAAAATATTTGTTATCTTACTATTCTTATATCATTTTTCTAAATATCATCTATAAATAGTAATAGTATTAACACATACTTATAGTCAAAATTTGTAATCATAAACAAACATGTCAAAATCACCACGTATATGTAGTGTCTAAGTATTACCATGTATAAGTTATCTTTTCGCTCTCTATCGGTGAAGAGTCAAAATTATGTATTATATTTACTTATAATAAAAAAAAGGTATCAAAAAATAATATTTTTACGACTAGATATGATACTATATTTTTAAAACTAATTTACAATAATAAATTATTCATTCTTAAATTTCTCAAACACAGCTTTAATTTTATGTGCTTTAATTGATGGCGACAAAGAAGCATCTAAATTACCAACTTTTAATCCACACTTGAGTAAACGTTTAACCACTTTATGTGATTTCGGTGATTTGGAAGTAACTGCATGATACAAACAAGTTTGCCCTAATTTATTCTCTTTAAAAACGTCGATACCACAATTTAATAACATTTTTACTGTTTTCATGACATTCTCTGAGCCGGAAGAACATGCATAATGTAAGTAAGTATTTTCTTGGAAGTCAGTCATGTTTATATTTTTTCTAATTTCACCTTGATCTAATAATAATTGGACCATCACGTGTGAATTAGGCGAAAATGATTGACAAGCATGATGAAAAACGTTTTTACCAAGTTTATCAATAATATTCAAATCAACGTTACGTTTTAATATTATCGAGAGAATTTTATGGGCATTTTCAGATGGAGATGAAGCTATTTCATGAAGGTAAGTTTCGCCTTTATCATTTGTTTTGGAAAAATCCAGATATTCACAAAGTAATTCAACTGTGCCATAGACGTGTTCGTTATTTACTTGAAGTGCATAATGAAGGCAATGATTTCCATTTCCATCACGAACATTTGGGTCTAAACCATTTTCCAATAACAGTTTGAACATGTTTCTCGCATATTCCGATAAATAAAGTTCTTTATAATGCAAGCAGTTTTTACCCTCCGCGTCCAATATGTTTGGATTCAACTTATATCGTAATAATAACTCTGCCATTTTACGTGCGTTTTCGGAGTAATACAAAGCTTGGTAATGCAAACAAAGTTTTCCTTCGAGGTTTTTTTGGTTTGGATTTAAACCGTGCTTTAATAACAATTCAACCATTTTACGCGAATTATCCGAGTAATGAATCTTTTCGGAATGCAAACAATTATTATTGTTATTATCAGTTTTTGTAGCATCTAAGCCAAACTTTAACAGTAAATTAATCATCTCACGAGCGTTATCGGAGTAAAACAATTCTTCGTATTGTAAACAATTTTTGCCATCTTTATCGCTTATGTTTGGATCCAATCCGTGTTGAAGTAATAATTCGACAATCTTTCTTGATTTATCCATGTAGAATATTTGTTTGTTATGCAAACAAGTTTTACCTTCATTGTCGAGATGATTCGGGTTCAAATTATGTTCTAATAATAATTTTATCGTTTTACGAGCACTTTCAGAATCATATAATTTGTGATAATGAAGACAAATTTGGCCATTTTTATCGGGGAGGTTTGGATTTAAACCGTGATTCAAAAGCAATTGTATTATTTTTCTTGCATTTTCAGAGTAATACAACTTTTCGATGTGCAAACAACTCCTCATTTCGTTATCTATGTTGTTTGGGTTTAAATGGAAATTTAATAATAATTCTGTTATCTTATAAGCGTATTTTGATTCGTAAAATTCTTCGAAATGAAGACATGATTTGCCGTCGTTGTCGGGAAAATTCGGATTTAAATTTTGTTTTAAAAGAATATCTACGATTTTGTAAGCGTTTTCTGATTGAGAAAGTGTTGCGTAATGAAAGGAAATTTTTCCTAAATTATCTTTTTCGTATGGTTCAATATTATAATTTAGTAATAACTCGGTTGTTTTGTGCGAGTTTATTGAAGAAGATAACGCTGCGAAATGTAAAGGGTTTCGACCAGATTTATCTTTCTTTTTTGGGTCCATCCCGTAATCTAATAGCAATTTAACAGTGAGATAAGAATTTGGTGAATTTGATAATGCGGCTAAATGCAAACAATTTCTTCCGAATTTATCTTCTATGTTTGGATTAATTTTGCGACGTAACAAAAACTCGGCGTTTTTGTTAGAAATTTGCGAATGTGATAAAACGATGTAATGGAAATAATTCAAACCATCATTATCTAACGTTGTAATATCATCATCATTATGTATTAATAACTTTATTATTTTATCTGCGTTTTCTGATGAGCATAACGTTGAATAATAACGCGCATCTTTACCACAATTATCAGTTTCATTCGGATCCATATATTCCAATAACTTTTCAACAATTTTGTATGAGTCATCTGAAGGGGATGATACTGCAAAATGGAGACATGTTCGGCCAAAATCGTCTTTTTCAACTAAACTTGGGTTCAAACCACACTTAATTAAAACCTCAAACATTTCGAATGCAAAAACTGATTTTGAAGAAACGGCACATTTGGCGCATTCGTTACTATGAAGAAATTCTTTGATGGGTTTTTCATCCACTTTGTGTTTTAATAACAATTTTAAAATATCAGGAGATTGACTGTCTGTAATTGCTCGTATTAAAGCATTTTTACCATCCTCCACCTCGAAACGATCTGCTCCGTTATCTAACAAATATTGTATAAAATTTAAGTCTGTACTAAACGAAATTGCATAATGCAATACGTTCATACCGGTGGGAAATCTTTTTTTATTAAAAAGATTGTGATCGTAACCAACAAATAAATTGTTAACATCGGCTCCGTCTTCGATTTCATTTTTAATTTTTTCCGGTAAATCGAAATCTGTTTTTCCAGCTTGCATATAATTGATCCAGGTTAATTTAAAATTGTCGTTTTCTGTAAGAATTTGATTTTTCGTTTCGTGTACATATTTATGAATCTCTTTGAATATCCTCTTGGTGTTGGAATTTTTCGAGTACCAAGCCGCGATATGAATCGGATATCGGCCCAAATCGTCTGGTTTCAATAAACAATCGTCTTTGCTTTTAATGAGGCGTATAACAGTATCATAATCTCCGTTTATAATTGCAGCGATGGCTTTATTTTTTCCACTATTTGCCATCATGTTTAAAAAGTGAACTGTATCGCTTAAAAAATGAGACTCAAGCAACATAATGTACAATTCAGAAAATCGTTCGTTGAGACTGTTTTTATAAAACCAATCTGCTCGTAAATAATCAGCGTATGCGTTATGAACAAACCTTGCGATCCCTTTATTATCAATACTTGAGATTAATCCAAGAGATATTTTAGAGCGAAAATTGTTTAAGATAGATTCGATTTCTCCTGGTTTTAAGACGTAAAGTTCTATAAGTTTGCTCGGTTTTAAACTGGCAACTAAACTAAGTTTGTGGTGGATATCTAATTGTTCTCGACGAATTGATTCGCCTACAGTTATCTCCTCATTAATTGATTTAAGCCCGACTTTTTCAGAAATGTATTTACTTAATTGTATTTTTATAAATTCTCGGTATAAATCTGTAACGTCCCAATCTGATATTTCTTTGATGTTCTCATAAACAATAGGTAAAATACTTAAATGCAAAGCATTCGTTAATATCTGATGCTTATTTATTAAATCAATGGATATGTTGTTATGTCGACAATAATCATTTATTTCTTCTTGGGTAAACTCAACCAATTCGATATAATTTACATCGTTTAATAAATACTTTGCATAACATCTTGTGGTCATAAGTACCTTTACATCTTTTACAAGTAACATTTTATCTAAAATTTCTATGATGTGTGATTCGTAGGCTGCTAATATTTCTTCGAAAGAGTCCATAAAGAAGCATAATCGTCCGTTGGATTGATGATCATGATAAATTGCTTTGAATAAGGAATCTTCTTTTGATTGAATCTTGTCGTAAAAATAATCGTAAACGGTCTTCCATTCCTTTTTCCATTTGTGAAGATCTTTCAAGTCTGCCAAATTAATTAAAACTGCTACATCTTTAGGATTATATCTCAACGAAAGAGAATGAAGCACAGTTGATTTTCCCATACCAGTATCGTTACTTATAATCGAAAATCTATGGTGATTAATAACGTCTTCAACCACGTCTTGTTCGGTATACAAATTCGATTCATTTTGAAAACGTCGTTGAATGTAATCATTTTTTCTTTCGCCTAAACAATTACCTATTACAGGATAATAATTTTTTTGGCTCCATTGCAATAAATGGGAAAGCGTTACGTTGTTTCTTGTATTTTCGTTATTTCCAATAACGTCGCCTAAACTAACTAGAGGTCTTCCTTGCAAAGACACAAGGAGTTTACTAATTGTTTGGTATGACTCGTTATCAACGTTGGAAATGTTTTGAAACACGGTTAAATCTTTGAATGATTTTAAATTTTCCTTAGAACATAGTAAAATGAAATGTTTCTCAAGGTGTATATAGCGTGTTAAAATATCTTTAAATCGATTTGATTTTGTTGTATCTACAATTAATGGCCAATTTTCGTTCCACCACATCCAAACTAATAAATCAGTTATAGAATTGATTTTTTGGTTAATATTTAATTGTAAAAGTTCACGAAATGTAGTCTTGACCTCACTCGTAAGTTGAAAGTTGTTTTGTTTGCAATCTCTCCAATTAAATGAATCATCATACACTTTTATTTTTGTCTCATAATAAAAAGCTATTAGTGGAAGTTTATCATTTTCTTCCCCAATCGCAATCAAATTGTGTTTTTGAATCAACGAATTCCAGAGTTGATAGTAATGATCGCTCATTTCAATTACATCCGATATTTTTGTTATTAACAAAGGTTGGATTAATTGTTGAAAACAAATACAATCGAATGTGTATTTATCAAGGGGGTTGCAACTTGTCACATTGTTCATATAATTAGATATTTGCTCGATAATATTTGGTACAACATCAATAGTAAAATTATTTCCGAGTGTTTCAAGTATTTTCTCTTCAATACTATAAATATCCGGTTGATTGTTAATAACAAACATCTTCTTAAATTCATCCCCTTTAAAATGGCACTTTAAAATTTTACCGAACATAGTCAATGGAACGTTATCCGAAACTTTGGTATCTTCAACACTACCATCTTGGGCATCTACCTCCAAAATGTTAGTGAATATATAAAAATAATGTTCGTCTACATCTTCCAAAAATTCGTCAAGTTTCGTTTTTTCGGTACTTCCCGAAATTTGCGATGATAATTTTTTAATATCATCGGAACACGCTTTCATGTCAACAACAGCATATTCTTTTAATTTACATTTTGCTTTTGCAAGTAACAACTTTTTCTTCGAGTGTTTTAACTGAAAAAAATGCGCCTGCTTTTTAGGGGAATTCCGATAGGAACATTTAATAATTATATCTTCAAATATCTTTAAACCTTCCGTATTGCGAGTAATGTGAAAATCTTTTATATTACTTAAACCATCGAAAATTGAAGCTAAATACAATATTACTTGACGTTCATATGGTATTCCTAGGTTTTCGGTTCCTTGTTTTATTGGAAGACCCTGAAATTATAAAATTTACATTTTAATTCATTTGTTATGTTTTATTTATTTTAATACTTACCACTTTATCACATGGTAACATTTTGGTTTAATTATTTATCAAGGAAAACAAGTTATCCTTTTAAAATGAAGCTTAGGAATAGGTTGAACATTAGAAGACACTGCAACATTTAGATCGAATTAGATTAATGCATCTGCGCTGATGTCAGCTATAATTATTTTGTTGTTTAACGTATAAAGATTTCAACGCGGTTTTAACCAAAATTTCAGTTTTATATAGACTGGACGTCGCGTCTTTACTTTTTTGTGTAGATAAAATAATAACATATGTATACGGTCGGCGACAAAAATTCCCTTCCTGTCTAATTTAAAAATGGTTTGAGATCTCCGTATGAGTCAAAACACGTCGATTTATATTTTTTATTAGCTCGAGTATTTTTGCCTAATGTCACACCATCAATTTGGTCACTTTGTGGAATTTTGAGAAAAAACCGTAAAGATTTGCCTTTATTGGTTAAAAACAAGAAACTGAAGAGAGAAGAGCAAATCCTCAAAAAAAACCGTGTTACTATCCTAAAATGGAAGGACAAAAGGAATGTCTTCATGATATCTACATACCACGCAGATGAACAAACTATGTGCAAAGGGCGAAATGAACGTCAGAACCCCAACATGATATTAGAATATAATGATCGAAAGAAATGTATCGACTCATCTGAAATATAATTAAGTTACTATTCGCCAGTTTGCAAGAGGTTGATGTTCTTTTTGGAGTATGCGTAATAAACGCAGTTTATTTGTGCAATAAATTGAACCAGCAGAAGAAATGTAATCTTTTGCAGGCACAAACAGATATTGCGAAAAACCTATTGGGCATAAAGGTGCCCAATCACCTATGTCGAAGAGTAGCTCAACTGCAGATATCTCACAAGGAGCAACTGTTCCGCTGACTCTCCCAAAGAAACTATTCCTTACACAACTGGATAGAAAAGACGCAAAACTAACTAGACGTAGATGTGCAGGTTGCTACAATGCAGCTGTAGCTAGTATAGCAAAAAAAGTATCGCAAATATGTAATATTTGCACCAAGCTCTATTGTTTAGAATGTTTCCCAAAGAGTTCATAAAAATATTTAGTAATATTTGTTCTCTTTTTTTCAATAAATATTTTATTTTTTAGTCCATAAATGGGCTGTGGACTGTAAACCCGTTAAACGGTAAATTGCGTCGTTAAAACGTGCGATATTGGAGTGACGTAAACCTAAATCAGCATGAGACGAATACCCAATATCCCCAAGAAATAAACGTGGGATAAAATATAATAGGTAGGGTAATTATTAAAAGTCACGCCAATTTTTGTTAAACTATTTAAACTAATAAATATAAAAATTGACGTGTTTTGGCTTATAACGATACCTCGAGCCGTTTTCAAATTAGTTGGTGTTTCATTTGACACGCACTGTATAGCGGTTGTCATGGTAACTAATAATTAATAAAGCTGTATAAATTCGGTTTATTTTTAATTAAGATATAATTTACTCACATTTTCATTTAAAATATATCGATGAAAGAAATATGATAACAAATATTGCACGTATAATGAACCGTCTAAGAATGTTGTGTTTATTTTTAGCAACAGTCGGTCGCCCCAAGGTTAATATTGTTGAATCAATTTTTGGATATTTCCAAAAATCATCAACAAAATCGCCTATTCTATATAACAAATTAAGTTCAAAATATAAAATTTTGTTCAAAATAATTTTGAGTTATGATATACTGACCTTAAATTAATATTAACACAGTTTAACGATTAATTTACATTTTTTAAATGACAAAAATTACACAGACTCCGCGGTTTTAATATGTAAGCAAGTTTAAAAATAAATCGTTTATCTGTTCTTTTGCTCGGCTATTGCTGAAAATGTAAACTGATAAACCCTACCTTGGGTTTTCCCAAATCCTATATGCAACTTTACATGCTTAAAAAATATTTGCGTAACGTATATGGTTTCTTTATTTAATAAAATTAATATTAAATTAAAACAAATTAAATTTTTACAAAAATAACCTAAACAATTTCCAAGATATATCACATTTATAAAGAAATTCTAAGAACGACGTTTTAAAAAGAATTTATCGTGGGATAACATCGATAGTTCAGAAATCGACATACATAATACATAAATTCGCGTTGTGCACGCTGTAAATATTTCCGAATCAATGTTGTATTGCGTTTCAACGAAGTCAGACGACATGAAATCCACTTTTCTAACAGTCTTTGTTTTTGCACAAATTTTTGTGTGCGTACTGGGTTTTGTTTGTCTTCAAGAACATTGTAAGGAAGTGTCGTGTGATGAGAAATTAAAATGTCAGTTAGGATCTGAGTTGAGAAGAAATGCATGCAGTTGTTGTAAATCTTGCGTTGAAGTATTAGGTAAAATTGATCACTTTTAACTTAATCTTAAATGATAACATTAAATTTCTTTTAGGAGAGAATCAGGAGTGTGCCTTATCTAATATAATACTTCCTTCAATCAATCCTTGCGCGGAAGGATTATTTTGCCTAGAAGGAACTTGCCAAAATGTTGGAAACCTTGAAGAAATACAACGTGTAAAAGATATATTAAATGCGAACGCTTAAATGTTCTACTATTTCATTGTGTGTTAATAAAATGAGTAATGCGTAATTAATTCAACATCTTTGTTTTGAGACGTTTCTATAAATAAACTACGTGATAATTTAGAAAATCCTTGAATAGTAGTGATTAATAAACATGTGTATACAGTAAGAACATAAAGTAAAAAGTTAAAGTGGCAATTCTTAAATAAGAATAACTTATTTCACACTCTTATAAATAATAAAATCCCTTGGCAGACAAAGCCACTTAATAAAAATATTACAAATTAGGGCTAAATAAAAACACTTTGTCACCATCAGTACAAGTTGTTGATATTTTAATGTTAACATTTTAATGTTTCGATTCTTCTCATACACAATGAGATTTGTATTATCAAAGTTTGTGTAATATTGCAATAGGCAGTATCCAATTTATGCGCATCTCCAAGAAGCAACGAATTCCTTCCAAACACATAGAATTGCAACGACACGTCAGAGACCTAGCTATCAAGCTTTCGTACTTGGAGGTCAGACCTACAACAGTCCTAAAAACCGTGGCCAACACTTCCTCCGCACACAATCAAATTTTGGCTTTCACAAAGGTTTCTTCGTCTTTCTTTTAGCACTTCATATTTGCACTCATATTTGGAGTGTATGATGAACCCACAAGTGACAATTTTATGTAAGGAAATTTCTCTTTCTTTTTCAAAACGAATTCGAAGCAATTGAGAAATGCGAACCCTTGCGTCTTTTTGATTATCATTGGAACCCAACGTGCTAACATTTTTCTGAAGCCCAATTGCTTTTTGATGATTGATTGGACACTTACATAGCTGACACCAAGTTCTTTCGAAATCTTAAGCAAAGTGAAGCGTCGATTCCGTTCGATAAGCTCACGAATACGAGCTATGCTTTCATTAGTCACATTGGGCATGCAGGCTGCGGTAAATTTCGACTGAAAGAATTAAAAAACTACACATGCAATAGTTGATAAGCAATCTTGGCCAAATTTTGGTTTTGAATGTATGTAACTTATCTTTCTCCAGTGTTGAATGATTAAAGTTGGTTGGAACTTCTTGTATTTTTCAACGACTTTACATCCTTTTTATCGAGCAAACCTGATTTGATGCATAATTAAAGTTGATGAATTGTTCAATTAGCATGTAATACAGTAATACAATGAACCTTTACTTGTGTTCACTCTTTAAACATTAAGCTTAGTTAAACGTTACATTAAATAAGCATTTCTGCATCCTATTTTTCAAGTTTCATTGCTTTTTTCATATTTATATACTTTATATTATTATATTTAAAATATAGTGGTGACATCTAGTGTCCAAACTAAATAACTAATTAAAAGTATAGCATTTAAAAAAAAAAGATTTTATTAAATTAACAATTAGATACATTTTATAGACATTTATTTATTTATTTATAAATTAAAATTGTTAATTAAAAATAAAAATTTATTTAAATGTAAATTTCAACGCTGTCAAATTTGACATTTCAAAACAAATTGTTCGAGAATTTTCTAGGTTATGCGACGTTATTCTGTAAACTGGTCGATTTGGAACGATCGTAAGTTAGAAATTGCAATCAAAGCACCGATTCAATGTGTATTTACCGTCCATAATCAGACGATAAAAGTTAACCCTTAATCATATTAAGTGTAACTAAAGATCGTTCAATATAACCATGTCTAAAAATCAATCGGAAAACGATGAAACAGTACGCAAAGAAGTTGAAAATATCAAATCTACAGCCGTTGTTAAGTATTCCGTTCCTAAACCTGCCAGTTTTAATAAACTACAATGCAATACTGATTTAAATTTACCACCATCAAATTGGCTTAGTAGTTCAGCTGATTCTTACGGGTTACAACATGTTTTGTATCAACCGAAAGGATTTACAAGGTAAATATACGATTCTTTTCCTTTTTTTTTTAAATAAATTAAGTTAATTTGAATTTGTTGTAGTTTTCGTATGGCACATATGTTTCCGGATTGCGTAGGGGAAGTAGATGTAGTTTCAGATTCTGAAAATATAAAAAAGTTATTAAAAATCCCCTACCAAAAAGGTCAGATAAGTATGGTAGTACATAGAATTGAAAATACACTATTATTAGACGATTTTGATATATACAAGCACATATTAAGAACAGCCGAGACCGAATGGGGTTGGCTCAAAAAGTTTTTTTGTGAAAATGTTGAAAGAGAAGTGGTTAATGAAGATAGAACATTATATATGAAAAATAAAAAACATAAAGCTCTTAAACAGAAAAGCCTTGTTTCAAAGTTTTTATATCATAGTTTGGTTCCAAGTGAAAATGATGAAGTAAATTTAAAATTATTTTTAAACTATCTTATTATTATTTTTTTAATTTTAGACATTGGGTGATGATAGGTTTTTTAAATGTGATACTTTACAAGGTCCATTATTACCAGAGCCTTCACCTTCGGAAGAAGTACCAGATCCAGGATCATTCGATCAACCATTTAATCGAAACGTTGTTTGGTCATTTGAGGATATTGATATGCTACTTGGAACTGATATGCCTATTTTTGGTGGAGGAACACATCCTTGTATATCACTTAGATTAAATGACATGAGTAAACCGATTAATGTTTTAACTGGAATTGATTATTGGTTGGATAATTTAATGTCAAATGTACCAGAGGTAAAAGTTATTTTTTACCATATATATCTAACAACCAGAGTACCAACAATTGTTAATTTTGTTTTCAATAAGTATTATCAAAGTGGTTTGCTAGTAAAAAAATTATCCACTGTCAGATTTAGTCCAGAAGAATGTATTGTACAAACTAGTGTTATCACAACTTCATATCCTAAATTTTTGACATGTTTATAGTGAAAACATTTATCTCATATTTTGTAGTTGTGTGAAATACAGCCATGTCAGTAATATAAATGTAGGCTTCAAGGTAACAACAAGAACCCTCCTAATAAAGGCAAATAGAAAAACATTCAATGACAAGTTGCTTGCTATATACTATACAAAGATTAAAATTTTTAACTGGGTTTTCGGTTATAAATGATTAAAAATAAAATAAAAGGAATAACACCACAGCAGAATAGTCATACCTGAGTAGGTACTTTATTTTAATTAAATGTAAATATTTCTGTGCTACAAAAATAATAAAAACGAAATAAACCAAAACGTAAAACAAGCAATAATAACAAAATAACAATTCAAAGCAATTTGTCACTTTTCTACACCACTACATGTAATTGATTAGTATTAAGGAAAAGCAGTTTCTTTACTTTTTCTGGACTAATTCTATTTCATCTTTCTGAAATAATTCCAGCTTTAGAGAATAGGAACTGAAGTGCAAATTATATGCGTATTCATCTTCTTTGTCATTATAATTTCCGTCAAATTGCGCATCTTCCTGCATGGTTTGATTTTCCGTTTCTTGTTGACTCTGCAGTAGTTTTGATTTTACATGGTTGGTTAACAAATCCAATTAATTTAAATCGCGGATCTAGAAATGTCGAAACAGCTAATGTATTGCACATTTCTATATTATCAAATCGACTAATCAGCTGAGATTTTATTTTTATGATTATTTGTTGTACGATATTTTCGCAAATATCAGCAAGTCCATGCCTTAAAGGGATTACCAAAGAACCTGTGGCCTAGTTTTCTCTAACGATTTTCTCCTACCTCTCTTCTGTCACATTTTCCATTCATCTGAACTTAACACAGAAATATCTGCATCCAATATTGCTATGGTACTTGTGATGCCATTTTCTAATTCGACAAATCGGCTCAACATATAATAAGTCGTATTCCAGTTGGTGGAAACATTTTACAAAGTTTTAATGGCGTTTTTCCGGAAGTTTGTTGATAATTTGATAATTTTTCATTTGTAATTGTACTTCTTTTAAAGTGGGAGACAGTATATACATAAAAATTAATGCAGAACTTTCTGACAACGATAACAGTCGTCATAACCATAAGTTCTGGTAGCTTTGCGCTGGGAAGAACAAAGGGAAAAGGCCTAAAATACCATCTATTCAACATTGGACAAGCTGATGATCAAACTTCCCGACTTTACACCGACACATCAGAGACCGTTGAACATATTCTGTATGAATGTGTCGTTAGTGACATAAAGGAACAAGACCTTGGAGCAATAGTCTCGAGTGTTCTCCAGTGTTGAATGATTAAAGTTGGTTGGAAAAGCAGTGTCTTTACTTTCTCTGGACTAATTCTATTTCATCTTTCTGAAATAATTCCAGCTTTAGAGAATAGGAACTGAAGTGCAAATTATATGCGTACTCACGCCACCATTTGAGTGGATGTTCATGTCTTGGCAATAGATCTTGTTCCAGGTATCTTTCTATTTCGATCATAGCCCTGGAATTAGAAGGAGGGTAGCTTTTATGTTTCATGGTTGATTTTTTTTCTAATATATCCCACACCAATATTTCATCTNGAAATCTTTTGAAAATTATAAAAAAGCTTTGCAAGTTTTGGGTGATCGAAAAAATTCACCGCAAGTTTGGGATGCTGTAAGATGGGAGTTATCAACTGCTTTATTTAGTATGGGAACTATTTTACATGAATATCCAACTTCACAACTGGTAATAAATTCATCTGAACTTAACACAGAAATATCTGCATCCAATATTGCTATGGTACTTGTGATGCCATTTTCTAATTCGACAAATCGGCTTCACATATAATAAGTCGAATTCCAGTTGGTGGAAACATTTAGCAAAGTTTTAATGGCATTTTTCCGGAATTTTCTTGATAATTTTTCATTTGCAATTGTACTTCTTTTAAAGTGGGAGACGATCCTTTTTATTTTTGATATCAGTAAGGAAATATGAGATGTTTCCAAACAATTTTGCAATACTAAATTTATTGAGTAAGCAAAACATCCAAAATGATTCAGTTTTAGTTCAGCAGTAATAACATTTTTAATATTCGATGTCAGAAACAGCTAGTATAACTTTATCTGCTATATTCCAATCTGAAATTATGTTTATTATGTGTCCTTCCATTATTTTATAATCTAGTAAAATCGAATTCAAAGTTTTCATTTATCAAATTAAAGCTAATTTTACTTTAATTTTAGGTTGTTATGTGTTATCACTTAAACGGAATAGTTCAAAAATACGAATTAATTAAAACTGAAGATTTACCGCAAATGGACAATTCCAAGTTTTCTCCAAAATTAATTCGAGATGTAGCTCAAAGTATCCTATCCTTTTTAAAATCAAACGCGACTAAAGCGGGTCATACATATTGGTTGTTTAAAGGAAAAGACGAAGAAGTTATAAAATTATACGATTTAACATCGTTGTGTTCTTCCCCGACCATTGATAACGATCAAAACCCATTTACAGTTCCCGTAGCTATGCTTCTATATAAAGTAGCGAGGAACATGAAAAGTAATTTAGATAGGAGACAACCGGGGACTGTGCGAATGCTTCTTAAAAATTGTATAAAGTTACTAGACGAAGAAAAATATCCAGAAATTGTTACTTCTTCGCATTTTATGTTAGCTGATTTGTATATTCCATCAACAACTAATCCAGATAATCCCGAATTGGAACAAACTGATAGTGAAGATACTGAATCGATTTATGATGATGATATACACGAAAACGATAACGAATGTCCAACTAAAATTTTAATATTAAATAAGGAAACGTTAGATGAAAAATTTAATAATTATTATAAGCCACCACCGCCTATTGGAGGATTACTAGACGATAGGTGATTTAATTAGTATTAACTTAATTAATAATAAAATTCATTTAAATTACTTAGGTGCACTCAAGGTATTTTACATATTGCATCCGGTTTAAATTGCATCAAATATTTTCACAAACGTGATTTTCCTAAAGAAGAAGAAAACGTGCCTTTCGCAAAACCGAACGAAGCGATACCGATGCCGTACGCAAAGTTAAGTTCAAAAGATAAAAAAGTAAAAAATAAAAAGTCGAAAAAGAAAAAAGGACAAAATTTACCCCTCCTACCAAAATGCTGTGATAACAATATAAAAACCGAAAATATCTCATGGAACGATCACTTAAAATCGCTTCTTTATGAAAAGGCTGTGCTAATTTACGCTATTTTAACTGAAAGACATTATTTGATGAAACGTTATGGTGCTTGTTTAAGAACGATTGGTTTATTAGTGCGATGTTTAAACATCCTCACAGAACTTAAACATCCAAATTTAATGAATATTTTACAAGATAATTGCATTTTAGCTAGAGCTGGTGATAGTTGTATTATGATAGTTCAATATTGGTCTAATAGTAACGAATACAACGAAGAATTGCATTCTGTACCAGATGAAGATGCAAAAATGTTACTCCAAATAGAGGAAGATGAAAGAATCTTTAATATAAATCTAATAAATTCACCGCTTAAAGCAATATTTATTTACGAAATACGCACAATCGAGCAAATGCTTTTAAACGCGATAAATTGTTATGAAGGTGCAAAAAGCATTTGTGATTCCACGAATATGTTACGTCGCTTGGGAAATGCTTTAAATGAGGTCGGGTCGTTTTATTTAAATAAAGCGAAACAAGCGGAGAAATTAGATGATATACTCGAAATTGCTAAAAAAGCCGAGAGTCATCTAAAAAAAGGTATAGAATTGTTTGAAAATGCTAAAGATGCCGCAAATTCCGCTTTGCTCTACACAAACATGGGACATTTACATCGCCTATTAGCACATCATGTCAGTTATCCAGAAAAAAGGGGTCAATTAACCGCCAAGGAAAAGTTTCATTATGAGAAATCTTTTGAAAATTATAAAAAAGCTTTGCAAGTTTTGGGTGATCGAAAAAATTCACCGCAAGTTTGGGATGCTGTAAGATGGGAGTTATCAACTGCTTTATTTAGTATGGGAACTATTTTACATGAATATCCAACTTCACAACTGGTAATAAAACATAAAAAAATCGTTTTAATAACAATATTATTTACTTATTTTTTAAAATTTATTTAGAGTCGCCCAGAGGCGGAACGCGAAGTTATAGAAACTTTACAGAAAGCTTTACTTTATTGCGATTTAGATAAAGATAATTCAAAATATCCATTGTACTTATACAGAGCGGCGAACATTCATTATCGAATTGCCAGTCTTTATCACAGCCAATTATGGAGTACTCAATCATGCGATACAAGTCGAAAGAATGCAATTCAATTAGCCAAAATCAACTATGAAAAATGTTCTAAATTTTATAAAGCATCCGGCGATGCTGATCAATTTTTAACCGCTCAAATGCAACTCGTTTCTTTAATGGAATTTTTAGCAGAAAGTAAGTTAATTTATTGTATTATTTTATAACTTAAATATTTTTTATTTTAGCTACAACCGCAGCTTATCCTAAATTAAAATATCTTAAAAGTGGTTTAGAAGTAATACTGGATGTCCAAGAAGTTATACAAATGCTAGTTGAAAGAAAAATTGATATTCCAGAATCAGATGTTGCAGAATTTATGACAAAACGAAAAGACACGTCTTATAAATCTTATAGTTCTTTGCTAATGCTTGTAAAGCAAAGATTGCAATTTATACTGAAAAGTTTAATTAAAGTGTGTTTAAGTAAACCATGTGCTTATAAAGGTTGTGATCAACTTGTTAATGTTTACAAAAAGTGCTACTCACTTACATTTGATTTGGAAAAGTGTGAGGAATTTTATGGGTTTCTTGAAAACTTAAATGAAATTTTAGTAAAGGTGCAAAGTATTTTGATGAAAAATAGCGATACATAACACAATAGCTTACTTAAGTTATATTTTTATATCTTAAATGTTACTTTATTTCACTTATTTATGAATACAATAATTAATTTATAATAATACGTTTTGTTTTTATGTTTCATCTAATTTTAGTGTCAGTAATTTCAATCATTTCAACAAAATAAATTAACTAATTTTTGGTATTTCTTCATATGTTAATACGTTAACTACCAGAATGTTTTTTTACTGTAAAATTTTCATTTTTTGGCGCATGATGCGCAAAGGTGGATCCAAGATTAATGAAGTCCCATTACAGAAATTATCAATTATTTATTACCCCTGTAAAGATAATCGTAGAAGTGCGTATTGGTCATAATACAGGATCGACGCTGTATTGGAGCCATTGGGGAAGAGCCATGGTTATGGGCAATTGGTACGCTAGTCTCTCATTGGCAGAATAGTTGCTAGATAGACAAACACACCTAATTGGCACTTTGAGGTAGATCCGCACGAACTGATTCAAAAAACCACATCAGTCTGGTGAAGATATTGCAAAAGAGATAAAAGCGTTCTTTCCTGAAGGGGTAAGTGGAACATCCTGATGTCCTCTACAAAGCACTCAGATTCGCAATGTTTGCCTATTAAACATAAGAAGTGGAAGCCGTCACGACAAGCAGAAATTTTCTTCGCGTAATGAACTGTCTGAAAGTGAGATCTGAGCGAGATGTGTTATGAAATAGCAAAATCAAATCACGGATGGCGTCTAGCGAGGAACTTAGAGTATTCGAACCTACTGTAAAGAATGTGAAGGGGAGTCTCACTCATTTGTGTATTAAGTGTTTTAATGAAAAACATTGCTATGGTGTGGAGTGAAATCCTACATTATCAGGATCCAACACTCTGCTAGTAATATGTAGAATGAAAATTCTTTAACTAGCTCCTGAATATTTATTAATCCCATTCCTGTATTCGATAATTTCTTCCACACCACTACAATATTGATCAAAACTATGTCATGGCTAACTACAGCAATTCAATACATAGTATATATGAAGAGTTGAGAACTGTTTTGGTGATAGTTTGATATAAAAAGTTGTGGATATTAATGAAAAAATTAAGAAACATTCTTTAATAGATAATAATAGAAATTCTTGAATAGGCGAAAATCATCATAGTGTAGTTTAAAAATACATTATATCAAATTGTACGATAATAATGATGTATGTGGATAATGTTGCAGCAATCTAAAAATGAAAGAATTAAAAATCTTACTAATTTTGGTATCAAACGTTTTACTGTGTACACTAAAGATAAATCGATCGTAAATAATCCACCTGGAGCAACTTTAAAGTTTTCGTGATGAAGTTGTAGATAAAAAAGTTTCACCTAAAATAAAATTAATGAATTATCAGATAAATTAAATGATTAATTCACTAACGTCTTTTAAAACGCCGCTAATACGTGAAAAATCCTTTTCTCTCATTTTCGTTATAACCATTTTTACCTGTTAATGATTTTTTAAGTACACTTAAATTAATTTTTGCTTAATATTAATACTTACATGTTTATGACATAAATGAGACGGAATAATAATTATTGCCAAACAAAATATACAATCGAGTGCGCGATATATAGAATATTGTAAGTTAAAAAACCACAAATTTGTGTTTTTGCTTCCATATAATTTCGAAACGATATTTTGGATGTGTATGGAATGTAAAATAATGTTTTCTCCTAATACTATAACAATAGGCATAGCAGCTGTATAACAAAATACTCTACATGTATGCAAACATAATAAAACAAATTTACGAAGTTTCAACATATTCTCGTCCAAAGATTGTATCGATTGAGACATATTGTTCTGTTTCTGCATGTTGTGTTGGTATAAAACTCGCATATTATTTCTTACTATTAATAACATGTACATAAATTCGATTTTAAGCACCATGTAAGGTAAGTCTAAAATCAATCTAATTGCATCGGTAATTTTATCGTTTATAGTGTTTATACTATAAGATTCATGGTCTTGCGTATGTAGAAGGAAAAGAAATCGAATATTAGAGATGATTTGTAGAAATAATACCACTACAACCCATCGCTTCAAATTTTTGTTTATATCTTCGAATCCTAATTGTTTCAAAATGTCCTTCAAATAATAACAGTTCTTTATAATTGATTTTGACTCTTCATCATAACCAAATCTTCTTATATTAAAAAATATCACTTTTATTGTTGTTACAAGTACGGCCATTTTATTAATAGCTTCAGAATAACTATTGGCTTTATTTGTAAGTGTAGAACATGTTATATACACGATCAATAGAAATATATCTACGAACAGGAGAATTTTCTTATAAGTAGGGGTAGTTATTAATGTTTTAAAAACATAGGAGGAGTCCTGTATTCCAAGAATTGTTTGTAAAATTATTATTGGATTTTTATCATCAATTTGGACGTTTTCTTCCATAATAATATTTAGGTTCTTTCGTAAATTCTTGTAGGTATATGAAGTGTTGTATTGATATTCACAATACAATCATTTTTCTTTATCTACACCATCATTTATTCTAATGAAATTGACTCAAATGGTTAATAAATAATATATTTGACGAATATGTCTATTGACCTTTGAACGAAAATATGGAAAAAACTAATAAAGTACAACAATTTTATTAAAAAGATATTTAATTTAATAAATTGCTGTTTGTCGAAGTAAACTGTTATTTATTTCCCTTGAACTGATTTAATCAACTCAAAGTTGTATACAAATTAAAAATGTAAATATTTCGAATATCGATCACCTTATTCATTCTGTTCCTATCACATCAGCAATACATGATAGAAATCATAAAGGTAAATGGCGGCAACAATTATAAATTTTAGGCAAATTTTGCCCATTTAGATAAAGATTAACAGGCTTAACGGTTCGACTAGGCACCATTTTGCCTTAAATGTTATAGGAACCTCGTCGAAGCGGCTTAGGCATAGATTTCCACTATTATTAGGTTAGCAGTGGACATAAAAATGTGAGAAATTTCAAAAGCATCATTTCTAAGTTATAAATCTTTTATTTTAAATTAACACTCATAGGAATATTTAAGAATGATATTTAAGATATTTTTTCACACTCTGTCTCAGCGCCATACGTATAAATAGGCAATCCACACTTTTTAACCCCCTCCAATGTTGTTGGTAAAGATCTTTTTTGATTTCGTGCTTTCGTATAAACTTGCAAATCATCTACAAAAAAATTTTAAAAAATTATGACCTATTTTTTGCGTTAATATGTTCCTACTTGTAGTTATATCGTATAATACAGCATGTTTCGTACAATCCGTATCTAATAGTACAAGCACGCTTGAACTATTTGGTGACCGGTAAATAGAAGCATTTTTATCCCTCATGGCCAGGTAATTGTGTACTGTTTTTACACTAGAAACACAAATTAAATGAAAATTTAGGGTTTGTTTAAAGATTACATTTTTCTTTTACTTATTCTTAATTTTTGTGTCAGTAATAGCAATGTATCCATCACTAAACTGGGTCATGTTGCGAAATATGCAACAATTTTCGCAAGGGACGTTTCCGGCAATTTGAAACCATCTCGTACCATTTGATACGCACTGAAAAAAAATTCGAATTAAGAAGATTATTATTAAATTATATATAATATTGTATTAATTAGTTTTTAAAAAATTTACTGATTTTTCGCTAAATGATTTAATTGGCTCCGGTTTTAAACACTTTAGTACGGATCCAGTTGTTAGAAAGATTATTCCAAAAAATACTATAATTAATTCTTGGTTAGCCATAGTGTATCGCGTGGCGTATCATTTACAATTAGTGCGAGTTGATTGTAATTATTCAAGGGGCATGTTTAATAAGCTCGTTAAAAAATTTTTTATACTCTTACTTTAATGAGGATAGTTTTTGCGTTACAAGCAGATTTTTTTATATCTAAGTCTTTTTCTGTCTTAAGTATTTTTCAGAAATTATTATTTCAAATGAAATAATTCTTCCCAAATGTTGAAATGTACCAGTACTATCTTCGAATCCTACATTTTTCAAAGTGTCCTTGAAATAATAAAAGTTCTTTATAATTAATTTTGACTCTTCATCATAACCAAATCTTCTTATATTAAAAAACATCACGTTTCTTGTTGTTACAAGTACGGTCATTTTACTAATAGCTTCAGAATAACTTGACTTTATTTGTAAGTGTAGAACATGTTGGATTTTTATCACCAATTTGGATGTTTTCTTCCATAATAATATTTAGGTTGTCTCGTAAATTCTTTTAGGTATATGAAGTGTTGTATTGATATACACTACACAATCATTTTTCTTTATCTATACCATAATTTATTCTAATGAAATTGACTCAAATGGTAAATAAATAACATATATGACTAATATGTCTATTGACCTTTGAACGAAAATATGGAAAAAAGACAACTAATAAAGTACAACAATTTTATTAAATAGATATTTAATTTAATAAACTGCTGTTTGTCGAAGTAAACTGTGATTTATTTCCCTTGAACTGATTTAATCAACTCAAAGTTGTATACAAATTAAAAATGTTTAGGCTATTTTAACTCCATCCAACGTAGATAATATCTCCTTTTTACTTCAAAACCTTAATCCTAACTACAAAACTTACTGTTGATGCCCCATGAAGTCTTTCAACTCCTGCACTGTTGAAAGAAGTTACTAGAAGCAATCAAAGAAAATAAATACGAATACTTATCAACCGGCAATTCAACAGACTGGTCAACAATTCACAATAGATTAAACAAAGTTAAATAATTCGACGATGACAAACAAATTGACTGTTTGAAAAAGTTTCTAGATTAGCCTTGGGGAGAAAATTGAATAAGCAATAATAATGAAATGCAATTAGAAAACGAAGCAGTGATATATTAGTCGAGGTTATTCAAACTGCAGTATGGGAAAAGGAATGGAGTAGGAGGAAAAAACTAGCCTGAAAAAATAAGGCAATTAATAATAGAAAAAGCAAACTTAGATGGAAATGGCAACAGACCAAGAGTGAATACAGAAACATGATAAACTTCTGTGTGCAATTGAAGCTAAATGGCCTCACACCGTTAAACCGCACTTTGATAAGAACGATAAGAACTTCATTGAAGCTGAATACTCCTATAGACGTAATGTGTCAACCTCTTAATGGTCCTGGCAATAATGTACTAGATCTTGTTTTTTTCAATGCTATACAAACATTTCAGTACCAAACTAATGCTTCTAATATAGATCACCTTATTCATTCTGTTCCTATCACATCAGTAATATATGATAGAAATCATAAAGGTAAATGGCGGCAACAATTATAAATTTTAGGCACATTTTGCCCATTTAGACAAAGATTAACAGGATTAACGGTTCGACTAGGTACCATTTTGCCTTAAATGTTATAGAAACCTCGTCGAAGCGGCTTCGGCATAGATTTCCACTATTATTAGGCTAGCTTTCAATTTACAATGGACAAATGGTCTCAATTTATCAGTGGACATGAAAATGTGAGAAATTTCAAAAGTATCATTTCTAAGTTATAAATCTTTTATTTTAAATTAACACTCATAGGAATATTTAAGAATGATATTTAAGATATTTTTTCACACGCTGTCTCAGCGCCATACGTATAAATAGGCAATCCACACTTTTTAACCCCCTCCAATGTTGTTAGTAAAGATCGTTTTTGATTTCGCGCTTTCGTATAAACTTGCAAAACATCTACAAAAAAATGTTAAAAAATCATGACCTATTTTTTGCGTTAATATATTCCTACTTCTAGTTATATCGTATATTACACCATATTTCGTACAATCCGTATCTAATATTGCAATCACGCTTGAACTATTTAGTGACCGGTAAACAAAAGCATTTTTATCCCTCCTGGCCAGGAAATTGTGTACTGTTTTTACACTAGAAACACAAATTAAATATAAATTTAGTTTTAACATAAATTTTACATTTTTCTTTTACTTATTCTTAATTTTTGTGTCGGTAATAGCAATATATCCATCACTAAACTGGGTCATGTTGCGAAATATGCAACAATTTTCGCAAGGTACGTTTCCGGCAATTTGAAACCATCTCGTACCGTTTGATACGCACTGAAAGAAAAATTCGAATTAAGAATATTATTATCAAATTATATACATATTGTATTAATTAGTTTTTAAAAAATTTACTGATTTTTCGCTGAATGATTTAATTGGCTCCGGTTTTAAACACTTTAGTACGGATCCAGTTGTTAGAAAGATTATTCCAAAAAATACTATAATTAATTCTTGGTTAGCCATAGTGTATCGCGTGGCGCATCATTTACAATTAGTGCGAGTTGATTCTTAGGTGGATTTAAATACTAACAACAATAATTGTAATTATTCAACGGGCATGTTTAATAAGCTCGTTAAAAAATTTTTTATACTCCTACTTTAATGAGGATAGTTTTCTTTTTAATCTTTTTCTGTCTTAAGTATTTTTCAGAAATTTTTATTTCAAATGAAATAATTCTTCCCAAAGGTTATTATCAATATTGTTACTTCTCATAATTAATACGGAATGAATCAGAAATGTACCACTACGACCCATCGTTTCAAATTTTTATCTACATCTTCGAATCCTAAATTTTTCAAAGTGTCCTTCAAATAATAAAAGTTCTTTATAATTAATTTTGACTCTTCATCATAACCAAATCTTCTTATATTAAAAAATATCACGTTTCAAGTTAAATAATTCGACGATGACAAACAAATTGACTGATTGAAAAAGTTTCTAGATTAGCCTTGGGGAGAAAATTGAACAAGCAATAATAATGAAATGCAATTAGAAAAAGAAGCAGTGATATTAGTCGAGGTTATTCAAACTGCAGTATGGGAAAAGGAATGGAGTAGCAGGAAAAACTAGCCTGAAAAGATAAGGAAATTAATCATAGAAAAAGCAAACTTAGATGGAAATGCCAACAGACCAAGAGTGAATACAGAAAGATGATAAACTTCTGTGTGCAATTGGAGCTAAATAGCCTCACAACGCTAAACCGCACTTTGATAAGAATGATAAGAACTTCATTGACGCTGAATAGTCCAATAAACGTAATGTGTCAACTTCTTAATAGTCCTGGCAATAATGTACTAGATCTCGTTTTTTTCAATGCTATACAAGCATTTCAATACCAAACTGATGCTTCTAATATCGATCACGTTATTCATTCTGTTCCTATCACATCAGCAACACGATAGAAATCATAAAGGTAAATGGCGGCAACAATTATAAATTTTAGGCAAATATTGCCCATTTAGACAAAGATTAACAGGTTCGACTAGAACAGGTACCACTTTGTCTTAAATGTTATAGGAACCTCGTCGAAGCGGCTCAGGCATTGATTTCCACTATTATTAGGCTAGCTCTCTAAAGAAATTGTATAACTAGCAGCAGCATTGCCTATCTCCGCCTGTATACGAGATTGAAGCCAACGTTCGAGTGTTTGTTTTGGTATGGGTCCCACTGACAGTGGCGTATATAGTTATGGTAAAATCAGACATACACAGTGGCGTACATGAAGAAATGTATATTATCATTATTTTTTTTATTGAGCATGGTTGAAATGATAACAAAAAACTTAAAACTTAACTTATAAATATAAATTTTATAATAATTCTCATTGATTTGAAAATAATATTTGTTTGTTTAACATATGTCAAAGCCTAGGTTCTTGATTTATTAACTTGGTTTCATTAAATAACTTTATGTTAATAAATTTTGTTGTTATTAACTTTATACGTTGTATTTCATGCCCATCAATAACATCATCATACGTATGATCTCCAAAAAGATCATATATGTTTTGAGGTAAACTTAATAAAATAAAATTAGTTAGTTAACTTTAAAAGTATGTTCTTGTTATTGAATAATACATTTTGTCGTTTATACTCTCTAATAATTTTTTCGCTAATTATGTAAAGTTTGACTACAAACTCAGAAGGTTTAGTCAAAATCCCATAGGTCTTTTGTATTTTTAGCATTGAAATATCACTAGTTCCTTCTACTATGTTTAAAGAAAATTGGCAGGTAATATTAGTTTTTAAAGTGGTAGTTAAATGCAAATGTTGTCTAAGTTCGCAACGTCTATAATGTCCAGTGTTTCAATTTCATCATTTTTATTTTTGTGTATTGATGAACAATTTAAAATATTAGTATAATCTAATGCAATTGCATTTCCAGATTTTGCCCCTTTACTGCTAGTATGTACGAATAGTTTTTTGTATTCTTGTTCGAATTGTAGTGCAGTAGGATTGTTACAATACCTACAACGTCGCCTAACTGCACTAAAAAAATCTCTAAATGGTTTTGTGACAATGTATAGTTAAAAATAATCTTTTTTTCTATCTTTAGGAAAACTAGAATCATTTTGAATGAAATCTCTTTTTAGAAAAATATACCGCATTTTTGGGACTATAAGACTATAAGTCTTATAGGACGATAAGACAATATAGAGACGAATAAACAGAAAAAAATATTTATTGGTATACTCTTCCACATCCAGATCGGTTTTTATGACANATGTTGTCTAAGTTCGCAACGTCTATAATGTCCAGTGTTTCAATTTCATCATTTTTATTTTTGAGTATTGATGAACAATTTAAAATATTAGTATAATCTAATGCAATTGCATTTCCAGATTTTGCCCCTTTACTGCTGGTATGTACGAATAGTTTTTTGTATTCTTGTTCGAATTGTAGTGCAGTAGGATTGTTACAATACCTACAACGTCGCCTAACTGCACTAAAAAAATCTCTAAATGGTTTTGTGACAATGTATAGTTAAAAATAATCTTTTTTTCTATCTTTAGGAAAACTAGAATCATTTTGAATGAAATCTCTTTTTAGAAAAATATACCGCATTTTTGGGACTATAAGACGTCTTATAGGACGATAAGACAATATAGAGACGAATAAACAGAAAAAAATATTTATTGGTATACTCTTCCACATCCAGATCGGTTTTTATGACGGTCATAAATAAAAGTCGGGGTGACTTTTGCCCGCTTGAACTTGAAACGATTTATAACAGTCAGACAAAGACAGGGTCGAATTTAAATTTTTTTAAACTAAAATTTAATAAAAAAAACAAAGTTTAGTTATAACAACTAAAATTTAATTAGAAAAACTAATATGAAAGTCTTAGAAATAAATATTAATTTTAGGAATGTCTAAATAATAGAATAACAAAATTTTAAAGAATCTAATTATCCTCCGCTCTTTTTTGTAATTAGACAATGCATGCATTCTCAAAACATTTCTTAGAAAAAATATGTGCTTAATATTAGAAATACAACAAATAAGAGAATAATGAGTATTTATATATCACGCTATTATTTTTCTACAATTTGCAAGTAAAGTGTGTTCTTTAATGCGGCCCTGAGTGAGGAATCCCAGCATTCTACAATGGGAAACTACCTGGTGCAACCCCGTCTTTGTTCATTTTACAACTACAGTAGGAAAGTGACAGAGTCATAAAAACCGATCGCCGTGTGGAAGACTATACCTTCGGACCACAAAACGCACCCAAAGATTGAGTCCATTTTTTTATGTAAAAAGGTGCGTCAGTCCTAAAATACAGTACTACTAAAATGTTATCTTCGCCAAAGCCAAACCACAAATGCGTGTACAAGCCTTGCTTACTTAGGAGAGAATTATTCATTTATTAGGGTTCGGTAAACATGGATAAACATTAATCAGGTACATTTATTTTCAAAGAAACCATAAAAATGTTGGCCTGTTCGGAAATATTCGGTGATCGTCGGCCGGACTGATTGTGAGTTCACATATTTGGTGAAAATGTAAACAGAACACCCAAAACACATCGAACGTTGACTTCAATTTTTGGTGTTTATATGTGCTTCTAGTTATACAATTTCTTGGGGATAATTAATTCAATTTATCAGTGGACATAAAAATGTGAGATATTTCAAAATCATCATTTCGAAGTTATAAATCATTTATTTTAAATTAACACTCATCATAGGAACATTTAAGAACAATATTTAAGATATTTTTTCACACGCTGTCTCAGCACCATACCTATAAATAGGCAACCCACACTTTTTAACCCCCTCCAATGTTGTTAGTAAAGATCTTTTTTGATTTCGTGCTTTCGTATAAACTTGCAAAACATCTACAAAAAAATGTTAAAAAGTCATGACCTATTCTTTTGCGTTAATATATTCCTACTTCTAGTTATATCGTATATTACACCATATTTCGTACAATCCGTGTCTAATATTGCAATCACGCTTGAACTATTTAGCGACCGGTAAACAAAAGCATTTTTATCCCTCCTGGCCAGGAAATTGTGTACTGTTTTTACACTAGAAACACAAATTAAATGTAAATTTAGGGTTTGTTTAAATTTTACATTTTTCTTTTACTTATTCTTAATTTCTGTGTCTGTAACAGCAACATATCCATCATTAAGCTGGGTCATGTTGCGAAATATGCAACAATTTTCGCAAGGTATATTTCCGGCAATTTGAAACCATCTCGTACCATTTGATACGCACTAAAAGAAAAATTCGAATTAAGAAGATTATTGTTAAATTATATATAATATTGTATTAATTAGTTTTTAAAAAATTTACTGATTTTTCGTTGTATGATTTAGTTGGTTCCGGCTTTAAGCACTTTAGTACGGTTCCAGATGTTAGAACGATTATTCCAAAAAATACTATAATAAATTCTTGGTTAGCCATAGTATATCGCGTGGCACATGAATCATTTACAATTAGTGCGAGTTGATTTTTAGGTGGATTTAAATACTAACAATAATAATTGTAATTATTCAACGAGCTCGTTTAAAAATTTTTTATACTCCGATTTTAATGAGAATAGTTTTTGCGTCACAAGCAGATTTTTTTNGTGATAACTGGTGAAAATGTAAACAGAACACCCAAAACACATCGAACGTTGACTTCAATTCTTGGTGTTTATATGTGCTTCTAGTTATACAATTTCTTGGGGATAATTAATTCAATTTATCAGTGGACATAAAAATGTGAGATATTTCAAAATCATCATTTCGAAGTTATAAATCATTTATTTTAAGTTAACACTCATCATAGGAACATTTAAGAACAATATTTAAGATATTTTTTCACACGCTGTCTCAGCACCATACCTATAAATAGGCAACCCACACTTTTTAACCCCCTCCAATGTTGTTAGTAAAGATCTTTTTTGATTTCGTGCTTTCGTATAAACTTGCAAAACATCTACAAAAAAATGTTAAAAAATCATGACCTATTTTTTGCGTTAATATATTCCTACTTCTAATTATATCGTATATTACACCATATTTCGTACAATCCGTATCTAATATTGCAATCACGCTTGAACTATTTAGTGACCGGTAAACAAAAGCATTTTTATCCCTCCTAGCCAGGAAATTGTGTACTGTTTTTACACTAGAAACACAAATTAAATGTAAATTTAGGGTTTGTTTAAATTTTACATTTTTCTTTTACTTATTCTTAATTTCTGTGTCTGTAACAGCAACATATCCATCATTAAGCTGGGTCATGTTGCGAAATATGCAACAATTTTCGCAAGGTATATTTCCGGCAATTTGAAACCATCTCGTACCATTTGATACGCACTAAAAGAAAAATTCGAATTAAGAAGATTATTGTTAAATTATATATAATATTGTATTAATTAGTTTTTAAAAAATTTACTGATTTTTCGTTGTATGATTTAGTTGGTTCCGGCTTTAAGCACTTTAGTACGGTTCCAGATGTTAGAACGATTATTCCAAAAAATACTATAATAAATTCTTGGTTAGCCATAGTATATCGCGTGGCACATGAATCATTTACAATTAGTGCGAGTTGATTTTTAGGTGGATTTAAATACTAACAATAATAATTGTAATTATTCAACGAGCTCGTTTAAAAATTTTTTATACTCCGATTTTAATGAGAATAGTTTTTGCGTCACAAGCAGATTTTTTTTTTATATATAAATCTTTTTCTGTTTTAAGTATTTTTCAGAAATTTTTATTTCAAATGAAATAATTCATCCCAAAAGATTAAGACTTATCAATATTGTTACGTCACACAATTAATAGGGAATTGTGTGAATCAGAAAGGTGTTGATCATTTTTTATTATTTTCGCTCAGTATTTCTTATCTTTTTTTCTTTGACTCAGTTTTGTACATACGGTGAGATAACAAAATTCGTGTAGGGGTATAAATATACAATTTAAAACATTACCTACCCAGCATCCTACGTAATTCAAGAAACTTGTAAGTGTTGCTATTATAATAAATATATTTAAACGGTTTTAATGGATTTGGTTTAAATCCTAAAACAAACATGTGAAATGTTCATAAAAAGATATAATTTAATTATGGATTAAGATAATAAAATTAGTTACGCAAGTTTTAAATTGGTACAAATAAAAAAATATTTTTCTTTTGTAGATCATACCACGGTTATTATGAGTGAACGTACTAATTTTGGGCCATCAAGCCAATCCGTTGTTTGCCCGCATTGTAATCATAGCGTAAACACAAAAATAAAGCACAAAACTAATGCTGGGAGCGGTATTGGATCACTTTTTGGTTACCTCCTGTAAGAATAAATTTGGTTTTATTTAAATTTTAACATCGAAATTATTTTTTTATTTTTCTAGCTGTGGGCTTTGTATCTGCTGTCCGTGTTGCTGTGAATCATGTATGGATGTCAAGCATTATTGCCCAATATGTAAACAATCTTTGGGAATATATAAGATTTAATTCCAATAATAATAATCACAATTTGTAATATTAATCAGAATACATTCGCTGTTTAGTATTGTAAAATAAATGTTTTTGAATGCAACTAGATATATTTTTATTTCGAATAATTTTTGACATATATTTTCGCCAAATTTTCATGATATAAATGTAGAAACTGCAGAAAATTGGGGCCTGGGGTTGTTTGGCTGTCCTCCAGAGGGCAATAGGACCTAGAACTAGAAAGGTTCGGTTTTAGCCGTCTTAAGAGACGCACGACTAAACTGCTTCTGGTTCTAGATCTAATGTTAGTTCTAGTATTTGCTAATTCAAAGTGTGAAAGAGTAGTTGCCTACCCATATGTGACGTCACGAACGTACCTTCGAGCTATGCACAAGTTCCCGTAATGTAGCAATCCTCTTAGATTCTACCGTTCTTGGTCTGAAGAAAGAATAAAGTTATTTCCGAAATTTGATTACAAAAACAAAGACAACGTTGTCCATCCATCGCATTTTCTTTTAATTTATAGTACGTAAATTAAACAGTTTCTCATTAAATTAAGTGTGGTTAATCGATAATAATATAAGCAAATTAATAGTAAACTTTACCCCCCTATAAATTACAAAATGTAATATGTGCCGATTATATTAATTTATTCTTCATATCAATTCGATAAAAGCTACTCACAAAAATCGTTAGCTCGCGAGTATACAAACTTTGTACTTTAATAATGTCTACGAACTATGAAAGTATATTACTAAAACCTTTAACACGTCTTTTAAATTTTGTGGGAATAGATCCTTATCGAAAATATCAAATTTACTCTAAAATTCTTGTTTATTTAGATACTTTATTAACAGTACCATGTGTTCTTTTTACGATATTTAGTGGTGGAAATACCTATTATGACGTACTACAAAAAGTTTTAATATTGGTGTTATTCGTGAAAGTAATTTCATTAAATATTAGAAGACTAATATATGGCAAAACTGCATTAAAAGCAAACAAAATCATGCAAGATGTTAGCGAAAGATTAAAATATTATGGTTTTAAAAAAATAAGTCATCGTGCGAGAAATATTGGTTTTTGCGTTTTCTGCGTAATGTTAGGATTTAGATTTACGTATATTTCAATATCTGTTATAACAGGAATAGAATTTATTGGTGTAAAAGAAGTGGTTATTTATATATTAATTAGTATCTTAGAATTTTCTTATATCGTATTAAAAACTGAATATGTTACAATCTTATTAACATTAGAATTTTATTTCGAACAAATATATAGAAATCTACTTATCATTTGCAATGATGATAACATTTTTAACGAAAGCAATCTTGTTAAAAGAAATGCTTTAACCAAAAGTTTGTTCATGTTGTGTGAAGGGACGAAAAAATATTGTGATGCTATGGGTTTACCAATTATTACGGCGTTAGGAGAAGCGATTGTTGTTTTATCTGTTAATATACAAAACGGGATGTCGAAATTATATGGGAGCAAAAACACAGACCAATTCTTTCTTAAGACACAAATTTCTATTTGTTATATCGTTGAGTACTCGTTGTCTTTAACAGTTATTATCCTCCCTGCTCATTTATGTACAATTAAAGTAAGTAATTCTGTATAAAAAAATCAGACAAATACTTAAATATTAAAAGATTAATTAATTTGTATGTTGTAATTGTTTTAGGTAAACAAAATTAAATCTGTTTTAAAATATATCTCTGTGAAACATTGCAAACCGATTCTCATAGATGTGAGTATTAACAAATCAAGAACAGTTCGCTAAAATTGTATTTAGATAAAATTGTTTTGTTTGGAAGTGCTACATGAGGACTTTAAATTAAAACTAAGTGGCTTGTTTGCAGTAGATCTGAGTTTAGCTTATACGGTAAAAAGTAGCGGAATTTACTAAAACTAAAGTAAAGAAAAATATTCTTTCTTGCAGATTATTGGCACCCTAACAACATATATCGTAATAATAGTTCAATTTGATACTATGTATTTCACATAAAATAATAGCTTTGTAAAGTTACATGTAATACTAATAATAACAATACAAAAATGCAATTTTAATGCAGATTCAAAGTGTCATAAATAATTTCTTAATTCCCATAGACGTAGTTATTATTTTTAAAACCAACAATCAAATATACCGAATATTTGATTACAACACATTTTAAAAGGAGAAGTTTGATGTGTTTAGAAAATATGATTCACACTAATTACTTTTAGGAACAATGTGTATTGTACACCTTAATTATTGTTAAACAAGAATCGAACACTACTCGTGCTCCATATTTACAAGTAACTTGAGATCTTGGCTAAATTTTCAATATTTTTCTGCCAACACACTCATAATAAAAACTTGAACTCATTTCTATCCTCTTCTGCTACTTTGTCGTTTTGAAAGTTAATCAAGTCTTGGTTGGTCAAGTCTTGTTTCTTCGTGTGCCGCGTTGCATGCTCATCTTGGGTTGGGTTTGCCATTGTATATCGACCCAAGCCAAAACTTCATAAACGACATCTACTTGGTTTCCCAGAAAACACATAAAACATGCATTACATCGTGTTCAAATGGGAATTTGCGTAATCTTTGAACCAATATTGTAACGACTGAAGATTGTGTACGGTTATGCCTGTTTGGCTTGGCAGCAATTGTTGCTACTCTCAACGTTGAACATGATTTCGTCAAATTGTGATATTTGTCTTTAATGTTTTTATACACGCTATCAAGGAATCACGTTGAAAATCACGAAAATTCTCACACAATTCCAATAAAAAGTTGGGAAAGTCGACATGTTAAAATTTGCCACTGAAACGATTTCTGAGTTAATGTGCAAAATTGAAAACTTATTGACGCTACAGTCGTTAGTCGTCAGAACAAGCTACTCTAATTATGCACTTTTCATATTTCTTTCCCTAGAAAGAAATTGGATATACTCCATCGCGAATGTATTTAATAGCATCTTCTGTAACACCTGTTAAAAATAGTACGTAATTTAGGAACATATAAAAGTATTGTTTGGAAATAAAAATATGGGGTAATTTATTGCATAATTATTTTAGTTAACAGTTTGACAATCAATAAGGTAAATAGTGATAAATCGACAGTCAATAATAATTTTTTTTAAAGATTTAGAGAATCTTATTTATCAAAATATTTATTATTTATATAAATATTTTATACAAATAGGTAATTGATAAATAGGTTATATTTATTACCTATTTGAGAATCTTCTTTTCTCAAAAGATTATCAATATTGTTACGTCACATAATTAATACGGAATGAATCAGAAATGTATTGATCATCCTTTATTATTTTCACTCTTATTGCAGTATCTCTTATCTTTTATCATTTGACTCAGTTTTGTACATACGGTGAGATTACAAAATTCGTGTATGCGTATAAATATACAATCTAAAACGTTACCTGCCCAGTACTCTAAGTAATTCTTTACAAGTTTTTGTGTTAAAATATTGTTGAAAAGTTTATTTTTAATATGGATCCTAGACATCAAGGAACTCGTAAGTATTGCACAAATTTTTCATTTTAATAGATTTAGTTTTTGGTTGGAAGTTTAATTCCTAAAACAAACATATGAAGTGTTTATAAAAAGATATAATTTAATTATGGATTAAGATAATAAAATTATTTACACAAGTTTTAAATTGGTACAAATAAAAAAAATATTTTTCTCTTAGATCATACCACGGTTATTGTGACTGAAGGTATTAATTATGGACCATCAAGCCAATCCGTTGTTTGTCCGCATTGTAATTATAGAGTAAACACAAAAATAAAGCACAAAAGTAATGCTGGGACCCATATTGGAGCACTTCTTTGTTGCTTCTTGTAAGAATGAATTTGAATTTATTTAAATTTTAATAACGAAATTTTTTTTTTTTCAAGCTGTTGGCCTTGTTTCTGCTGTCCGTATTGCTGTGCATCTTGTATGGATGTCAACCATTATTGTCCAAAATGTAAACAGTTTTTGGGAACATATAAGGGTTAATTCCAATAATAAGAATCACGATTTGTAATATTAATCAGAATACATTCGGTGTTTCGTATTGTATGTTGTATAATAAATGTGTTTGAATGCAACTAGATATATTTTTAGTTCGAAAAATGTTTGACTTATATTTTCTTATTTTCGCCAAATTTTCATGATATAAATGTAGTAACTGCAGAACATTCTTTTGGAAATTCGACCAATGCAAAAAGAATATAAACGTTGTTCTTGTATTTTTAACCAAGCTTTCGGAAATAACTTAATTCCTTCTTCAGGGCAAACTATTTCCGAGCTATGCACAAGTTCCCGAAATATAGCAATCCTCTTAGATTCTACCATTCGTGGTCTTAACATTGTTTTTTAAATTGCATAGTTTGCCCTGAAGACAGAACAAAGTTATTTCCGGAAACTTGGTTACAAAAACGAAGACAACGTTGTTTTAATTCCCTTTGTAGTGATAGATGAAGGTGGCCATCGAATTTTCTTTTAATTTATATTACGTAAATTAAACAGTTTCTCATTAAATTAAGTGTGGTTAATCGATAATATAATATATTCTTCGTATCAATTCGATAAATGCTACGCACAAAAATCGTTAGCTCGCGAGTATACAAACTTTGTACTTTAATGATGTCTACGAACTATGAAAGTGTATTACTAAAACCTTTAACACATCTTTTAAATTTTGTGGGAATAGATCCTCATCGAAAATATCAAATTTACTCTAAAATTCTTGTTTATTTAGATACTTTATTAACAGTACCATGTGTTCTTTTTACGATATTTAGTGGTGGAAATACCTATTATGACGTACTACAAAAAGTTTTAATATTGGTGTTATTCGTGAAAGTAATTTCATTAAATATTAGAAGACTAATATATGGCAAAACTGCATTAAAAGCAAACAAAATCATGCAAGATGTTAGCGAAAGATTAAAATATTATGGTTTTAAAAAAATAAGTCATCGTGCGAGAAATATTGGTTTTTGCGTTTTCTGCGTAATGTTAGGATTTAGATTTACGTATATTTCAATATCTGTTATAAGAGGAATAGAATTTATTGGTGTAAAAGAAGTGGTTATTTATATATTAATTGGTATCTTAGAATTTTCTTATATCGTATTAAAAACTGAATATGTTACAATCTTATTAACATTAGAATTTTATTTCGAACAAATATATAGAAATCTACTTCTCATTTGCAATGATGATAACATTTTTAACGAAAGCAATCTTGTTAAAAGAAAGGCTTTAACCAAAAGTTTGTTCATGTTGTGTGAAGGGACGAGAATATATTGTGATGCTATGGGGTTGCCAATTATTACGGCGTTAGGAGAAGCGATTGTTGTTTTATCTATTAATATACAAAATGGGATGTCGAAATTATATGGGAGCAAAAACACAGATGAATTCATTCTTAACACACAAATTTCTATTTATTATATCGTTGAGTACTCGTTGTCTTTAACACTTATCATCCTCCCTGCTCATTTATGTACAATTAAAGTAAGTAATTATGTATAACAAAATCAAACAATACTTAAATATTAAAAGATTAATTAATTTGTATGTTGTAATTGTTTTAGGTAAACAAAATTAAATCTTTTTTAAAATATATCTCTGTGAAACATTGCAAACCGATTCTAATAGATGTGAGTATTAACATATCAAGAACATTTCGCTAAAATAGTATTTAGATAAAATTATTTTGTTTGGAAGTGCTACACGAGGACTTTAAATTAAAACTAAGTGACTTATTTACGGTAGATCTGAGCTTAGCTTATACGGTAAAAAGTAACTGAATTTACTAAAACTGAAGTAAAGAAAAATATTCTTTCTTGCAGATTATTGGCACCCTAACAACATATATCGTAATAATAGTTCAATTTGATACTATGTATTTCACATAAAATAATAGCTTTGTAAAGTTACATGTAATACTAATAATAACAATACAAATGCAATTATTGAGAAGCAATAACTATCGTATCTCAAGAATGAATTGATACATAACTATGAAATACAAAACATTTTAAAGCAAATTTAATGAAGATTAAATGGACTGCAAATGATTTCTTATTTTTCATAAACTTCAATGATACTACTTTTTAGATCCAACTTAATATATATGAGAGTTTCAGATTTTAGGAACTTAAAATGTCATATCTCAAAAATGAATGCAGATTTAAGAATGAAGTAAAAGACATCTTGCAAATTTAATAAAGATTTTTAATGTCAATAAACATCGTTGTTATGATTTTTAAACCAAAACTTGGCATGTTGAATTATTCTAAACGTTAAGAACAGATATTAAAGAGTTGTATCTCGAAAACTAATTAAGATGTCATCATAAAATAAAAAAACAATTTAAAGCAAATTTATTTAGTGTTTAATACTTTAAAGATCATTTCTTGGAATCTTTAAATTTCGGAGTTATAGTTTTTTGAATCATAATCTTAAACATAAATGTTAGGATTATTAATCGTTACGTATTTCAAAAACCAATTGAGATATCGTTATGAAATAAAAAGCAATTTGAAGCAAATTTAATTAGTATTTAATACTATAACGATCGTTTCATGGAATCTTCAAATTTCGGGGTTATGATTTTTTAAACGCAACCTTGCATAATCTTAAACATAAATGTTAGGAATTAATCTTTACGTATCTCAAAAACTAATTGAGATATCGTTATGAAATAAAAAGCAATTTGAAGCAAATTTAATTAGTATTTAATACTTTGAAGCTCGGTGCTTGAAACCTTCAAATTTCGAAGTTATGATTTTTTAAATAATCACCTCTGAACTTTTGATGCTTTAACTAATTGAAGTAACTGTAACGGATGTTTGGAGATTCTACCATACGAAGCCAACAATAATTTTTGGATATTAAATGTTTATTAAAATAAAATAAGTTTTAGTTTCGACAAAAACCGTGGTAAGTATAAAATCAGATATGTTTAGAAAATATGATTCACACTAATTACTTTTAGGAACAATGTGTGTTGTACACTTCAATTATTGTTAAACAGATTTTCTCCGCAAAGTTAGGATCACGAATTATTATTGTTCTACCGTAATCTGCACCACCATATAGAGCCTTTTTCTTCTTTTGATCTGCCGACATCACCAAAACACCTTTTGGTACTACCTTTGGTGGCATACTGATTTCATCCCATGTATAAGACCAATTTGTCTAAAAATTACATCCGGATTATTAGTAGTTAAGAGATACTTTTACTGCATTAACAATATTGAACTTACTTGCCAAGTTCCAAACAAATCGTTACGGTAACTATACAATAATCTTTGATTGGTAAGCATTAATATTTCTTTTTTACCAACAATGGAAAAGTGGTGAAGATATACATCCGTTAATGCAAATTTTCCCTTTTCCAATTCAATAAAAATCTTGTATCCTATCGCTTCTAATTCGTTATAAGGTCTGATTAAACCGTCAAAATAAATGTAACGACTCGGTCGTATTCGATTAACTTCTTGAGCTCTTAAGTCGGTTACTCTATTATAAACGATATTAATAAAAGAAAATTAAAAAAAAAGTGTGTATTACTGTTTAACTGTATTCAAAGAACCACTTGCAAAATCGATAAACCCAGATGTTGGCCGAGCAAGCAAACCCACTGCTCCTTTTCCTAGCCCTCTAAAGAATCCACTAATTCCTTGTTCTCTAGCACCGGATATCGGTTTTCTGACAATACCAGTTACACCATGATATAACCCCTAAACAATTAAAGAGTGAATTATATCTGCATAAAAATCGATGAAATAAAATCAAACCATGAATAGTCCTTTTCCAGATCTTGCAAATCCTTCAGAGACAGTTGCTTTTCTAGCGAGAGTAGATCTTCGCTTACGTTGGAATTCTTTGTCAAATGTTAACACAGCAACTCCTTTACCCATAGCACCGGTTATTCGAGATACAGCACCAGCTGCCCCGCCGACTGTATAACCAACAAGACTTCGCACCCCGAGGGCGAGACCTTCAACAAATTCCCCAGGACCTTGAATAGCTCCCTATAAATCAATACATACTTTACATAATTAGCATAAACATTGAAATTCTTTTACTTGGAATGGTTCATAAAATAAATCTTCAACACCTTTGGTAATTCCAAGCACTAAACCATAAGGATTTCCAAGAACATCTAACCCTAGTACAAATGCATAAAGCTGTTTCACAGCCTGTCCGATGTAATGATAAGCAGCTTCAGTAAATAATTGCTTTTGAGTCAAAAATATACATTCTCTTTCAAAATAAGCAATTCTAAAATTATAAATAAGTAGTAATAAAAATGAGAAATCTCAAAATATACCATTACTTAAACATAACGTCTTGCATATCGGTCAAAGTAACACCAAGAGATTGTAACAAAACAGTAACAACATTTGGTGCCATATCAAGTCCGCTACTACCCAATGAGAAGCTCACATGGATTTTCAATGGTGAAAAATGTAATAAATCGTAAAAACTTTTTTGTTCTTGTAGAGTTTGTTGGGATACATGTTGGTCTAAAGGTTTATTTAATAAGTCGGCGTCACGTAAAAAACAAGCTTTCTAAAACGTTTTAATATAATTAACTTATTTCATCAAATTTTTATTATCAAACCTGTTTTTCTAAAGTATCTTTAGATGTTTGAAACACTTCTACGAGAGCCATAACAAACCCAAGTTCCAAATTAATGTGAAACTCTTGTATAAGCAATTTAAAATATTTAAATTGTTTTATCTGGCTATGTTTGACCAACATTTCTACTATACTTAATTCAGCGAATGGTTTGTGTACTAAAATTTTAAGCAAATATGAAAGTAATTTTATATAAACATTTAATAACTAAAATATTACTATCTGCTCCAGCAACACTTTTAGGTAATGACACAGGAGCTAACACAACCGGAAATATACAATCATAAGATTGATTATCAATCTGAACCTTATTAATTTTAGCGTGAAGTTGTAACATATAGGGATTTGTTGTTATTTGAATCCACAGTCCATTCATAAATGTTCTTCGAATTTTTCTTATATGTGGTTTTAACATGATAAGAGTTTCAAAGTTCACTTCAGTTTTTGAATCGATGACCACCTTTCCATGTATCGGCTCAATGCTTTTCATACACATATATTGTTTATAAGATGACTCAATTGCGGCGCTTTCTTTAGATCTCATATGTTTATAATTATACGAACCATGTTTGCAAGTTTCCCAAATAACCCCACTACCAGCGATAGCAACGTACATTATTTCTTTTTTTAACTGATTGTTTACTATGGAAAGGCCAAGTCCGAAAATTGAAATCGTTACTTCTTCATCGATGTTTGCAAAAATTTGCGAACACCGTGCGTTTCTAGCTACCTTTGGATTACAGGTGAATAAAAGAGTACGTTGTAATCCATCAAGAAAAGAGGACCAATATACATGGTTATTTTCAGCTATTTCATAATCACCATATCCATCTTTTCTTAAATCGTCTTCGATTTCACTTTTATAGCCAGCTTCCCAACATATAACCCGTGCTTTTGACGGATTTGACCATGAATAAAGCATTTGATGGCCAGGATCTAATTTACTGGTTTTAAACATAACTGTCATGAATTTATAAGAAATGTTTAATTTTAACGTACAGTAATTGAACAGTATCTTTTTCCCAAATATTTAATGTATTCCTGGTGTTATTGATAATGAGAGCCATTGCCATTCCTGGTTCATATTTAGCAAATGTAATATAAACAGCACCTTCAGTAATTTGTACATCAACGTGAATTCCACCATACTATAAAAAATCAATAACTAGTAATAATAATTATCAGAAATCTAAACCTATGCGAAGTTAGCCCCCAATTTTTCTACCCCCCAATTAGATAGGATTTTACATGTATAGTATTTTAATTATAACAAGAGAATCAGTCAACCGATTTCGATAAACAATGTCTCATTCGAAAGCGTAATCTTTGAACAATACGGAAGTGGAAATGCCCGATTCGAAATCTCTTTCGAATTCCGCTAAAACGCCAAAATAATGCGAAGGTACACGAAAATAACACAAAAATGACCATTTTTTATGTAGTGATAACTCGTAAACGATGTACCCGGTGATCAAGATCTATACGTCATTCGAATCGTCATAGTTTCTTCTATCGAAATCACAAAATGCCCGATTTCAATTCTCTCCCATTAACCCTGTACAGCCCTCGGAATGACACCGTGTTCCGTGTGGCTCGTTGTTTATGCACGTGTGAACGTCCGAAAGTCTTTAATTTAAACTAAATTATAATTAGAGAACAGTTTGGCGGATTTTAATGATTTATATCTCAATCGAAAGTTTATGCCTGGCTAAATGCCCGATTCGAAATATTTAAGGATTTTGATTAAAACACAAAAAACGATTAATCAAACACATCAATTATCTCTTTAACTAATTGACCAATTTTAGTCATCAACATCTCGATCGAAAGTATGATCTACAATGAACGCGAAGGTGGAAATGCCCGATTTCAAAATTTACTAATTATTTGCGTACGGCTATTGAAATGACCCCTCGAATCTGCCGGCTGGAGGTCTAGCCCTCAATAAGAAAAAATTTATTTTGATCACATTCACTATAACTAAAGAACGGTTTAACGGATTTTAATGTTTTATATCTCAAACGAAAGCTTGCGTCTAGCTGAATAACTATGTCGAAATGCCCGATTCGAAATATTTAAGGATTTTGAATAAAACACAAAAAATTAATTAATCAAATAAGTCAATTATCTCCTGTGTTAATTGACCAATTTTAGTCATCAACATCTCGATCGAAAGTATGATCTACAATGAATGCGAAGGTGGAAATGTCCGATTTAAAAATTTACTAATTACCTACGTACGGTTATTTAAATGACTCCAAGTACCTACCGACTGGAAGTCTAGCCCCAAATGCGAAAAAATTAATTTTGATTAAATTCACTTTAACTAAAGAATGGTTTGACCGATTTTAATGTTATATATCTCAAATGAAAAGCTTGCGTCTGGCTGAATGTAGAAGATATAAACATTAAATTAACAAGGCGTATACACGCATAACATTGTATTACATGAAACTGTAAGTGCATTTTTCTCGAAACATCCTTTTTACATCTGGTTAACACGATTCCTAAAAAACTACTCATTCGATTGACTTGAAATTTGAATTGNAACCAAATACATCCAGGGGTTGAATTTGACCTGTTGTCCCTGCAGGTATAGACAAATATTTAAACTTAACATCCGATGGAGTTACTTCACTAATAATTTCAGGGCAGTGACCACTCCAAGAATCCAGTAATAGTAATGATTTAGGTCCGGTGTTTGGGAAATAGACATTTTGTAGCCAATTTTTCATATGAGCAAAAGTCAGTTTACCAGACTTTGATGCCAAAACGAATATGTTATCTGCTTTGAACATTGCATTTATTACCCTCAGTCCAAACGTACCAGAGGATTCTTTTAAAACAATGAAAAGAGGAGAAAGTAGCTTTCCATTTGCAGATATGATCGGTTGAATTGTGTAGCTATGTGTTGTCGATGACACCGACTGGACCACACTTTCCACGGTTTTAACCCCTAAATCGGCTAAGGTTCTTCCTGAATGGAATTCCAAATGAAAACCACTCTGATCAGAGTTATAGGTATTCTCAGGTTCGTATATTTGGATTTGTTCTTTTACTTTTTTGTAATTTTTTTTACTAATATTTGTAACTTTTGTATTATTTAAATAGAGTAAGGATAAAAAAGCTTTTTCTGTAGGAGTATGAAAGTTATTAGCGAAAATATATTTTCAACGCCAAACTTCTAACCCTTGTAAGTTCTGACAATGGTACTACCTAACGTACAAAAAAATCGTCGTGGTAAATTGCACCAAAATCGACAAACAATTTTCGCAAAAAAATATTTTTGGGGTAGTTAGGGTAGTTAACCCCAGCCACCAATATATTTTCCTTAATGTCGTATAGGGTTTATTTTACTGCGTAAATCTTAATTTACACTTAATTAATGGTTTTCTTCAAAATATTGTTCAAAAGTGTAACAGTTGATCACATTATTCTTAAGGAAAGGGGTTATCTATCATACCCCGTAACTTTGCAGGGGATGGTCAGAGGCAAATAAGAAAAAACACGTCATTAATATTTTTAAACGTACTATAAGGATACATAATATCGCCAAAATCGACAGGGTAGTTTTTAAAATATTCCAAAAATCTAGGGGTAGTTTACCCCCTGAAGCCCTCAGATATATGTGTGATATATCAATGGAAAGCTCTTTGAAAATGATTATCAGTTTACATTTACCACATTTCGATAGCTATTTTCGTTTTCAGCCTATAAGCGAATATATATATTTCGCCCTGATTTGCAACCCTTATAACTCGCGCCAGGGGATTTATTAGCACGTATAAAAAAATACGTAAACCTTATTATTGGCCATACTATCGCTGTACCAAATTTCAACAAAATCGGTGAGGGACAGTTATTTCTCATTATGATATCATACAAAGGTTAGCCAGATTTCTTCTAGTCGGAGTCTATCAAGTATATTTAGTAATCAAAAAGATTCAAGTCAATTCTGACTACTCTACTATTCTGGTCAAAGAGAGTAATTTTTAAAGGTTATAAATAAAACTCATGAATCATTAATTTCAGTGTTTATTTGACTGGATTAATTTGTGTGTGATTGATGTTGTTAAAAAAGACGCAATTTTGAATTTGAAGTTAGCACCGTTATTTAAAATTTAAGTTTTAGATACAATATGCATCTTAAAAAACTAATATATACAAGAAAAAATATTTATTCATAATAAACCACACAGACTATCAGCATTTCTTCTGTTAATACATGATATAATTCCGCGAAATCGAAAACGAACGTGAACATGACATCCACATTCATGTCATATCTCGCAATAAAAAGTTAAATTATAAGTTATTAAAGTTAGTCAGCATTAAAAAATTTTATATTACATAATTTACAATCATAAAAACATTTTTAAAAAACAATAAAATTCGAAAAAACAGATAAATTCGCGTATATGGCACAAATTTAATAATTATAAAAAAAAACAATCAAAAATAAGTTCAAAGTTCACCATAAAATCCATAAAAGACATCACTAAGTTTCTTTACACTCATTAATTTCATTTTTCTTTAAATTCGTTTTACAGTTTTGTTGTCGCTTGAAGTTTAACGTATCGATTGTGCTGCCTTTGCTGTTCATCCAAATCGGGCGGTGGTAAAAAACATTGATGATGCGTTTGGTGATGATGATGATGATGCAATTTCGGTCGCAATAATATTTTTCTTACCGCCCAAATTATCACCAAAACAGTAAACGTTAAAACTAAAAATGAAGTCACAAAAGCAACGTCTAAAGTTGAAATCTTCCTGTTTTTAATTTCTTCTTTAAAAACTGTCACACAACTCTGTTTTTGTTTATTTTGTTGATTTAATCGTTCGATAAACAATGAAGGTGATGAATTATATATGATATTAACGCAAATTTTATAAGAATTATCTTGTAGACCCGAAAAAGTATATTTCGGGCTACTACAATTTATTTTATGTTGAAATAAAACATTAAAATCATCTAATTCGAAAATTACGATGTTTAATTCGCATTGTTTTTGATTTTTAATTGGTTGTATATTGACGTTTATAGCCAAATTTCCAATTGATGTAAAATTAGCGTCGATTCCAATCACTTTCGGTGATATGTGTTGATTTTTGTAAAGTTCTTGATGCAAGGTTGGATTTACATTGACGTTTTTAATTAAAGGAATTATTTCGGAGCAACCCAAAATTAATGATAACTCATCGGTATTTTGGGGTGATCCAATTAAAACAACACAATAACGATATTTATGATTTTGAATTAAATTTTTTACATTTGGAACTGTAACATTTAAAAATCTCGAATCTAACATATTCGTTGAGTTACATTTTAAATCGTTTGATTCTAATAATACTTCGTTGTCACCTTCATCTTCGTAAACAAAAATTGCGTCACACGAATAAGGGGCTGCTTTTTCCTCAATAAACCATTGCAAAAAAATTTCTTCGCCATTAAATATGTAATTTTCGAGATTAATTTTTATTTTAATCGGACTTTGATTCTCTTCTTCTTCGCCGCATAATAAATCTTTTAAATTAATATCAATTAATAACGCGTTTTCTAATGAAGGAGGAGTTGTACAAATTGCGCTTTCTTTATCTTCTTGTTTTAACGTTGAATTTGATAGCCACGCAGCGAACTCGACCAAACTACAATCGCAGTTTAATGGATTATCGGATAATGATAATCGTTTTAAAACTGTTGTTGCGCGTAACGCATCGCTTGCGATTATTGAAATATCGTTTTCATCAAGTTTTAACGTTTCCAATCGTCTTAATGGGATAATTACATCAGCCGTTAAAGCTCTTAAAAAATTATGTCGTAAATCTAAATCGATTAAATTTGTTAAATGTGCTAATGAAGCTCCGGAAACGGCTACAATTCGATTATGTGCTAAGTCTAGATTTGTTAAATTCGTTAAATTAACGAAAGCGTGATCTTCTAAAACATCAATTTGATTATGATGTAAGGATAAAATTTTTAAGTTATAAAATTTTTTTAAAGCTCCCATTTTTATGCTACTAAAACTATTATGTGATAATTGTAAATCACGTATTAAATCCATGTTGGGAAATGTGTCCAATTTAAGCGGTCCAATTAAATTATTATTGGACAAATCTAATTCCTCCAAAATTTCAAACGACGATAAATACGAAATCGATGTTATATTCAATTTGTTATTTCGTAATCGCAACGTTCTTAATTGCGGTAAAAAACGTTTATTAAAACAATCTGGATGTATTTTCCATATTATGTTATTGCTAAGTTCGATGAACGAAAGATTTTTTAACCCGTAGAATGACGTTTCCGATAACACACGAAGTCGATTTCCAGATAAATCAAGTCGATCCAATTCCGGTAGTGATTTTAACGCTTCCGTTGGTACGGTTGTTAATTGATTATTGGGTAAACCTAATGCTTGAAGCGGCGCTGAAAGACCTTCAAATGCCGAACGATGAATTTCTGATATTTCACCAGATGAAATGACTAGACCATGCAAGGCGACTCCTTTTAATAGAAGACCTGGCAATTTCGTAAAGTTTTGTACTGTACAATCTAATAAGGAAACGTAAGCGGTATCTAAATCTTTTAATCTTCTTCCTGAAAATAAAAAAAAAAAAAATTAGAAACAAGTTATGTATATTTTTTTTTATAAATCAGGTTTCAAGGTGTTGTAATATGAAGTAATGTTGGTGTTGCAATGTAAAAGTGCACTTTGTGATATTACGATAGCAACTCGACGTCCCAGGCGTCTTACTTAAAAACGGTTAGATTTATGGAAGGAAAAATATCGCTTAGTATTTCTTAGAGCTTTCAACGGTTACGGAAAAAAATTTCAATAGTAATTTCAATTCCATTTTGAACTTACTGCAAATTTTTTGAAATGTGATCATTTATCGATAAACGTTTTGCAGAAGTTATTTGTGTGAAAATAAAAGTAAATTTAAGTGTAGGCTCTTCTAGCTATTTTTGACTACATTACATTACATAAATTATACATACAGTGTGTCCCAGGATAGATGTTACAAGAGGTATAACGACTTAAAAATTTTTGAATTTTATTTATGTTTAAGGAATTAACCCCTGCTTGGTATGGAGACAATTTTACGTATATTTTCATATTTTGAAAACAAAGGCGGCCTTGACAGTGACTCGAAAACTATGTTTAGTTTAGGTAATGTAATCTTTTTGTTCATGATACGGAAAAATTTTATTAAGAAAAGTTGTTCAAAATGAGAAATTACGGTCCTATACAAAATTTCAGAAGGATTTATCTACTTTGGTTGAACCATCACATTTTAGTTTAAATAATATAAATATTGTATAGTAACTGAAATGTGAACTAAAACTGATGGATAATACAATTTAGTTGTTAATATTTGCGATTATTTAAGTCATTTTTTTTTCATGGCATTTTTCATTGTTTTTTTTTTCACTCCGATCTAATCTAAAATATGGTGGTTTAATCAATGTAGGTAGATCTTCCTGAAATTTTGCATAGTGCCATAATTTTTCATTCTGAACAACTTTCCTTAATGATATTTTGCCGTACCATGAACAAAAAGCTTACTGTACCTGAACTAAAAATAGTTTTCGCTTCACTATCAAGGCCGAGTCGATTTTCAAAATATGAAAATATACGTAAAATTCTCTCCATACCAAGCAGGGCTTAATTCCTCGGTCATAAAATAAAATTCAAAAATTTTTAAGTCATTATACCTCTTGTAACATCTACTACTGGGACACACTGTATATCGTTAAGCATAATAAAGTTGTTTATTAACTGTTTTTTTTACTCTCTCGTGCTAGCTCATCTGCTGCTTCATTGCCAACAACCCCAGAGTGACATGGGACCCAGATCAGAGAAACTCTGTTATCACAACTCAGTGTGTTTAAAGTTCTTTTACAGTCATTAGCCAGAGTCGACACCGTTTTATTTATTTATCTGTTATGTTCTTCACAGCTCTCTCAAGAAGGATTTTAGTACCCATGTCAATAGCAAGTATTTCTGCCTGGATTACAGTACAGTACGTACCCAGGCTGTAAGCTTGCTTAATTCGAAGTGTCTGGCAGTATACTTCCGCCAGGACCCCTTCCGGGATTTTTGATCCATCTGTGAACATGCAAATACATGCTTGAATCTAGAATTTTCGTTATCGATACAAGATTGCCGTTCAGGCAGTACAATCTGGTATCGAGCATTAATGGTATTACTGGTGGCAGTCCCGTCAAATCTGAGATCCCGACATTGATAGTACAATATTAGTGCTCATAGTGTCTTCCGTATCCCATTGGTAGGACATGTCGGAGCAGTTTTGAGTTTATTGCTTAAACCTGTAAATGGTAGCTCTAGTCACTTTGTCTATATGCAAACGAGATAGGGCGAAGCAGAACATCAATTTCTATAGTCGGCGTTGTGCTTATCGCAACGGAGATTGCAAATCCAACTACTCATTGAATTCGTGTATTTTTGACTAACAATAAGAAGCTTTCGTTGAATGATGCTATAATCGCTGTACAAAAAATTAACTGTCGAATATCTGAATTATATTAAAGTTGAACGAAGTTAGGTTGGGATGATTTCAAGAACGAAGTCAAAATATTGTTCAAGACGGGCAGAAGGGAAAGGGGGTGATAATTATGTTATGGAAGTGTCAGGGAGAGTGAGAAGGGAGATTACAACGTTTGGGAGGGTATATATTGGGTTGTGGTCACTGAAAATTGACGATTTCATAGACATCAAGAGGTGCTACCGATGCCAGGGTTTCGGGCATTTCCAACGTTTCTGCAAATCGGAAATGGTATGTGGGCATTGTGCGGAAAAGGGCCACGAGTTTAAGAACTGTGGGAATAGGGAGAGAGAGGCGATATGTGCAAACTGCAAAGCCAGGGGGAAGAATGATAGACACGAAACGAGGGATAGAAACTGTGGGGAATACCAGATAGCGGCGGAGTTGGCGAAGAGAAGTATTAATTATGAGGACATGAAGAGAGGGCAAAAAGGGGCTTTATCAAAAAACTAGACGAGGGAGGGGAGAAGCCAGAGAAGAGCGAGGGGTTGAAAATGGTGTTCTGGAATGTAGCGGGGTTTACGAATAAGGGAGGGCAGTTCTGGGAATATTTGAAGGGATTTGAGGTGATTTGTATGGTGGAGACCTGGGTTGATGAAGGAAGGTGGGCAAAGATTGAGAGAAAGTTGTCAGAAGGGATTGCGTGTTTGATGAGAGGAAGAGCGTGCGGGGGTATTACGGAGGAGAGTAAGACGGAGGGGAGATGGAAACAAAAGGGAATGGTAAGTTCCCGTGCGGTTATTATAAACATTTCGAAAAAATTTTATTAGAAAGATCGCTTCAGAATAATGTATCCTACAACCGTATAATGCTCTGATGCGGAAGATACGGGACACGCTGTATAGCAAGGCAATGAAAGAGACAATGAGGCAATGGGAAGATATGACAGAGAAAGGGAGGGAGGGATACCTGATTATTGGAGGGGACTTTAATGCAAAAATAGGGAAAGAAGGGGGAAGAGGGAGAGGGGCGACAGTCCAAGGGTAAGATTCTGAATGGAGAAGGAAGGGAGATGCTGAGGTGGGTAGAAGAGGCAGATACTGAATGGGAATATGGAGGAAGGAGATGAAGGGGAATATACCTATACGGGTGCAAGAAGGGCGTCCGTGATAGACTATGTGGTAGTGGACCAAGGAATGTGGGTGAGGATAGAAACATTTAGGGTTGGGGCGTTGGTAGAGTTCGATTACCAGCCTCTAGAAGTGTGCATAAAGGGATTGAGGGGAAGAAGGAATAGAAACATAATGGAACATGGTGGAAAATACATTAGGGTAGATTGGGAGGGGATAAAACAGTATAGGGGAAAGTTGACAAGCTGGGATCAGAGGGTGGAGGGAGCCGACGGGTTGAATGAACTAATTGAGGTGGTTAAGGAGGCGACGTTGAAGAAAAAGAGTGGGTGATGGGTGATTAGACTGGGAAGAAACGAATGGTGGGATAGGGAATGCAGAGAGTCCAAGAGAGAAGCTAGAAGGAAATTGAGACAGTGGCGGAGAGGGGAGGTAGACATCGATAGATATACAGGGTGATTTATAACACACGGAGCAGACTAAAAGGGTAGATATTAGAGGTAAAACTGAAAAGATTTTCTTAATAATGTTTTGTTTGATCACAACTTAATTATCACAAAGATATAGAACGTTAAAGTTGAATTAATGGCCGAGCATTTCTTACCATATACGGTATTACACTACGTTTAAATTCAAACTGCGAATATTTCGGGGTTACTTAAACAATGCAAAATTAATAAAAATTATTAAATTTTTTTTATTTTGCCGTTTCGGCTATTTAAAAATTTGTTAAAACGCTCAAGTGGTGGTGTTTGTTTATTGAGAACCGCTGATACCATATTTTTATTGCTGCCAATCCAGTTGATTTGGTTACTTAGCAACGGACAAGTATTTTAATTAGTTTTTAATTATTTTATTTTGAATATCAGCGGTTCTCAAACATAGACGTTAAATTATTTAAAAAATTAACATGCGATAACTATGTAACTATTAAATTTTTAACAAAACATTATTAAGAAAATCTCCCTTTTAGTCTGCTCCGTATGTTATAAATCACCCTGTATAGAGGCCAGGAGAAAATACAAAGAAGAATGCAAGAAAAAAAAGAGGAAGCTGAAGGAAAGGGAGGCTGAGAAGATTAAGTAGTTGAAAGAGGAAAATGAGGTATGGAGATACTTAAAGAGGACGAGGAAGGGAAGAGAGGAAGTCAGCAGAGATATACAAATGACTGTATATCTCTGACTGAATGGAGAACCTTCTTTATGGGATTGTAGGGAGAGGTGGAAGAGAGAAGATTTGGAGAGGGAGAGCGAGGGGTGCAAGGAGGAGATGAGATAACACTGGAAGACCACTTTTGAATTGACATTTGTGAATTCGCAAAACAATTCTCATGCACACAAGCGTTTTATAGAGATGACGTAACTATAAAGAAAATGCATAAAAGAATTGCTGGTTTGCACTAGTCTTAGAACAGTTAGAAGCACATTGCGATTATGGGAGCATTTGAGAGATGCATTTAGTGTATAGTTATTATGGTTTGTGAATGCAGGCAAACATTGTTTGCAAATTTAATTACTTTGCTATAATTTAAGAAAGTTGATGCTTGATTAAAAGTAGATACACAATTATTAAGCTTCGAAGCTTAATAGTGTAATTCTCAACTTTTTTTTGCAGTTCTAATTATAGTCAATTAATTCTGGATGTTCTTACAATGAAGTTTTCGTTACCTTGTTTAATCTTGTTCATAACACGATATGTGGATTCCAAGAGTTAGCTTAAACACAATACATACTTATAGATCTGTACAATTGAGCTGATAGTAATATAACATTTTGGATTCCTTCCAAATATCTAACCGTTTCGAAATTTTTTCAAATTCTCTTTTTAATCGATAAAATATCTGAATTGGGGGCTCAATTAGATATAAAATTTATTTTTGGAATACAACAATATTTTTATTATAGTTTAACGTTCCAATATTGATGAAAACTTATATTCAGGAAAAAAAAAGTAGGTTCAATAAAAATTATTTATTGCTCTTTGAATTAAAAAAAATTGATTCAGTTGAAATTGGGTTGTAAACTTTAAAAGGGGCTGTAAAAAATTGTAACGAGAATTTCGTTTTTATTTTTTGATATTTACCAATTATTTCCATAGCGGTGCTATCTCCTGTACACCGTAAAGTGTGGGGCATGTCGCAACTGCATTCTACAATAGGCGGATGTGAAATTTCGGGACATTTCCAAGGATCTGGCCCGGGGGCTGGAACTGCTGAGGTGCCACACCACCAAAGCATCCACAGTAACCACCACATCCTGAAAAACAAATTAATAATTAATAGGTAAATTTTATAAAAGAATTTATTTTCTCGTTAAATTTGATAGTTAACTTGCCATAAGCTCAAAAAGATCTCTTTATCTTTCGCCGCCCGATTGTGTTTACAAAACGATTTTATTTACGACCGGCCGTTCTCGGTTCGGTGTTTTGCTTAAAACGTAATTAAGTCCTTAAATCAATCTGTGCGAAAAAAGAGTTTCTAAGGAACAATAAATATCTTACCGATCCAACTCGGACAGTTAAATTAACACTCAACACAAAAAGAGTTCTTTCTTATTAATCTCACTCTTTGTTTTAGTTCTTTATCAACAAAAAAAATAATTAATCATTTTGAAATTGGTGTAGCTTTAAAGAGGATCTCTATTTTTTGTGAAACATAATTACGAGCTTGAAATTTGGATGTTCACATCAGTTAACACAGTTTGCATCCGACTCCATTTACATACAAATAGGGGAAACTAGCACGATTCACCATTGGGCCAGATTGGGCCGTTGGCAGTGTTTGCACCCAAATTGGCGAGATTGACTTTAGGAGATGCATCAATCAAGCCAGCCGCGATTGTCACCATGTTAGTTACGTTCCCATGGTGACAATTACGTTGCAAAATCGGAATTACGTATATTATACTTAATTCATAAAATAAATGGGAAGAATTCTTATTTTATTTATTTATTTATTTGTTTTTTGGTTCGATGAGAATTCTTCAAGTTGTTTTCTCGGGATCGGTGTGGCAAAACACGGTGCGGTTCTCGAATTCGCATTTCCAAATCGGATAAACGCCGACGAGAATTTTTAGAAGCGAGCGTGGAATAATGAAACGAAGAAGCCGATTGAAGAGAGAAAAAAAAACTTTTTTTGAGGTGGTCCATCGAGCGAGAGGCAGCACGAGAATTGGCATTCCGATGTAAATACAACTGGAAACTCAGTTGACATGTGTCAACGCGTTCACGACGCCTACCGATCCTGTCACAGTCCTCTTCACCGAAATAAGAATTTCAAAAAAATACATCACAAAGATATTTCTTTAAAAAAATGTACATTCACACTCAATATTAATAAAATTGAAAATCAAAATTTTACTAATAAAGATAGACTAATAAATGTGTATGAAAAATAATCCTCCAGTAGCCCAAAACGTGTCGATTATGGTATATTTATGCTATAGCTGTTTTTTTACTTTATTTAGAATGTCAGAAAGAAATTGCTAATTTTTGAAAGATTGGATTATGACAATTACAAATCTCCTTTTTAAGCGAAACTATCACATTTGAGTTGGTGATTAGATAAAAGAAAGTAAGAACTTTCAACCGAATTAAATCACGAAGAGTTAATGAGGGCAACATGGAGACAATATTAGGCATACTCGCTGACCAATGGTTCAGCAATATACTGATGCCGATGAAGCCATTGTGATGGCTACAACGGACATCTCGGCAGCAAAAGCACTGATATTCAACCTGGTTACAAACCAAATCGCAAATTGTGTATGAGTCCTACAAGGGAGGAAATGATTGAAGTGTTCAGAAAGATAGAAGCAGGCTCGAAATAGATAGGACTCTTTTCCAACTACTCAGAGGTATCTTGCTACTCATTTCTTCTTCATACCTGATGTTGCTGATTTCTGCCTCATCCCTTTGTTTCCTTCCCTCTTTCTTTACTCTACATACCTCTTTATATTTCCTCCTTGCTTCACCTTTTCCTCACCACCTCATCTGTCTTCTTGTCTCCTTTCTTGCCTCACAACATTCACAATCCCACCACTCGTTTCCTCTTCATCCGCCCGGCTAGCTCAGTTGGTAGAGTATGAGACTCTTAACAGATGGGATTATGATAAATGAAAAAACACAAAATTCATATATTTTGGTGTCAAGGGATGAAAATATAACAAATTTTCAAAATATATACGTCAAGGACTACAGCTTTCAGAGTGTCGAGAACTTCAAGTACTTAGGGGCTATATTTGACACCTCAAACACGATTGCGAATGTAATAAAGGAAAGAAAACAAGTTGCAAATAGATGCTATTATGCACACTTAAAATTATTTCGCTCAAACTTGCTACTACGCACTGTAAAGATGAATTTGTACAAAATACTAATAACTAATAAGACTCATTCTGAAAACGGATTGAGGGTGTTCTACAACTTTAAATTGGATACGTTGATGAAAGTAAGCAAAGGCTGGAATAGCGAAACCCAGAGGAAGAGCTAGAAAGTGCTGGGAAGATGATATATGGCAGGACTTGAAGAACTGGAGGTATGCGATGTGAGGCGGAGGACAGAGCCAGATGGAAGAGGCTGTCAGAGACCGCACCCATCTCGGATTGTTGTGCCAAAACACAATATACAGGGTTAGGCAGAGAGGTATGGATGATTTGAACGTGGCGCCACGCAAGGTTTGGAGATCCTTGGTGGATACCTTGGGGGTATCTGTTCGTCAGGAGCCGCCATTTAGTTATTAGTAACAATGGAGACGTGGTCGAGTATCAACCTCAATACTGTATGGTTTCAACAAAATGGGGCGACATGCCATACATCGAGAGCATGTATGTATTTCATTGCGTGGAGATGTGGAGTGGCCTCCTCGGTTACCGGACCTGTCACCTTGTGACTTTTTTTTATGGGGTTACCTCAAAGAACGAGTATACATAAACAAACGACGTACACTTCAAGCCCTAAGTGAAACAGTAACACAAGAAATTCTTTACTTTTTGTAATGGCAACATTCAAGTTTCGTTGAAAAATAAGTGTGTAACTGTTATTTCAAATCATCCATACCTCTCTGCCTAACCCTGTACCTTAACACATCAAAGGCAATAAACAGCAGCATCAATTTTATGGTAACTAAATGGAGATAAGAAAAAAAAATTTCAAAATTAAATTAAATTGCATAAAGAGGCAAAGAATATGGTGTTCATTGCCAGGAGGCATTTTGATTCTAATTTTATAAACTCTTCGACCTAATTTTAAGAAATTCAATGATGTTTACCTTCCATTGTACAAATGGAGGATTTCTTCCACCTTGCTGAAAATTAGCTAAAACTAACTATAATAACAAAATTCCTTAGGCACAAAGTTGGTCATGAAGACTTATTTCCCAAGTAACCCGAATATGATTACTTAACAACACCAATATGGATCATTTTCGCACTAATAGCTCCTCACAAATTGATTGGTGTATAGTCAGAAAGGTGTCAAAAAACCATTCAAGTAAGAAGACGAAATTTTTCCTCTGTTATTATTATTTTTATCAATTCTGGTATAAATTGTCAATCAATTGAAAGTTTTGATTAATTCAAGTTGAAGACTTTTGAGTATTTTGTATAGCATAGGAATATAGGAGCCCTTAATAACACAATATCTTGCAAGAGCTACTCCTGGTAGACAAGTTTTTTATCAACTCACAGAAAACAATCATTATTTCTTCTGCTGGAAAGAAATTTGCTAAGGTATATCTAGTTTCAAAATGTTCTCCACAAAAGCAAAGTTATTTCTGTGAGGAAAATTACTTATCCTTGAATGTCGTTACTACATTTGCGTGTTTGTCTTCATACATATGATTATGAACCAGATCTAGTTGAGTTAGTTACCAAGAAATTTTCATATATTCAACGAATAGCTAAAATTGCGATGAGTGTACAATACTTGGCTTACTTCCATTACAACTTTCTTGCGGCTATATCTGTTTAAGTGAGTTTGCGGTTCACTAGCAGTACGCCCTTTGGCTAACATGTTAGCATTAAAACTGGCAAAGACTAGTTCATGCAATATGATTTTAACACAATACTCTGAATTTCAAAATCAATAAAATCAAGCGAGGTTGGGATTAGCTATATCATGGATATTCCGCGTTTGATGATGTGAGGATGAGTTAAGCAAGCTTATAGCACGAATATATATCGTACTTCTGAGAAAACGACTTGTCAAACCAATATTCTCAAATAGTTAAATCAATCTTCAGCAGTTGTAAGCAGCAAAATTGAGGTTGTGCTGTAAATTGGTGTTTCCTTGGTCGAGGTTCTTGGTCATACTGGCATAGTTGGCAAAGATGTCGTAAATGTCTTAGCATGAACCGGTACCGCTGAAGCGTTTGGTCAAAGCCACTAGTTGATATTTATGATGGCCAAATAATGAATTGGGTGATAAGTCGAAGAAAGTGTTCACCTATTATAGACTGTATGCAGTAAAAGGTTTTATTCTCTTATGTTATATATCATGTCATTTTTCGTGTTTTTGTTCTAGTTAGCTAATCTAGTACCCACCAAATGATTCCAGTATTTAGTAAATGATTACAACTTACTGATTAAATGCAGTTTTTATACTGACTCGTTTCAGCGTTCGGTTTTAATAAAGATTAAAACCAGAACCTAACGATTGATTCAAACATCTACTGAAAAATTCTAGTATTCATTGTATGATTCCAATATTCAGTGTACAATTCTGGTACAACCAGAACTTAGTGACTAATTGCAGCACCCAATGGATACTTACAGTATCCGGTCGTTGTATGCAACATTAATAGTTATTCTTCCGAGTCTCCATGGATTAGATACAGTATCCATAGTAATTAGAATCTAAACTTAATGGCTGGTTCCAGTATACAATGTATAATTTCAATATACTGTTGTTGGCTGTTGTATTTATAGTGATTCGTTGCTATATTTAGACGTTAAATAAAGTTTCTATGATGATTAGGACATGATTTGGATTCCAGTATCCAACCTTGATTAGAAGGACAGTCTAGTGGTGGATTTCAGTGTGGATTAGAGTATTCTGTAGATGATTTTAGAACCTACTGGATGATTACAGTATCTAGTGGATGATTTAATTATCCTGTTGCTGAGTGTAGTATCCATACTAATTAGTTCCAATATTTAGAAATTAGATAGTTTCAGATTTTAATGAAACCCATTTAGTGAACAATTCCCGCATCCAGATGAATATTTTAATTTGCCATTAACTATAAGGCCAAGCAAATACACTAATAAACTTTTTAAAGCCACCAGCAAAATACGAATTCATTGGTA